AAAGTAATGAAGATGTAACACTCCCTTAAGGAGATTTTTAATAACATACCTGAAATCGTCAGGAGGGTAATGAAAAATACTTAAATCAATGAAATAGGGAAATTATCCAACCTCAAATTGTGAGTCTGAAAGAATTTTAGATAACATAACGTAAAAGAAAGTCAACGCCATTTCACTTACAGGTAGGTAGGGCGATGAACTTCAACCAGATATATAGCCTCGCAATGGAGAAAACGGCTTCTGAGTTACTCTACTCGACAACGCCAATAAAAAGGTAAAATTGCCAGAGATTTTACGTGAATGATGGCAAATATTACCCACTGGTTTAAGAAGAATTCACAATGCCACGCTCTACAACAAGTACAACCTCGTTGGCTTTAAAACGGAAAATGAAGTGAAAAATTAACGCGATTCTGCGCAAGGAAAGAAACACGCGTACAAGTGACGCCATCTCACCTATATCCTGCCTAACCTAGCAAGCGGTAATTTTGAAATTTGAATATGAATAAACTAAACTGTTACATGTGCTAGGACGTGTAACTTTATTGGGTGGACCTGTCTTTGTGGTACATGTTGCCTTACTTGTATTTATGGTGTTTCTTTGTTCTTGAGGTTGTATTTGTGTATTGCTTGGGTTATTGGTGAGGTTTACTGTATTTTGTGAGGCTAGTAGTGGCTGTTTAGGTTTTTGGCGTTTGGGTTGAGTACGAGTGGGTTGTGATAACGTGGTGTGTTTCTGTGAAGGAGTTATGTGTTTTTTAAACTGTGCTAGGGCGTGTAACTTTATGGGTGACCTGTCTTTGTAGTGCATGTTGCGTTACTTGTAATTATATGGTGTTTCTTTGTTCTTGAGGTTGTATCTGTGTTGTTACTTGGGTTATTGGTGGAGACATTACAGTATTTTGTGAGCCTGTAGTGCTTTTTAAGGTTGTTGCGTTTCGGTTGAATACGAGTGGGTTGTTTCTGAGAAAGAGGAGTATTGTGTTTTTTAACTGTGCTAAGACGTGTAATTTATTGGGTGGACCTGTTTTTTGTAGTGCATGTTGCGATTACTTGTATTTATTGGTGTTCTTTGTTCTTGAGGTTGTATTTGTGTGTTTGTTTGGGTTAGAGGTGAAGATATTACAGTATGTTGTGTACCGTGTTGTGAGCGAGTACTGTTGTTTTACATGTATACGTTGTGGATCATTTGTGTATGTAGTATCTTGTGTTATGTTTAGAAATTTACGAACAATATGGCATGTGTTGATAATGACTGCTTTTTGTAAATGTTTGTATGTGTTTTTTGTCTAAACCTAATAGTTGTAAATTGTGGTGTATTGTTCTTTGGTATATACTCCAGTAGCACTAAGAATAATGGGAACTATAACAGTAGATTTCATTCTCCATTGCGTCCTTAAGCTCGATAGCTATATCGGTGTATTTGCGGTGTTTTTCTGCATGTGTTTTAGTTAAGTTGTTAGTGTTGGGATGGCAATGTCTATAATACAAATGGATTTTGTTGTTTTATCTATAATTGTAATACTGGTCTATTATTGTGGATAGTTTTGTCTGTGAGTAGTGTCCTGTCCCAATATAATTTGTGTGTTGTTGTTTTCAAGTATTGATCTGTGGCGTGTATTTGTAGTAGGTGTCTTATCTGTTATGAGATTGTGTTTAAGTGCATAATTTTTGATGTATGATTTTAGCTACCTGATCATGTCGATGTTTGTATTCAGTTTTGCCGAGTCGTGTGCATGCCGATATTATATGTTGGATTGTTTCTGATGTTTGTGAACAGAGTCGACAAGAATCATTTGTCACTGTTTTGTCTTTATGTATGTGTTTTTCACATGGCGAAAAACAGCCTCTCTATTATATTATGGTCGGTGTTTCTTGTGAGAACTCAAGGTCTAGCCTGGTTAACTAATCGCACGGAATTAAAATCAAGTAACGATTAGTGTCTGTGTCTGTGTCTGGTGAAGTTATGTAGGGTTTTTTATTATTATTATTTATTATTATGGTCAGTGTTTCTTGTGAGAACTCAGGTCTAGCCTGGTTAACTAATCGCACGGATTAAAATCAAGTAACGATTAGTGTCTGTGTCTGTGTCTGGTGAAGTTTATGTAGGGTCATTAAAAAAAAAAAAAAAAAAAAAAAAAAAAAAAAATCACACACGTACATTGGACATCTAGGGATAATGTAATTCGTACTTTACCAACATACCTATTGATGGGCACAATAGCCAACGCTATCAGGAAAGAGGAAAACAAAACAAAAAAAATCATTATAACATAATTCCTGTAATTTATTAAATGGAGTTTATTGTGTAAGTGTTTCTTTGCTTTGCGTTTGGGTTGAATACGAGTGGGGTTGTGATAAGCGTGGTGTGCTTCTGTGAAGAAGGAGTTTTGTGTTTTTTAATTGTATTTATGGTGTTTCTTTGTTCCTGAGGTCGTATTTGTGAGGTGCTTGGGCTTTTGGTGAGATATTGCGAGTATTTTGTGAGCCTGTGTTAAGGTTTTTGCGTTTCGGTTGTATACGAGTGGGTTGTTTCTGAGAAGAAGGAGTATTGTGTTTTTTAACTGTGATTATTATTATGGTCGGTTTTTCTTGTGAGAACTCAGGTCTAGCCTGGTTAACTAATCGCACGGATTAAAATCAAGTAACGATTAGTGTCTGTGTCTGTGTCTGGTGAAGTTATGTAGGGTTTATTTATTATTATTATTTATTATTATTATTATTATTATTATTATTATTATCAATTAAAATTTAAATCCTTTTTTATGTAACATCAAGTCAGTATTAATGATTTTGGAAGTCTTGCGCTTAAAAATTAGATAAAAAAGGAACGTTATTACCGTTCTAATATTTAATATTATGGGGGGGGCTTATTATATACGCTCAAATAGGCTTACTTTTGGAATTGGATTCTCCGAGGACAAGGATACAATAAGAACTGGTTTTCGTACATTGAGATACAATACATTCAGAGATGAAGGCTCAGTGAGTAATTTTCGAGCCTGCCACTTTTCGCAGCCAACTTCGCGGTAGTATACAATTACAAAGCATGTTATACAGTGTGTCCAAGATAAAGGTGTCTATCATGGGGATCTCGAAAACCGTAGAAGATACGGCAATGGTTAAATTAGGGAAAAGTTGCGCAGTTGAAGAATTATTAAGATACAGTAAATAAAACCAGAAAATTCCGAGTACTTCCGAAGATATGTTTGAAAATCCGAAATTTGCCGATTTTATTTTTTTTCTGATGTTACTTGTAAGTACAGATACAGAAAAATTAAAAACACTTTCTCATTGCCACTTTTTGAGCTCTACAAGATCGTGTTGAGAGATTTTCAATACAACGTTTTGTTTGGGAGAAATCATCATCAAGTTTATTTTTTGTATGTCCCACAAAAAAAGTACGTACTATATTATTGCATAGCATTTTTTATTACGAATACAACTATGTACGGTACAAAAAAAAACCAAAAGTTGAAAACTCTGTTAGTTTCTCAACAGCCCCCGCGCACAACGCCATAATCGTGCGAGAATACATATCGGACAAATTTTTCCATTTTCCAGGACATTTGTCCGATAGATGTTCTCTCACTATTCTGGTGTTGTGCGCGGGTGCACAATGCTGTTAAATTTTCTGGTTTTCTTTACTGCACGAATCAACCTTTAATTGTGCAAATTTGCCTAATATGACCACCGTCGTATCTTCTATATAGTTTTCGAGATCCGTGTGATAGACATCCTTATTTTGGACACAGTGCGTATACACTAAGAAGTGTTTCATAAGAAGTGTTTCACTTTGTTATAAGTAGCGCGAGTATTGCTAGCAGCTACTTTATTAATAACCTCAAAAACTCTGAACACCCACCCGTTTACCCGTCCGGCCGTTTGCACGGTAACTCAAAAACAAACCGCATACTCGCACTATTACTACTATTTACATAGGTTTATTTAGAATTTTGTTGTACTCCGTGGAGAAGCATGCGCAAAACCAAATTTCGAAACTGGTGTTAAATTTGCTTTTATTCCTAGTGATTATGTATCAAATTTCATTTAAATCCCTCCATAAATAAGAAAGTTGGCACTGCGCATGCGCATAACCAATGTTTGAAACTGGCGTTAAATTTGCTTTTATTCAAATTGCATATGTATCAAATTTCATTTAAATACCTTCATAAATAAGAAAGTTTGCAATTCGGTTTATAAATGGTCGAGATGCGAAAAGGGCACTGTGAATGTTGATCGATGAGGCTCAATTTTTGGAATTGCGTTTTATATGGCTAAAGCTATACCCATATTTAATTTCATGCAATTCGGTTCATAACTCACGGAGATGTCAAAAGGGCCTTCCTTATTTTGTGGGCTACATTGTCAATTCATGAACTCCGATCTAAAAATTTGATAAAGAATCCACCTGCAAAATTTCATAGTAATCGGTCCATTTGTTTATGAGTTATCGTGCTAACGGACGGACAGACACCGCAAAATTATAAATGTGTTCATTTTGGTTCTTGAACCACATTTTATACTTATTATACCGTTTTCCATATATCTTTTTAAATTTAAGAGGCAGTAGTTTCCTCATACTTTGCTTGCAGAGTGTTAAACGATCATTTCCCCGCTGTAGATTTCAATGAGAATCTTTAAATGGAATTTACATTTATTACACAATTTGAGATGACAAAGTATATTGATCCTACAATCAAACATTTTTTCTTTCAAATTTGAACTTTAACATTGAAATTGCTATCAGTAATCAGCTATTACAGGAGTACAAAACACAACATATATTATACCACAGGACGTTTCGGGCAACAATCTGCACCCTCGGGATTAAAACACACTTTACTTTAGTCCCTTGGTATAGGTATACTTGGTATCTATACTATTTTTTAATTGGCCCTACTTTTTAAGTTCTGTTTAAAATCTAAACAAGGAAAGCTTCCTCTAGTATAAAATTCCAAAACGAAGACTTGTCCTTTAAATCATAAAATTATTTCCAGGGTGCACAAAAAATATCGTTGCCTTACACACATAATAAAGTGTTAACAGTTAAGCAGATACTGTCAAATTTTCCTAATATGGAAAAGGTGGAAAAAGGTCCGAAGGAGATTTTTTCGCCAGATATCCAAAAGGATTTGCTTCTCTTAGAGGAGCAGGAAGGATCGGTTAATTTTAAATTTGGTGTCATTTACATGAAACAGGGGCAAACAACGGATGACGAGATTTTAAGCAATGGTGAAATTTTGTATTTTGCATTTTTAATTGCGAAACTAATGTAACTAATTTTCAGAATCAGGTAGCCAGAGGTTTGAAGAGTTTCTCTCTCTTCTTGGAGATACTGTCAGACTGAAAGGTTGGGATAAGTACAGAGGAGGGTTGGATATAAAAGGTAAGTTTTTTTTATAGTCAAAGTAACAGTTGGTAATAGTATCTATTGCTCGCCGCTGCTGCGATAGCGTAGAAAGGGTACAGGAGGTTTATGCTTAGTAATAAGCAATCACTACTTTGACAAATTACTTATTGCATACCAAATATCAGCTTAAATTACTAACACTATCGGCTTTTAATCTGTAATCAGTGAATGTGGAACCCACCTTTTGCAGATCTTTGGCATTCCAGATGTTTAAATTCAATTGGCCGCTTGGCATTGAAGAAGAAGAGTACCAGTAAGCTTTGCTTAACTTCGGATTAAATTTCCGTAGGGTAACCCCATCTAAGACTAAGAATGTTGTGATAGCACGGTATTATATGTATCCATTTTTAACGAAAAATATGCAAGAGGTCTATTGACAAAATTCTTGTAAGCAAACTACTTGAGAGAATGATTTGAACCTTAATGAATGGACCCAGAAGGCGAATATTAACCACGGATGCAAAAAATACAAAGTACCGTAAAGTCTATCATGTTTGATCCGAATTAAACTTTAAATCACGGCGCTTCGTGGACCTGTCAACTGGCAAATTTCAAAACAGAGAACTTGGCGAGATCCTATTAAGTATTATAACCAAATCTTGTTTTTCCTGCATAGACAATTACCATTATTTGAGTAAGCAGGTATACTGCTATTAATCACGATACACTTACAACGGTATGCTCTTGCGCATCTAGCGTGACGTCATGTGCGAACAAAACCACAGAATATAGAGCAAAATTACGCTTCTTAGATCGACAAATCACACTGATTTGTGTAGAGATCGTCGCGGGGGGTATTTCTGGGATTTCGTGAACGTATGTAATGAACTCTAACCAAAAATGTTGGCCCTAAACGTGAAGTGAGGCTTTTTCAGTAAATATTATGTACTTAATTAATGCGTTATCAAAAGATCGAATCTCTCCTCCGTTTCCCTTTTATTTTCATTATTACGTGGTAGTTTCAAAGTAGGTAAAGCATCAGGTTTCAAATGTCTACTGTTTTTAAAAGTAGGTATAATTAAGAAATCGTTTCCGTAGCGGTGCTTCAAAACGTCTGGCTTCAAAATTTTCAGAACAAATACAGGCTATAGAATTAAACAGCAATGGAAAGGCTTAAATACACCACTTAATATTAATGTAACACTCTTTCAAGTTAATTTTGTCCTTACAACGACTTGCAACAATCCATTTTTGAGAAAAGTCTTCAATTTTCGGAAATCGAAAGTATTCTATTTCCGTTCCTTTTGTTTTTCTATTAGAATTGCGCCATTGAGCCACTACACAACCTGGTATTTTGGAATTTTCACTAATGATTAATTAGCTATCAACAAATTAACGCTAAAGCTCGTAGATACAACTAAATACAACCAAAAGTTGCAAAACTGTACGCGTGAGATATGTACTGGATTGGGCCGTGCATAAATATTTGAATTTTGGCGCCACACGTTCGCAAGTGACGTAATGCGCAGTAGAAAACGCGTTTGAGAAAAATAATGAGCATACCGTGTGTAAGTGTATCGTGCTATTAATGAAATTGAGGGTACAGGTTCAATAAATCAATTGTCCCCCAATAAAATATAAAATAAAGCTGTCAAAGGTTTCCGGAATTTAAGAAAAATTACAGTTGTATGAGACCTATGGTAATTAAGTCCTAAATCAGTAAGGTCAGGAACGGTCTCTGTAAACAATTGGAATTCGTGCTACTTCAATAGATTTTCTTGATTAAAATTAAAATACAAATAAATACAAAAAAAACTTCGGGACCAAACGAGAGTCTCACCGAGAACATTCGAGACGAGACGAGACTCGGCGGCATCACTACTTGTGTTTGATCGCCGTAAGTATAGCGTAACTGTTTGTTCATTGCAGCACGTAACGAATGAAGAGAAGCAAGAGCAAGAGAAGTAGGTACAATATTAACTGCAAATATTGTCACCTGATAGGCCAGTATGTCTACACAAAAATACCAAAAACTGAAATCTCACACAAAACTTCAGGGCTAACAAAAATAAATGCGACTCTCACTCCCCTATTCTTGAAAATGGCATCAAAGGACCACAAAAACTCGATTTACAAACAAAATATAATTGTATTTATTCTCACAAAGACAAAATTGGCTTTGCTCTTGAGCAATAAAAAAATTTTTTTTTAAATTTCCACACTTGTGGAGTTATATCAGTGGACGGGTGTCAGTGTAGAAAAGATCGTCCTATACCTACCTATTGCATGTTTTGAGGATGAGGGATTTTTGTGCTAGTGTGTGTGTGTGTGGTGGTAGTTGTTGTATTTGTAGGTTTGGTGTAAATGTGATGTGTGTGAGACCTGTGACAGATATTATAAAGGGAAGTTTTAAAACTGTATCCTGTTTCCATATTCTTTGGACTTCTTGTGCGAGGGGTGTATACTTTTCACTTTTTTCTTGGTGTTTTTTGTGAATGTTGTCGTCGTTTGGTATGCGGATGTCTATTAGGTACCTATGTTGTTTTGTAATGTTTGTCTGTGTATGTGATGTCTGGGCGATTGTGTGTAATTGTTTTGTCAGTGTGTATGGTTCGATCCCAATATATTTTTTATGTCTTGGTTTTCTATGACTGTTGTCGGTGTGTATGTGTAGTAGGGTTGTCTGTCAATATTGGTGTTGTGCTCCTGTATTAGTGTCTGGTGTATTATGCCTGCTACAAGATTGTGCCTGTTTGTATATTCCTTTCCTGCTAGTATTTTAGTAGGGTTGTCTGTCAATATTGGTGTTGTGCTCCTGTATTAGTGTCTGGTTATTATGCCTGCTACAAGATTGTGCCTGTTTGTATATTCCTTTCCTGCTAGTATTTTACAACCGCTGGTGATGTGATCTATTGTCTCTTTTCCTATGTGACATTTTCTGCAGTTGTCGTTTTCCATATCTTCTTTTAGAATATATTTCCTGTAATTTCGTGTTGCTATAACTTGGTCCCGAATTGCGATTAGAAAGCCTTCTGTTTCTCGTTGTATGATCTCGTCTTGTAGCCATTTGTAACTTTGTTGTGTCTTGATGTGTTCCTCTTGGACTATGTGTGGGCATCCACCGTGCAGTTGTTTGTGTAACCATTGTTCCTTTTTGTCTTGAGTTATTTGATAGTGTGGATGTGTGATGTTTGTGTCGTGAAGGTTGAGGGGTGTGTAGCCGTTGTCTGCTCGTGTAATTGCTGCATGAATGGGGTGTGAAAGTATTGTCTTAAGTGTTGTATTTGTGTAGTTCTGCTATGTCTATTAGACCTCTTCCTCCTTCTCGTCTGCTGATGGTGATGCGTTCTTTTGCTGAGTTAGGATGAAGTTTTTTATGTTTAGTGAGTTGTGCTCGTGTTAATATGTTTATGTTTTCCAGGTCTGTATGTGTCCATTTTATAATTCCAAACGAGTATGTAAGAATAGGGATGGCGTATGTGTTTATAGCTTTGAACAAGTTTTTTGAATTAAGCCCTGTTTTTAGAGTTTGGTTGAGTCTTTTCCTGTATTCATCCTTTAGTTGTTGTTTGATTAATGTGTTTAATGGTTGTGCTTTGATTTATGCCTAAATATGTGTATGTCTCATTTATCTGATGCATGTTTGTTAGAATTTCGTTGTTTAAAGTTTCTGGTTCGCTTTCTTCGGTTAGTTTCCCTCTTTCTATGTGCATGGTTTTACATTTTTCGATCCCAAACCCCATCTTAATGTCTGCTGTAAATTTTTCTATTATTTTTACCAGTTGTGTCAGTTGTGATTTTGTTGCAGCGTATATTTTTATGTCGTCAATGTACATCAAATGGGTGATTTTGTGTCCTTCTTGTTTGTCGTGTTCTATCTTGAAGCCGTATAGTTAGTTCTCTTCAGGATGTTACAGAGTGGATTCAGACACATACAGAACCATAAGGCGCTTAGAGAGTCGCCCTGAAATATCCCTCTCTTGATTTTTATCATCTCTGTTATTACTTGTTCTGTGTTTGTTGCAACATGTATTTCTGTATTCCAAGTCTGCATGATTGTTTTGAGGAAGTGATGTAGTGTTGGATTTATTTTGTATGTGTTCATGATTTTGTTTAGTCAGCTGTGTGGTATAGTATCAAACGCTTTTCTGTAGTCTACTAACTTTTTCATACTTTAAAGTCCCAACCAGTACCTACTACATTTTCTAGGTATACCATTACGACCAGCAAATTGATCATTTCCTCCAAAGTTAATAAAACTGACAAACTGTACATCTCTCAAAAGTGAATTCGCCGAAACAAACATTTTCGAAACACATAATGACAGTGCAGACAGATTAAACAGTTTATCTTGTGCTATCCTTCTTAAAATATGCTTAGAATTTCACAAAACTACCGAAACAGTAATAGCAATTTGCATGAAAAGAAATTAAAGAGCAACAAGTACAGGAAACTGAAACTGCACCCTTTCATCTCCTTCGCGTTTGTTTTGCCTTTTCAATTAGCGTGGAAGGTATTGTTACATTCCGTTTTTATTAGTTTTGTTCCTTCGCCGTAGATAATGATCATGGCATTGTGCACCACATCATGCTTATTCTGAAAGGGCCAACCAACAGCCTTTTTTCCAATATTTCTGTGCGTCTAATTTCCATTTTAAAATTAGTTCGTATCATTTCAATAGAAAGTTCTATCGAAATATTTAAAAGTCCACTAAAGTTTGCGTTTGGTCTGCAATATCAATCTACGAATGTTGTGAGCAAGATTGAAATTCTAGAGCGTGATAAGTACAAGAGTGGTTTAAGAGAAGTTTAAGGTTGAGCAACTTTAATGAGTTGAACCATTACATTAAACTTTCAACTGTGAGTCCGGCGCGGTGTAGGTACCTAACTTTCAATTCTTTATCCGCCTTGACATGCTATCTACAGGAAGTGTCGTATGAAGTGGGTTTTTCCAATGGTAATCTCAATTTAAGCGGCAACTGAATGATGACCATTTCCATATCTGTGTAAAGAGTTCAAATTTTCTTATTGCAGGTGATATGACTGGAAAGTATTCCGTGTATACGATATATGAAGGGCATGAAATAATGTTTCACGTATCGACTCTTCTTCCATACTCAAGAGACAATCGCCAACAAGTCGAAAGAAAACGACATATAGGAAATGATATTGTCAATATAGTATTCCTAGATGTAAATGATACACTAGGAACCGATGTTCCGCTTCAATTCAATCCAATTTGCATCAAATCCCAATTTACTCGTATCCTTTCAGGGAAATTAAAATGATAAGTAGGGACAATATTTTTTCTTTATCGGAAAAAAACCTAATTTAAATGTATATTTGAATTTAGCAAGTTCGGTGTATATACCTACATAGCGTTTTTTCAAAATGTAAGTTTTCGATTGCATTTCACTTGAAAATGTTGTTTTTACGATATAAATTGGCAAAAAAGGTTGAGGCAAGATTTTTTGTTGGTTTTTGTTTAGTTTTGTTAGGTTACATTGAATCGCATTTATGATAATATTTAGTTATAATACGACATTTCGTATCAATTGTTGGAAAGTGCTACAACTCAACACTTAGAACGAATGCTTCCGATCATAATTTGCGTTGAGTTTGTGCTGATTTGTGCAGCCAATTCCCACGACAGCTCACTAAGAACGGAGGTTTCCTATTCGCATTTGAATTGCGTTATTTTGTGCCGATTTCTGCTTCCAAGTGTTTAGCTTTGTACGGTGATATTAAAGTTATCATTTGAATTTCGCTTGTTTTGTGGTCATTGTCCTTAGAAGTTTTGTGCATTGATATTACCCGAGGCGAAGAACTATTACGGCCGGTATTATAAAGCTACTTAACTATGTTGGCTGCCAACAATGTTGTTTAATCAGGTGATTAGATGTTTTTGCAAAGAACCACATGATTTAACAACAATGTTAGCCTGACAACATAGTTAAGTATGCCTTATAATAGCGGTCATCAATGTTATATATTTATAAGCGAGTTGAGGTGGTGTGATGCATTGAGGCGAGTAGCTACTGATTTTCTTTTAGAATGTGATTCATTACCGCTCGCATTCGCGCACGCTTTTTCATAATTTAGGTGTCGGCTTGGCATTGTATCTATTAGTATGTCTTACTTCAAAGTTACATGCTAATGCTTATACACCGACATTTTCGATTGTGTGCTCTCTAGTGTAGTCTTCTGCGTTCACTTTCACGTGTTACACAATGTTAGCCAAGACATGATATTTTTAGAATTGGCGATACAATTCAATGTAGAGAACGAGGGTTTAGCTTTTATCATGTTTGTACCCGATTTGTGCCTCTGTGGGTACTTACGGCTATAGTTTCTGCGTTAACAAAAACGGAAATACAGAATTGCTTGCGTTGCGAGTTCTAATCCTAGGTAAAGATTGAAGGAAAGAAACACATCCTCGCCTGGTTGCACTAATTTGGTAGAGCATAAAATTCTAACACCGCGATGACTGAAAATGATGCCTATCCACTTCCCTACATTAACTCTATCTTGGACCATTTACCGAACGATCAATTTCTAACTAGCTAACATCCGATCGGCTTACTGGCAAATACCTACCCTTACCTTCTGAACCTCATGCCATCGTCGCGTTTACTGTTCGGAGGGGGGGGGGGTTATATGGTTTACTCGACTACCATCCGGATTACGCACTTCTCAACATCTTCAACATCTCATGGATATGATTTTGGGCGCTAAGCGAGGTGGATTCCTTTTATTTTTCCTAATCGGACGATATTATCATTGCCATTTCCACGTTTAAACAGCATATAGCCGTCCTGACAGCAATCTTCACTCGACTAACTGAGTCGGTTTAACCCTGAGGAAAGAGAAATGTCACTTCTGTCCTCCGGAACTTAAATACCGGGAATAAGTGGTAAATGGTCCAGGGACAAGTCGCCGTCGCCGATTCGCCTTCGCCGGGTGGCCATCGGCAACTCGCCGTCGGGCAATCTCGCCATCGGTCAACTTCGTCACCGGAAACAAATTAAAGATGATTTTTTTAAATATTTAAATCTAACACTTAGGTGTTTATAACTGCAATCAGTTTAGTCATATAATATTATTTAGCAATCTCGTTTCATCATTGAAATGGTGTAGTTATTTGCAGTGTTGGGTAAGATCCTTTAATTCTGGATCTAGATAGAGATCCAAATACATTTAAAAATCATAATCTAGATCCAGATCAAAGGTCTACACTTAAGAAAGGATCTAGATCAAGATCCAAGATCCCCCCAAAACGATCTAGATCCTTTTATCGTATGCAAAATATCAAGAAAAATTGTACGTAAACCCCTACACTCTTTTAAGAATTCACACCAGTTGTAAATTATATGGCACTTCGGTTTTCGCGCTTGCACATCAAACATTTAGTAGTATTTTTTATTATTTATTCCGCTGACGGCGACTTTTCCGACGGCGAGTTTGCCCGACGGCGAGTTGTCCTAGACCCGTAAATGGTTACTGGTGGGCCCAGAGAAGATAGAAGCCGAAGTTTAATCAGGGATCAAACGGCGGCACCTCCCTCCTCTTCCTACAAATGTAGGAACCTCCGTCGCAGTTTTGGGAGTCGGAATAAAAACATTCCTTCTCCGAAAGCTGTCACTGAGGTTTGTAGACTTGTAGGAATGGCATGGTGATACCGCCGTTTGATGCCTAATCTTCGGTTTTAACTCCTCCGACGGCAGTCACTAAAAAAAACACCTCTTTTGTGTGGAATGCGAATTACGAGCAAACTTTCTCTTTCCTGGAACAACAACTCATTTTTGCTCCAATTTTGGCTTCTCCTGATTTCTCTCTTCCTCTCATTGCCGATGTGCCAGACTTTGAAATCGGTGTTGTATAAACACAGCATAATCCTACGGGTGAGCAGGTTATCAGTTACATTAGTCACTTTTAAGTAGTTACTGACCACCACTCTCTAATCTGGTTAAATAAGTTGCAGAATCACTCGGGTCGACTAGCAGTTCTGAAACTTGACACCTATTTTATTTATGGTTCCTCTCAAGTTGTGTTGTCCATTTCTGATCAATGGTATGATACCCTCCGTGAGAAGATATCTGACTCGAATGGGTATTCTTTGCTGGATAGGTTAATATACAAACGGATTGGAACCTCCAGATAATCCGATCCTAAACTTGATGACACGCGTCGAAATCTCAAAGACCTGTGAACACTGTGCTGTTGCGAAAACGTGACCCGAATACAACAACATTTTTATTGGGCAAAGCTTTGAGCTAACGTTACCCGTTGCATTCGCACCAGTGCTGCGCAAAAAGTCAAACAAAAGCTTTCGGCCAGTTTCCTTGTTGCAAGAGGTACCGCTACTCATTCTTGGCAGGTTCTTTGTTACGATATAGTTGGCCTTTTAGGGGCACATGTTAATTGTAGTTATTGTGGACCTTTTCACAAAATTGTCTTGTTTCTATCTTCGTACAGCTACGGCTTCCACAATTTCTAAAATTATTGAAGATAATATATTTCTAATGCTTGCCTCCTCACGATACATCATTGCGGCCAATGGCATCCAATTCAAAAGCAGGGGGTTCACTCTAATCTCTGTTCCTTATAACTTATACTGCGAAATATCACCCCCAAGCGAATCTCGCTGAGAGGATTAATCGCTTTTTTAAACCCATGTTTTCTTTATACTTCATAGACCATAGTACCTGCCATATGAATTTATTGAAAATCGGTTGTGCCATTAGAGTCAAAACACGAGGTCACGGGATCAAACTTCCTCTGGCACAACAATCTCCGGACTTTGACGGATCCTTACACAACGACATTTGGTTCTGGTGAACGCACGAATTACGTTTGCAAACACAAACTGTTTAGGCGCAGGTGAACGATAGGGTGCGTTTGCCAGAACCAACTGTTTGCAAACCGTTTGCGCTTTTTAGATAAGTACGTTTACTGAACGCGTTGCTAGTTGTTAAACTGTTTGCAAGCGGACGCCATTTTTTGAATCGCAATTTAAACTCGCTGAAAATCACAAACATGTTTGTAATTTTGTAAGGCATGCATATTTGTTTAAACCATCGGCATATAGGTTTATGCGCGAAATTGGAGTAAATTACTAGTACCCATACATCACGACCAAAAATTGGATAATTGCACATTGCACACAATGCGCTTTAAAGTTGTAAGAGATAAATCGAATAATTTAATTATGAATGAAGAAGAGAGCATTCCATGTATGCAGGCTTATTCAAATTCGAGGGCCACCATGGGGATCTCGGGAACTGTAAGAAATAGAGGTTGGCAAAGTTGAGTAGTTTGATACTTAACAAAATGTCGTTTTGAAACTGAAAAAATTCCGACTACTTTCGGAGATATCCAGAAAAAAAATGACATTTTACAAAATCGTTTTTATTTGTTACCTAAGTTATTTAAAAAGATATTTCAAAATAAACGGCGCATAATTGTGACCACTTTTTTCCATATACAAGACGCTAGTTTTAAATCTTTACTCTGACGTTTCGTCTCTGGTTAACCATCATCAGCTTTGTTTTTTCTTATGGAAGTCATTTTTACTTTTTGTGTCATTTGATAGAGCTTTTTCCTATCAATAAATGGTGCTGTTAATCCGTAAAAACGCAAGAAACTGCGAACATACACTGCCCACGACAAAGTTGCCAGACAAGAAAAGAAGATATTTTAACAGTATTACTTCAGCCTCCATTTGACGAATGTAAAGTTTGAAATACTCGGCGAGTAATAACTTTGTAGTGAAATCGTTCCACACCAAACTTCTCTTCGAATCTAATTAGGGTACATTATTCGTATACTAATAATTAACACAAGTATCTCTATAACCTATAACTGATACTGGCTGAGTGCTCTCGATTTCATTTGGACTTGTACTGACCCCTTCATATGCGGTTTATGAAGGCTCCAAAACGGCGCGAACGATTTGCTCGTCTCCTAGTAGATTGCTGGCCATCAAACCCTGCCTTGCAACACTATAACTGCACAGATATACGTCGTATATCTGTGCTATAACTATACGTTTTTCACCTATACAAATCTTAACTCTTTCCTTAAAATGACTATACTTATGTGGTGAGTTTATTAAATTTATTACCTAAATGTAACAATCTGAAAATAAAAACTCATAAAGCAGGTAGGTACAATTTATGGATAAAAAATATTTACTCAAGGATCCAGTGAATATGCATTTAATACTCCAATCTTGATTTTCTATAGGACAATTCAATTCATCTCGTATAGCAGGATGTATTTAAACTGTAGAAAGGTTGCCATATTTTTATTGAAATGTAGAAAAAGAATACAAAACGGTTTTCTCAAAATTCACTCAAATTAAATTTGACGTGTGGTTTCCAGGCAAATTGCGCGCTTATGACAAATGCGCATGCCCGATCAACATGTTTGTGATTTTCAGCGAGTTTGAATTATGATTAAAAAAATGGCGACCGCTTGCAAACAGTTTGACAATTAGCAATGCGTTCAGTAAATATGCTTATATAAAAAGCGCAAACGGTTTGCAAACTGTTGGTTCTGGTGAACGCACCCATTGTAAGTCGAATGGAGCGTTCTACTCAACGCACCCAGACCAGGTACAACTTGAAACGAAAATCCATTAGATATAACATAAATGACTTGTTTTAGTGGCGAAACGTTTATCTGTCGGACTCCTCCAAATACTTCATTGCGAAGCTAGCCCCCAAATTTGTAGGTCCGTGCCGAATAACTAAGGGTATGTCCTTGGTGAACGTATGAGTTGGCTGATTCTGTTGGATATCCCCCTCGGAGTGGATAATACCATCTCTCTACAGATAGTACCAATTCTGCATCGCCTTGGGAAGAGGATAACGTTCCCGTTAAATATCATATTTGAAGAAAACGGGGGCTCGCCCGCGCATATTCTATAATGCGGTGAGAGATAGGGCACTTTGTGTCCGGACACTTCATGTAGACCAATCCGTTGGAAATTTTTCCCCGCATTTCCTTCCTATATTCTATCTTTCTGTATTATTAACTTTCTGCGTGGATTTGACTTAGTATGGACGTTGTATTCTTACAGATTTTGGGCTTTGTTCCCAGTGATCATATTCCCCATTAGTTGACTGCTTCACAAACAACAACCGCATGGTCGGATTGGTTGCCGCCAACTTTTTCAGCTCCAGCGGTCGTATCGGTATTGCTGAGTGGATTGATAATATACGAGGCGGAAGTTTGGTGGAAATTAAACGGCTCTTTTGACTCTTCTGGCTCGCGGTTTCCTTCTTTTAATTTCTTTAAATTTGGGTCTTTTTTGGTGTCTCTGCGTGGGGGGGGGGTGATTGCTTTGGTTTTCTCAACGGCACGTTTGGTAAGCACGATTCCGTTGTTTTCTAATAATTTCCATAATTGTTGTAACCACAGAATATACAAATGATTGTGTGCTAAGTTATTATGGTCTCTTAGTTATTTTTGCCTTCACCGAAGGTAAGTTTTATCTTCAAAATAGTTTCCCTAACGTAATTGAATGATTCTTTTTTTAAGGCGTTTAACTCTGGATATACCATGTGTCCCAGGAAGATCGCACCATAGGAAACCAGTATAAATGAATTTTTTGCGAAGAATCTACGAGGCCTTCGATATGTATTTGAAGTTAACGTTCAACGTACGTTATTGCGCTTGCCTGATGCCAGAAAGAGATTGCAGTAGTACGTTGAAAGTTTAATTTAAAGGGGCTGGTGGATCTTTCGCGAAAAAATACATTGTCGTTGCGCTATGGTGCGTTCTACCTGGGAGACATTGTATTTGAAAAGTTTACCTTTGCATTGTGATTGTATCAATCGTTGCAACTCAGCTTATTCAATATTCCCACTCGAAAGTCATATATCTATCTTCATCTCCTTCTGTTAGTCAAACACTCTCCACGGCGATGCGCATCATACTTCTGGGGTGTAACGTAGGTACCCTTTCTTTGTGGCAAATGGTGTAGTGTACGCACCGCTTTGTTTATGGAACTTGCTTGAGTAATTATCCAAATATCCAAAGTGAGTATAGATTTTGTAAAATTCTTCACGGGCACATTCTCTTTCACTTCTGCAATACTTCGTTGAAGCGCGCGCACAAAATGAGTACCTAAACCTTGTTCACGATCGAGCATAATAGCCTGTAACTGCAGAATTGACGTGGTACGTCACGTCTTTTGTAGGAAACCTTTGCTCTAGTGTTCTACTTTTTAACATTAAGTGGTACTTTTACGGCACGGTCGTATACACGACCGTGTCTTACAGCATTGAATCTTAATTTTTTATTCAATGCTTACAGTAAAATTTTTACATATGGCGCCATCTATGTTAACGCACACGTAGGAGTGAGAGTAAAAAAGCGTAACAGTAGGCGTGGAAGATAACACAAAAAGAGCACAATTCAAATAAGAACTGCCGCTAGCAGAAATCTTTGTTGTTGGTTGGAGCAAATTGCGGAAATTAGCATACACATGAACATAAAATGAGCACAATTTATAGGCAAATGTGATCGCAATTGGAAATCTTCCAAGCAGCACAACCTAATGCATTTCCTACCATGGGTAGTGTTTTCCAATGCATGTAGAACACTTTTTTAATATTGCGCTCCACGCTTTGAATTTATTACTTAAGTTTCAACTTTTTGTATGGTAGCTATTAGCGCATCGTATTAGGTATACTTACAATACACCGATTTTTCTTGTCTCAGTTAAACTTATGTTATGTGTTATTTATTCTTTGATTGGCTTTTATTACCACATTGGGAGTTTAATTAGAATGTTAAGGGTATCCTATTGCTCTAAAGAATTATTTATTTAATGTTGTACGAACTACTTCTAAAAGTTACTTCCTCCAAAAACTTTATGTATTTTATTCCTTAGGTTACGTAGATATATTTGCTGTTGTGAGTCCCGAAGCGACGAATAGTTATCGACTGTCTGTGTTTTCCGATGAAGCAGTTCCCTTATTCGGGCCAAGCTTACCATGTCCGCCTGTGTTTAAAGATGCTCAATTTTTCAGAGAGTTTCTTCTAGTGAAATTGATGAATAGTGAGAAGGCAACGTTTGAAACGCCGACGTTTTCCAGAAAACGAGAACGCACTTTAGATATGTTAATTAAGGACCTTTACGCCGAACACGTGACTGACGCAAGAATGGTGAGTATATCTGCTTCTTATTCCAATATTTTGCTGTAGTTAACATTATATTTTTTGTTTCAATCATATCATAAGCGAAAAAGAAGCGATTTTTAAGTGGTTAGTGTAATCTCTAAGTCGGTATCATGATATTTGATCTTAGATGTTAAGTCTTCTTTAACCCCGATCAGGTATCACTCCTCCCTCACAAATAATGTGCATGAAGGTATAATTAAAGTGAAGTAAAATAATTAGTGAAATCGTTTTCGTTCAATCACATTTGCGAATTCAACGAAAGCATAAGAGCTTTTTTTTTATTTAGAATAGGTAACAAAAGTATTCAAGTGTAAACAATTACTCAGGCCTCTTATCTATTCGAAGCTTTTAAAAAATGGTACAAATTCTTATTCTTATTTTTAGATTACGTATTCTAGCCCATACAAAGTAGTACATCAACACATGCGTCTACTTTACTCGAGACACTAGACACTAACAAGTAACATATTAGAATCGCTGTTTAAAATACGCCTGATCGTGCGAAAAAAACGCGATTAAAACACGCCGAGCTATAACGGTTGCTAATTATCGTTACATCAAATATGACATGCGAAACTATAATCTGGACCTGAAATAACAAATTCTCTCAGATCGCTTTCTCCAATACTGCAAAAGATGTCTTTGGGTCGTCACCTTTGTTGGAAGCTTTTACAAACGTACGTAGTTCAGGTAAGTATACTGCCAAATCTGTTTTACTTTTTAATCGAAGTATTGATTGAAGTTTTGAATGAACGCACCAAAGGGTAGAAGATTTAAATACCTTTGACACTTCCTTCATATATGCAAGCATTAACGATACATTTAAGACTTCATTTGAAAGATGGTTCACGTTTATCCACGCCAACAGGTTTTCATATTTTTATAATAGGCTTTAGGATTTGGATTTTGCACCTAACAACTTTTCTTCTGCTTTTGCAACAAGTCATTATTATTATTAGTATTATGTTTTCAACAGTAATATCCCAAGTGCATAAAAATAGCCGATTATATTTTGACTTTTTCGTCAAATGTTTTGCTTAGAAGTACGTCGAGTCAATTTGCCACGTAACAAAATTTTGAGTGGAAAATTGACGAGAAGTACTTCTTCTTAGCAAAACAATTTGCCAAAACACGCCAAATTTAATCAACCTATTTTTAAGCACGCGGGATATTCGGCATGATTATTTCCCGAATTCACAGCGGTTTCAAGATTTGCGAAAGAATTTGCACTAAAACTATGGACATCGCGCAAGTAGAGTGCACATTTAGGTAGACTTGTTCGAAGTGACAGTTTCGTATGTAAGCTAAGCAAAGTTTGTGGTCGTCTAAGTATCTTTGAAGATACTTTAAGATGAAGATCTTTAAAGCACTTTGCAACGTTTAAAGCCGTGATTATACACTTGTTTCTTTATATACTATTTTGAATATAGCAATAATGGATAAATGTAATATAATTCCGAACAAACATCTCTTTTACATCACCCGAAGTTAGAACACAACCAAAAAACTAGTAAATATATAGTGAAATTAAAGGGAACGCAAGGTATTACAGTAAAATATTTGTGTATCGCCAATTTATGGCATTGAAATAAAGTGATCGCATGTTGCGCCAGCCAATGTAGGTACTATTTCACTGTCACATACGCATAACAAAACTCGACCTAAAATATGTTTACATCTGTGACTGAATAGAGATTTGCATATTTCAGTAAGCAAAATGGTTATTGAATTTCATTCGAAATGGGCCATCGATGAAATGATGAATGCAGAAAGGTCATTCGATGCGCTGAATGTATTGGGCGATCAAAAATGAGTGACTGTCGAGTCGCCTTTGAAAGTTGAAGTTAAGTACGATTTCCCATGTAAACAAAAATTCCAAAGGTGACTCGACGGTCACTCATTTTTGATCGCAATGTATAATACTGGTAGGTACTTAATGAAATTAAATATCTAGTACGCCCTTTTTAAAACAATATTAGTTTATAATGAAAAATACAATATGCGAAGATTGATTAAAAGCACCATTTGACAGGACGTTTAGTTATTAATGAACTTAGCGTCCGCCCTGCTGAATCTTTTATGCAGAATTGAAAAGTTTTTACACTTTGTAGGTGGTGATTTATAGCTACCTATCTACTGTTTTCATACACTAGAAATGTAACTTTATTCATCCACACAAGTTCCTCTTCAACAGAAACCCCATGTTTTTTTCTGTAAAAATAACCGCCAATACCTAGTCACATATGATCCTTTAAAACGCCAAAAAAGGAAATTGTTTTATAATTCATTTTAACATTGATGCGCCATTGTGGGGAAAAACAAAATTATTCTAAATTCAGACTTTCAAAACCGGTTGTTCAATTGAGTGACAGCCAAACATACATGACGAGAGCGTTATTTCCTCCTAATAATAATAATGCTAGGACCGGAAAAAATACCGAGATCCTTACCCCATTCTCTTTCAAATGAGTCGCCTATCGTCGAAGTCTATACAATTTAATGAAAAATAGTGGAACGTATATACAAATACTACAAGTATTAATAACGTTTTACCTATTAGTGTCATAAAGAAAAAAAAATAATTCGCGAATTTTTCAAATTTTAGCAAATTTCGCGAAAACCGTTCGCGAAACGCGATTTGCGTTTCTTATAAAAGGTGTGGCTTATTTTAATATTTTTCCAATGAGCCGAAGATTATTAAAATCAGACAAGTGGTTACTGAGAGAGAAGCGTTTTTCCGAATTAGTGTAATTTTAAACTTTATTACGTCATAAAACCGGAAGTTACCGGTGGATCCACCGGCTTCCCTTCCATATTTGATTAAATATACTCGTACATTAAATTAAATTAAATTATAAATAATTAATTTATATGTTCGTGGCTGTGGTATAGGTGAAATGACGTTTTTGACATATAACATGCACGTTAAAAGCACTTTCTTTCGGTGATCCAACCGCGTTTGAATTGTCAAATCACGTTCTTTCGTGTGATCTTATGATCATTATTGCTAGAATCGTGTACAAACTGAACATAAAAGTTTTATGATTTGTTTACTGATCAGAATTCCTAACCCATAAATGCAAGGATATTTTTGCTCGAATGTTGGGTTAGTCAATATTTGTAACTAGAGGAGCATAATCGTGCAAGTACTTCCACTTGTATTTAAATTATTTTCATAATCCAAACAAAAAATACGTAATTCGAATGCAAATGTGTACTCCGTAAACTTAACCGTACTTTGATTTAAATTCGCGCGTTGTTTCGTAAAACGTGATCCGACGAACCACGATCTTGAAATCATGATCGCGAAGTAGCCGAAAGAAAGCGCCTTCGTTAGTGATACGTCACAGGGTGGAATAACATTCGTTTGAAAATGGATACCTCATTTTGCCGCACCTTGTACTTAAAGTCCAACATAAAACTTTACGCTTCTGATTACAAATATCATGACAATAATCTAAGAAAAGATGCGTCAATTTGTCAAACGGTAAGCTTTATATAAGTTACTAAGGACCTTACGTCATATTATACAGGGTGACAATTTGAAAACTTACCACCCCCCATATCTTATTAAATAAACGAGATATTTAAAAAAAATCAAAATCCGTTTCGGTAATTCGGAGGGGGAATCACAATGACATAGTTGGCGACGCACCCCCTCCAACCCCCTGCGCCCCAGCCACCCCAACTTTTAAATCTTAAATAGTGACCCCCCATGTGTGATACGTCGTTGGAAAGCTCTGAAAAAATGCTTTCCAACCATACCAAATAGCATTACATTTAGGTTAGTAATTATCGTGCAAATCAAAAAATAAACTAATATGATACATTTGAAATCTGTCGTATTTAAAAACCGGCGAACATAGACGAACTAAGACAGAGAATAATTCAAGAATGTCGAAATATTGCAAAACCAACATTTGAAAAGGTTCGACAAGAGTTTGAGAATAGATTATAACTGGCGATCAAAAATGAGTTGCTGTCGAGTCGGCTTTGGAAGTTCAAGTTAAATACGATTTTCCATGTTTATTTTTTGATTTGCACGATAATTACTAACCTAAATGTAATGCTATTTGGTATGGTTGGAAAGCATCTTTTCAGAGCTTTCCAACGACGTATCACACATGGGGGGTCACTATTTAAGATTTAAAAGTTGGGGTGGCTGGGGCGCAGGGGGTTGGAGGGGGTGCGTCGCCAACTATGTCATTGTGATTCCCCCTCCGAATTACCGAAACGGATTTTGATTTTTTTAAATATCTCGTTTATTTACTAAGATATGGGGGGTGGTAAGTTTTCAAATTGTCACCCTGTATATATTGAAAATTATACAAGGCGTACAAAGTATGATTACACTTGAATCGGGTTCGATGTTCATGTTATTCGACATAATAAAGTGCTTATTTATATTTATTTCTAATAGCTATATTGTTATAGCGTGGAATTTATTGCTCAACAGAACATTTTGTTTCAAATTGGGAGTGCTAGATTAACGTTAAGCTGGAACCCGTAAATGAGTAGAATGAAATGTATTTAGAATTAGATTATAAAATGGTAAACAAGGACTGTAGAATTTTTTCTAATTTATTGCTAACAACTTCTGTATTATTTGTTTAATAAACTGCAAGTCTTGAATGAATTGCTTTTGTGATAAATTGTGTATTAAATGAAAACAGTTGGGGGTCCTACTCGCAAGCAGTCTATATGAATCGTTCGCTGGATTGCATTAATTAATCAATCCCATATTTGCAAATATGGGATTGATTAATTAATTATTGTTGGAGGGGTGCCACCAACTCGCAAAGGTAAGATCTATTTTCTGTTTTATATTAATTGCTTACTAAATTAGAAATTTGAAATTAATTGCTCCATTTCGAACTTGGTAATTAAATGGAAATGGTTGAGGGGTGTCGTTTACTTACATGGTATGCTTTAACTTGTTTTGAGCAGTTATCAATGTAGCAATTGATTCGGAACATGCATAAGTAAGCGATTAATATACAGAGTGATTCAGCTTTAAAACCATCTCGGCAATAAATGTATTTAACGCACTCTTGTGAGTAAGTGGTAACTTCTTAACCCTCTTAATACACATGGTATAACTGAAATAGTTAATACAATACTTTTAATCTATTAAGCAAATAATGTAGAAGTTATAAGGTGTGTAAAGCGATGGGGTATACAAGAGGGAATTTTTTTTAAATATTGATGTATGAAAAAAATTTATTCTTCATTATATTTTTTGCTTGCTTTGAAAGTACCAATAACGTTTCCATAATCTAAAATTTATTTATAGAAATCTGGAAAAATAATAAAATTGATTTCTTTTATTGAAAGTTATCATTCTACATTATAATCAAGATAGCGTATTGCTATCAATCCACAAACAATCGAAACGTTTTTGGTACTTTCAAAGCAAGCAAAAAATATCATGAAGAATAAATTTTTTTCATAAATCAATATTTAAAAAAAAATTCCCTCTTGTATACCCCATCGCTTTACACACTCAATAACCATTAACTATTGTTGTCATAGATTTTTAAACCATTTTCTCCATACAACGAAAGTAGGTACAAAAATCGCACTTTTTCGCAGCAATTCTGAATAGGTAGATACATTATTTTCATGGAAACTAAAATTAAGGGATTCAGTCAACTTACATAGTATGACAAAATGTTATTTCGTTCTTACATTTTTACAATCTAACTTAACGTCCAGTATTTTATACTGTTTCTAGACAATGCTAAACCGAAGGGCATTTTCCGACGTCTTGGCAGATACACCGAAACATTCCCGCCTGAAGGAGGATTCTCGCCAAATCGAGTTCGTGCGAATAGGTCAAGCGTTAAAACTCGAAGCAATAGTGCGAGGAGACGCGCCTACAAGTTTAGCATCGGCCGGAAGCAGCGGTACAATTTTGAAAAGGTCTCCCTGGGAAGCGAATTGCTTTTACCCCGTTTTTCCGGCGGGTTCAATACAGAGCGGCGACTCTTGGGGAGAAAATAAGCTCGTTTTGGCCACAGAGGATGGCGTTTACGTCGTCGAGGGTAACTAATTACCGTGCCTAATTCTGATTGATTGATACTTATGTCTTATCGCAGATGGATTATCGCACAGAATGATTTTCGATCGTACTTTACAAGTACGCCAATTAAGCGTAGTTGAACCGCACGGAATTATGCTAATACGAGCGGGTAATTCGAATCGAGAAGGAAAGGTGTACGTTTTTCGCCTCTCGCAAATAGATGCGATAGTTGAGTGCCGATCGCGGTACGAAATTAAGGAACATAGATTGGAGAAAACAAGGGGAACGCACCTCTATGCACTTTCGCGGACGGGTAAGTTTAAACTCTTTGCTAATGGTATTAGCTGCATGGAATACCCACTTCTTTGCTTTGTAGGTGGTTCTAGATTAAGAATGTGTGTAGCAATAGGTAGAAAGTTATTATTATTTCAATGGAAACATTCGGCAGCTTGGACGGCTTGGTGTCCCGCAAATGACACCGACACTGTCGATGGATTTACATTTTTATGGGTGAGTTGCATGTATTTATTAAATTATGAAATTGCACAATCATCAAATAAGCATCATGCCACCATGAAGTGTATGAACATTCACTAACGTAGATACAATGAATTCCTTGCTGACATACAGTTCGCTTATACACGCCGAATGGTACATTAAATCAGCTTTTTTATTGCTTAAAACAGTTTATTTATACAAACAATTATTCAATATCATTTAAATTGTAAGCGGGACCCACTATGGTTCGGAAAATGTCTCATTTTTGAATTTTCCTGTACTTCATGTTTACTATTTTCTTGTAAATTCGTGTGGTATCTATTTATGCAGGGGAAGAGACACTGCGTGTCGTAAGAGGCAACAAATTAACAGTGAACTGATGAACAACAGACATTTAGGAAGTAGAGCGGATGTCTTAGGGTCGATAGTAGTTTATAGTTTGTTAGGTTGTTGGTAATTTTTACACGTTCTTGATTTTTTAGAACTGCTCCAAGAGCACAGTTGCTGGCATTCGGCCCCTAGCAGTACTTACCCTAACTGTAAGACGCGTCGGCGATCGCAACAGCGTTTAAACGGCAGAGTCGACATCCCAGTATTTGCGGGATCCCGCAAAATTTTAAATAAATTGGCAAATAAGCAATTTTGGGCGATTAACAACAAAAAAGTACCTTCAGCCTAACTTAGAACTCAAAAAAACCTCACCTGTACAGCACAAAAAGGTGAACTTCTAAAGTGCCTCAAAAATCATAGTACAATTTTAACGAAAAAAGTTAAACAATTATTTTAACAATAACTTCTCCGTTATGCGTTTCATTGACAACGTGAACAGAGTCGTCGCCCTTGGTCGACAAATTCCTCAGTCCCACAAATCCCGCGGGATCCCCCCCACTTATGTGCGGAATTGTATTGCATTCCCTAGTGAACATTGACCCTGGTGGCCAAAACTTCTTCTCACTTTATGATTCCATCCGCATATCCCAATCGAGCGGAAAGCTTCTTAAATTCGCTTCCTATGGACTTCCAAATTCCGTACAAAGAGCTTCCGATAATGCTGGTTTGTGGACCGGGATCCGCGATTCCGACGTCATCAAGATCTGCAACGTTGACTTCCAAAAGTTGCTGTCCACAGAGGTCGATTGCACCTCCCTATGTAGAAACACTACAGAAGTTCATGGTCTTGGCTCCAGCTTCGTTATTCGATGCAGATTTAGATTTGCACGGTCTACCCCTGGTGTCCCACATCTATAGCACACCATTTTCGGTTTGGCAGCTCCAGTTTACTACGAATCCACCTGTCGCCGACTGACATTAATTTTCCTTGGAGAATGTCTATTACTCCTTGTCCTTAAGTTTCTTATACCCTTCCTTTAAGTGATAAAAAATTTTGCAAAATGCAAATGGCAGACATTTTAATTTTCCAAACACGTTTTATCTTCCACCGCGGGCGATTTCTTAAGAGACTGTACACGAAAACTCTTGTTGTATATTTCGCGAAAGGTCATATGCGGCGGCAGAGAAATGACGGCATCGTATACTACCTGTCGCGCCGATCACATGACTGTGGAACTTTCACTTGAAAGGTAGCAGAAAAACAATTTAAAATCTACTTCTCCGCGGATTCCAGTGGCGGAACTCACGTCGAGTCCCGCTACAACTGTAAAAATTAATTTTTTGTAATGGAATAAATAATACCACGGCTAACTCCGAGGCTAACTCGGTAATAAATAAACTTTTAATGACTCCTGGTGGAAGGTTGGTTCTTTATCTCCTCTGATAATTAAACCAATTAATTACCGAGATTTTTTAACGTTCATGGTTGATCAAACACCTCGTACAAAAAGTCTATTCAAAATAAATTTACACGCCTATGGATGCTAAATAAAATAGAATGGGATTACTGACCTTAAAAATGAAATTTACCAATATTATCTTTGATTTGGGTTCGCTTATCATTCATAAAAATACACAAATTTATTCACTTCCCGTAGATCGACCTCTTCAGGAATATTAGAATGACTAAACATAAATCTTATCAATATAAAAAAATCAAAATAACTTACATTTATAGATGAGTTAAAATATTCTCCAGTCGACAGTTGATTTTCCTCTTCCGAAGGGTAGCAGCAATTTGGAAAATCGGATGGTGGAACGCCTCATCCAATACAATCGGACCTTTTGTAACGTCAAGTAAAAATATGGTTATTCGTTGAAAGTGAATCTCGAAAGATGGCTGACAAATTTGAATCCAGAACCGTGCTTCAGTTTGTACGTAATTTCTTAGTTATAATTTGATCTATTTGCTGGAATTGTTACCACTGTTCCGCAGTATTTATTAATGTTCGAAATTACCCTTACAATTTAGGCTTTTGACAGCCAACAAAAGCACGAACTAATTGACTCTAAACTTTTACCGTTTAATGTGGATCTAATAACACCCCGTTCGCGTATTGTACAGCACAGAGCGGTCCATTTTCTGCAGTGCTCAATGCTTTGGCGATGGTATACGCAATAGGTAGTCTGCCAATCCATCGCTCGCTACAGATCAGATTATAATGACATTACTCTGAAATGCACAATATTTTGCAGTACCGCAATCACCCGAGGTGACGCCATTCTATTAGCGGGCTCAGTCAGCTAATTAGTTTTATGGAAACACTGTGTCGTCTTTGCGGAAGAAAACAACGAAAAATTAAAGTTCAGCCAACATCATTATCCCGCCGTAAATCTAGAGGTTTACCATCAAGTGGTAGTAGAGTGCAAGCTGGAAGGCCTTCCAATAAGGAGCGCGTTAGACGCAAACATAATATTAGTTTAAATATTTCACAAAATGAACGCCAAATTACATTAGATTTTATTTTGAAAAGAGTAAATTTGTAGCTTAGAATAAATAAAAATGAAACAAATTAAAATTAAATATTGTCGTGTCCGAGCAGTTTTTTTTTAATTATTTGATGTACTGAAATAAAAATAAAACTGGAATAAATCAAGTTACAAATTGACTAAAACACTAAAATGATAAAAATAAAAAAAATGTTAGGTCTCTATATTTTTGATTTAATGCCTACACAAGTTTTACATTACGTATAATGAACGATAGAGATATGGTTGGAGCCGACAACGAGTTTAGACACACATTCGCATCCATTACAAAATACTGTATACATTAAGTAACGTCATTATATTGTGATCTGTAGCGAACGATGGATTGGCAGACTACCTATTGCGTATACCATCGCCAAAGCATTGAGCACTGCAGAAAATGGACCGCTCTGTGCTGTACAATACATTGGCAATACGCACCCCGTTCACACAATATAGTCATTCTAGGAAATATAGAAAAAAATAATTCGTGTAGTTCCATTTTTTTCGGGAATGTGTCGTTGAAGGTCCCCTGACGATTGTGTAATAAAGTCCCGAGCGATTTCGTTGCCGCCAGTCGGAAGGGAGGGGGTTGAGGGTACAATTTTGCAGTTTTTCGGCTATATTTCGGAAATGGTGGATCGTAGTAAAAAATTTTCTTATCAAAATTGAAAGCTCATAACTTCTACGACTTGGTTTCTATACACTTTTTGAAAAAACCCATCGTTTTCCAGTTACGGGCTCTTCAAGTTGAGAAATTTTCAAAAAACTCACGTTTTCGGTCGAACTTTTCTTCGAGCTCATTACGTGTTCACTTTTAACGTATAAGTGAATAGTTGTAGGGAATTAAATTTCCTTCAAGAATCATTAACATGTTGTTACACCAACAAGCTTCGACAGTTCGACTTTACCTACAACAAAAATGAAGTGAAATTTCGTGAGCGAAGATAATGTCCAATTCAGTGTACGTACAATTCCTCTCCATGAGGATCGTCTAGGTCCTCTTCATCTTCTTCCAGGATTGGTGGAAAGTGGAAACAGCTCCCTTGGCAGTTGGCACAGATAATAGTACAAAATACCTATGCCAGCCTTCTTGCATCTACAGCTAGCCCCGAAGTTCGTAGTAGAGCAACGGCAAAAATGGCTTGTAAAATTTTTTCCGGGGCTGGCGGAGCTGTGTTCTTTACTGGGAGAAGGTGTCCATAGTCACCTCTTTTGAAACCCCATTGTTCGGGAGGAAGTGATTTCTCCAGCCACTGCCGAACTTGTTGATTCAAGTAAGTAAAAATGGGTGATAGAGGGGATCAGCACTTTTTCCAAATAAACCAAGGGTCCAACGTGTTTCGTTTTGGAGCTACCCCCAAAGAAGTGGTGAAATTTGGATTTCTTCTTTAATTTTTTTCTCAGCAACCATAATAGTTACAAAGATGGGTGGCACGTCTTTGAATAGGTTTTCGGGTATGTCCTATCCGATTTTGAAAAAATTTCCAGGTTGAATGCGGGGCATCAAATTATTGTATTGTATTGTCCGTACATACTATCTTTTTTTTATCATTTACTCGTAATGATACTTTTTACTTATGTTTTTAAATACGTTTAATCGTTAAACATTCTGCACTGACTTATAGGTACCTACGCAATTACAAGAAACGATAAAATTAGCATTTATAGTGGTTCTGAATCTTTAAAAACGTAGACTCTGTTTTCAACAGTTTCGTGCTCATGAACAGATTTTCAACCAAAGCAAATGCATTTTAATGTTAACACGCTCAAACGAAGTTCGGTAGGATCGCAGATGTAAATATACTAGCTGTGGTAATATACGATACATTATGTATATAACAGATTGGAAACCCAACCTTACTCCTTCGATAAGGAATAGATTGCCGTCATCTGCTACTTAGTTTGTACACATTTTCTCTGGTTTGTGAATTATTAACAACCCTCGAGGTCGTTTATAATTTTGACCTGCTGTCTGTCTGTCCGTTTATCTGTCCGTCAGTCTGTCCGTCCGCTGGTCCGCCCGTCTGTCCGTCCGTCCATCCGTCCGTTTTGTCTGTCCGTGTGCACGATAACGTCCGGTCGCTTTGAAAATTGGTACACATGTACTTAAGGATATAAGAAACGTTGCTATTGTTTTTCGGCTATGTAGACTATAACGGACCAATAAGTTACAGCGCAAAAACTGCCCGAACCTCTAAAAAAGGGTATCTTTTATAATTGTTAGACAGAACATATGAATGCCCGGTTTTCTGTGTCAGTAAATATTCCTTAAATCTCAAGGAATACGCAGATGCAAAAATATTGTGTATGCGCATTTAAACTTTTGTTTCTGCGCAAACCAATTTTATTTGTTAAGATATTTCAATGAAATTTTGTATGTAGGCCTCGAGTAAAAGTAAAACTAATGCGAATCAGAAAGTTTGTTTCGCGCATGCGCAAGCTATTTTTTTAATTAGGTTATAAATGAATTGTATGTAGACACCTCGAATAAAAGTAAAATTAATGCATATTCAAAAAATGTGTTTCAAAAGCTATGATCTGGCAGGATAGAATCAACACATTAAGGCAAATGAAGACACTGTAATCTTGCACAAAAAATCCCTGCGACCGAATGTGTGCATTTACTTTACTTATTACAGGGTATATTGTCGACGTAAACACGGAAATTAACCCACTCATTTAAATGATTATTATCCATAAACAATTGAAGGCCTCATGGGATTTCTTGTAGGGAATTTAGGGGTCCGTTAACTTGGCCCCCCCACTGAGAGATTTCATAGTCGTATTATTTTGAAATGAATGCGCTCGTTATGCGCTCATATGCGCCACCGATAATAACTCTTGCGCCATTATCGTTTTTTAGAAATCCGAAAAAACATTTGGGGGGGGGCCAAGTGAACGTAGCCCCCTTCCTCAGTACGTATTTTGTTCCTTGTAACTAGGTCACCTGATACATTTGGTTATGCGCTCAATTGCGCCACTTGAATTAAAGCTAGCGCCATTACGGTTAAGCCGTGAAAAATTTTCAAAAAGTGGGGGGCCAACTTAACGTTTTTAAAAGTTACTTTTTTTTTAACATCTTTTCATACGAAATTGTACTCTCAGGTATGCGCTGAAATGCGCCGTAAAAAGATATCTTTGCGCCATTATTGATTTTTGGATATCCTTAAATATATTTGGGGGGGGGGGCCAAGTGAACGGAATCCCCCATAACGCATTTTGCTACCGGTATTTGTGCCACTTGATACATCTGGTTATGAGCTCAATTGCGCCCCTTGAATTAAAGCTAGCGCCATTACGGTTAAGCCATAAAAAAATTTTAAAAAGGGGGGGGCTAACAACGTTTTCAAAAGTTACGTTTTTTAACATGTTTTTTCTACTACATCGTACCTTTCATCATGCGCTAAAATGCGCCGTAAACAAAAATCTTGGCGCCATTATAGTGTTTCAGAAACACTATACAGGGTGTTTTTTTGGGATCTTTAGTTAAACGATTCTGGGAAAGTAAAATAGGTAGGTTTTTAAAAATTTGTATTTAGGAGTTACTCCGAAGGCCGAATCGATGTAAAATATTTTCAAAATGGACGCACTTCCGGAAATAACTTTTGAAAACGCTAAGTTAGACCCTCCACTTTTTAAAAATTTTTTATGGCTTAACCGTAATGGCGCTAGCTTTAATTCAAGTGGCGCAATTGAGCTCATAACCAGATGTATCAAGTGGCACAAATACCGGTAGCAAAATGCGTTATGGGGGATTCCGTTCACTTGGCCCCCCCCAAATATATTTAAGGATAACCAAAAAACAATAATGGCGCAAAGATATCTTTTTACGGCGCATTTCAGCGCATACCTGAGAGTACAATTTCGTATGAAAAGATGTTAAAAAAAAGTAACTTTTAAAAACGTTAAGTTGGCCCCCCCACTTTTTGAAAATTTGTCACGGCTTAACCGTAATGGCGCTAGCTTTAATTCAAGTGGCGCAATTGAGCGCATAACCAAATGTATCAGGTGACCTAGTTACAAGGGACAAAATACGTACTGGGGGGGCTACGTTCACTTGGCCCCCCCAAATGTTTTTTCGGATTTCTAAAAAACGATAATGGCGCAAGAGTTATTATCGGTGGCGCATAGGAGCGCATAACGAGCGCATTCATTTCAAAATAATACGACTATGAAATCTCTCAGTGGGGGGGCCAAGTTAACGGACCCGGAATTTAGGACCCACAATCTTCTATACATGTTTTCGTATCGTTTGCTTTGCGTTTTGAAATAAATGCCCGCGATCGTGATTTTTCTCCTAAAACTCGATAAGACTCTACCAGTAGATGTGCTAGAGATTCAACCTAAGTTGGTCGTCTCACTCTTACCTTGGATCAACGAGACACTGTGTCAACATAGAAGGACACACCATTATTTATTTTACAGCGTAGTGTAATAACGTGTTTCATAATAATTTACCATGATTTTCAGTTAGGTCGAGCTTATACACAAACTTTCGAGGTTTTTCGATGGGTAAACGTGCTGTACGAAATCAAAAATCTCACATTATAGAATGAAAAAATAACATGTAATGGAGGGAAATGCAAAAGCATAACATATGTACTTCTGTGTGCAATGGCGTGCAGTCACTACACTACTCCACCCACAAAACTCCTAATCACTAACTCAGAACCGATCGAAATTGAAACTTAGAATTTCATCATTTCTCTTCGTACACTTCTGGCATCTGCCATTAAGAAACGTCCCAATATTCACTTAAAATTTTTCAATTTGAGGCACTCAGTGGTCAACTTTCCAAAATTCCAAAGAATTTATCACCTACACAAATTTTAATTCGCACCTGAAATAAACCTTGGACACGAATGGAAAAATCTAATATGAAAACTAACTGGGTCGCACAACGGATTCGAATAAACACACAATTTATTGATTGACAATGACAAAAATGTATTCCGATACACACTAAACAAAATTAAAACAAAATCCCTGAAAGAAAGGAAAGCTTACAAAGCTTGTTTGGACATAATACCCAGCACGCATGTGGGCGATAAATAAAAAAAAACTTCAAATTGCTCAAGTACAAGTGATCTGGTCGTGAAAAGTTTGCGATACTCAGGCGCACTTATCAATTGATTCAAACTGGCTTGATGAATAAGACAAAACAATTTTCGGTGGCTGCTCAGACAGTAGAAACCTTTAACTTTCACTAGGCAGACAACAAACCGTTTTAAAAACTTTCGACAAACTTTTACTACTTCACTTGACTTGACGATAACTTAAATCCTTTATTAATATTGCTTAACTTCTTCTGCACACTTTAGTTCGAAACCCGCGAACTGCGTCATCAACAAAATAACTAAGGCATATTTAGTATCAACAAATTTACACGTTGTTTAACCGTCCCGGAACTCGCAGCAACCTCGTTTTTACATTGATTCCAGTAAATTGAGTAAACTACAAAAGCGATAAAATATAAGCAAGAAAATATTACGCAATTACCAACAATTCTAAATAGAAAAATAGAAACTGAGATAACAAATTCGAATAGGTACAATAAACCAACTTTGTGCTTATTCGGAGTAATACTTACATTTCTGAAATCAGTAGTATATTTTCGAATCCGATCCGAATGTTCTGGAATAAACGTATATTTTCCGGAAAAGATTGCTCCACATCCGCCTTCATTCCTTATTGCCGATGACTAATTTTTCATGGCGCCTCGATGTCTAGCGGGATTTCTGGAATATTCGTTATACGTTAGTTAAAGAAGTCGAAGATAATTAACATTCATTATACCTCAATTTATCTTGGAACTTATGTTTTCGCACATTGTATCGAATTAGTAGAACATTTTTTTGCGTGCTCCGAGGTTGACTGCAACAAAATTCCAAATGCACCACTACAATTTCGAATAAATATATTCGCTCATGCGCTTTGCTTTAAGAAGTCCATTTTAAACAACTTAAATATTGTTAAGATGTACTAAAGTAGAATAGGTATATGATTTTTATTTTTAGGAGTTATTATTAAATGAGAGTCCAAGCATGATTACAGTATTGGATTGTGGATGGAATCAGAGTTCACCTTCACATGGAGATATTTACCTATGCGTTGGGTACAAAAATCATTGGGACATTGTGAATGGTCGGACTGGTATAGCGCGACATTTGCATACCGTTGACAGTGCTAAAGCCCACTTGGTAGCTGCATTAGATTTGTATGAAGATCAAGAAGTTCAATTGCTTCTCTGTTACAATCGTTAAGTAACCAATTAAATTTAATGAAATTTAATGTAAACTTTACAGATACATGCCATTTCCAAAAAATTAACGAAGACAGCATAACCAACATAGAATTTGATTTCCATTGGAATTCCGTACCTACAGATATTGTGTGCGCTTTCCCGTACGTAATAGCCTTTACATCGAATACGATGGAAATTCGACTGGTTGTAAATGGAAACTTAGTTCACACGATGACAATGCCGAAGTTGCAACTTTTGACTTCGAAAAATGATGTTTTCTTTTCGACAACTTCTCCCGAATTTTTCCCTAACAAAACTGAGCATCTTACGGTGGAAATAAAATCGACAGAGACGACTAAGCTTACTCCACCGCAAAGTCCAAACGGTATTTCTATAACAACGCGATTTCCTTTTCAAGTGTTATGAAATCTTTTAGCATCTCCAGAACTTCGTCCATTGCGATTGTATCGCATTCCAATTCAAACTCTTAGCCGACATTCGAATTCGGAGCACAAGTATGTTTCAAGTGGATCGACAGACACTTGGAAATCATCCGACTTTACATTAGGCGTCCCAGAGCAACCGCGAGTGTCCCGTAGTGCAACTAGCTCTCCAATTCCTCCAACTAAAGGAAATTCTTTAAATTGAAGTCATAATTTACTGTGTTTTTCAGAGATGGTCGTAGAACGTTTTAATGAAAATGGTATCCCATAACAGTAAATTTTATACGGAGTAGAAAAGTAATTTACATTTTGCCTAATCAATTGTTTAATTTTATTACCTCACACAAATTTAATACCAACACGGGAGATTCAATGTTTGATGGTTGTTTCATATCATTCCCTGAATTTAATTTAATGTTATCTTTCCATTAACCATTACTTCAATTACCGTCTGGATAGTCAATTTGCATTCGGAAAAACGGGTTTTGGATATAATAATAAAATACTTCTAATGTATATGCACCTATCTACTAAATCATAGTATAATAAATTACCTATATATCACAATAATGGTGTTCATTACTGTGTTACTATCACAAAGTTAACGTTTTCGATCATCTCTTTGTTGTAAATTGCCTTTCTTAATTGTTTTACTCTGTGATATATGTGTACTTAACATTTTAAAAATATCAAACATGTCAAATAAATATTAGAAGTATTATTTGGTAGCTCATTTTAGATTCGTTGTGAGATGTGTGCGTGTGAATATTAGACAAGGGGTCCGAACCACGGTCCGCAGTGTAGAATGGATAGTTTCACCGTGAGAGAAAGAATGCACATAAAGGTAGGAAACAGAGACAATATAACCTCAAAAACTGCAAACCATTGACTTAGGACCCCAAAAATGAACTGGAACGAAATAGAAAAGGAGCATTCTATTTTTTTAATAATCAAATTTGTCAAAATCATAGGTATTTCTTTTGAATTTTTTTTTTTGAATTTTGTCAAATTCTATTGACGAACTTGTTGACATTGAACCATACGATAGATCACACAATTCTTTAATAAAATAGTACCACAGACCTGGTAACAACGAAAACGTTACAACAAACTAAAATAATTGATGTGTATACTATAGGTACTACCTAGGTAAGTAATATCGCGCTCGCACATTATGCCCGAAGTACCTATATATGCTATGGCAGCGGTGTCGAGATTACGTAAGTGATAATGTAAAGCAGATGAAGACAGATGTTAATTTTCCCTCCGTATGAATTCAGGTTAAATTCAAAATACTGTGATGACTTAACCCGCCAGGTTGTATGCGTACTTATACTACGGAAATAAAATCAACACGACAGCGTTTAAGAATAGCCACCGGAACACCTGCACCCCCAAAAACTATACCAGTTCCCACTTTTGAAATCGAAAAGTAATATGATCGAAAGTTTAAATCAGAGCATCCTTAGTAGTTGTAAATAAAACTTACTTATGCCCTGAAGTACAGAAAAGAAGGAACGCAAAACAAAATACTGGACGCGTGTTCGACACAGGTGGCCAGGTCTTTATTGACAGGTGACGATTCGTACAGAGAGTTTAGAACCGCATACAAATAATGTATCCAACTTTGATAATAGTAAACTCTCTACAATCCGGCATCCCAGTAATCCGGCGCACTTTGACGGGCGTGGTGTGGGATTCAAGTTGAGACACGTTATTGAAACTATTATTTCTTAGAGATAATTTGTGAATATCTCACTTTTGATTCTAAAATACCTTTAATTAGGTAGTTATTTTGCTACAATGAAACACCTGTTTCGTGCGTTTCAACCCTTTTTATTAAATAAACTTCCAGTAATCTGGCATTTTCATCCGCTCCGACAGTATCTACCACGGTCCAATCTGCCGGATTACTGAGAGTCTATTGTATGTACGAGTATTCAAAGGTATCCATGTTTCACAATGGAAATAAAGCAAACTGCGCAACTGTCCAATTTCTATTTGAGAAATTTTAATAACAGAGCAAGCAACCCAAGGAAAAGGCAGCTAATTGACGATGAATTAAGGAAACAAGGAATCGATGTAGCCATCAGTCTACAAGAAACCAAGCTGGCAAGCGGCATGGCTGCGACAAGGAACTACGACTGGTGGATAGGTGGAGGGAAGAAGGAGAGAACCAGCAGAGGTACGGCAATCGTAATCAAGAAGTGCCGAGGCATTGAGGTGGAGAAATTTGAAGAAAAAAAGCGAGAGTATATTCAGCACAAGCGACCAATTGCAACTACCGACACTACTGGCGTACGCGGACGACATACTTGTAATCGCGGGTAAGTTAGAAGACATTGAGAGCGATAGGTCCACTCACAAATAAACAACGAAAAGAGCTACATGATGATAAGCGACCCAAGAAGCAACACCCAGTACAAAGAAGGAGACAAGAACGCAATAGCCGGGAAGGAGATAACTATGAAGCACAAGATTAAATATCTGGGAGCGTACATAAGCAGCACACTCAGCAGGCACAACACAGTGAAAGACAGAATAACCAACGCATTCATAATCACACATGGAGTTCGGAACTTCATACGAGAGAAGAAAATACCGGACAGCTTGAAAATGATGATTTACAACACGATCATAGCACCGACAATCTTATACGGGGTTAACACCTCAGCGCTAACAAGAAGTAATAGACTAACTTTGAGGAGGGCGGAGCGAAAGGCACTGATGGAAAACACTAAACAGCAACCTTACAAGAAAGCCGATAAGGGAATTAACATCGGAAACATATGAACGCCCGGAGAAGAAGCTATCATTAGAAAGCAGAGTTCCCTTCCCTCTAAGGCAGAATACCAGTGGCGAAGCTGTGGCCGTACCCGTTCGGGTCGGATAACACCCAGTTAGCCGCCCCCCCACAACCCCCCCAATCCACAAACTCCACCACATTGTTTGGCATATGTCGCGGCCCAGCGCGATGGCAACAAAGTAGTGGTGAAACGTCCCTGATAGTGCCTACTAGGGACGCATCCTCACAACAGTTGACTAAATCCTGGGAGAGGCGGCGACGCCAAGCATATGTCAAAGTTTCAAGTTTCAAGATGCTTCTAGAAAAGATAATCGTATTAGGTACCTGAACCATGAAAAATCGTGACAATTAGAGTGTGACCTTTTGGGAACTACTATTCAATGTATGGAAAATGCGCTAAAGTTCCTCGCCTTAAGCTTCATTCACAATGCAAGAATTAGCAATTACCAATTAAAGTTAACAAACTTCAAACTTCTGCGCTAATTTGTACGCTACTTGTAACGATGTCATGCGCACGGTGTTTGTATTTCAGGGGATTTGCTTAAATTCTATCATATGAAAATTAATACCTAAACTCGTTTCGTCGCCACATTGGCGGGTATGATTATTTCCAGAGACACGGTTACTAAACGCAGCCCAGGATTAGGGGGGGGGGCTTTGGGGGTTACAGCCCCAGGCCCCGCGCCTTAAGGGCCACAGTCTAAGGATGTACTATTTATGAATTAAGACTGATTCTCACTATACATAACGTTTCCATACCATATCCTTTCCACAACCATTCCGTAAATTATTATACCTATGAAATTGACCTTTAAGTGATATGTGCGTAAGACCTTCAGCCACGCGCTAATACACATTCTCCTTTCCGTTCACATATGGAAGGCGAATGTGTATTAGTGCGCGACTGAATGTCTTACGCACATATCACTTAAAGGTCAATTTCCTTTCCTTTCAATTGGTTATAGAAAGGATATGGTATGGAAACGTTATGATAAGTGAGAATCAACCTTTGTACTTGAAAATATTTTATCTACCATAGTCTCTCAAATACCTAAAACATTAAAAAAGTCCTTAACGCCACTATGGGGTGATTGAAAACATTTAAAGTTTCAAATTTAGTATAGGTACGTGTAATTAAATCCATGTATGTTAACGTAACACAACTATATACAGTGATATTTGTTAAGAGGTAGACACGGCATCACATCAGAACGTAACATGCAGCTCTGTCCAGCCGGAGCCACACGGCACGGACATGGCCCGGTGTAACATGAATGAACCAGCCCGGCCGGGGCACGGTGCCGTGATCCGACCGGGACACGGCCCGGTCTAACGTGAATCATCCTTTAAAGGTCAATTTCATAGGTATAATAATTTACGGAATGGTTATGGAAATGATATGGTATGGAAACGTAATGTATAGCCACAGATATAGTAAAGAAGTATATCTGTGGTATAGCTATATAGTGAGAATCAACCTTTATACAGATTTTGTTTCTCCTTTTTTTAAAGCGGTTTTCTAGTATGTCATAATATATTAATGTCTGTTTGCTATTCTGAAAAATCTGTTGGCATTCGTATCCGATAAGCTTCATCTTTACTTTAGTATTATTAGTATACACGGTGCTTTTTTTAAGATGGGCCATACGACAATGTAAAGGCGTTGGGTTATTTAAAATGGGCCATAGGGAAATTTAACATTGCATCAATTGTTTCAGTCATAGCTTCCTCGCGAATCATCTGCCACAGTACTGTAGAAATTGTTTCTAAATCAACAAATTTATTCAAATCAGATATAAACGTATAAGATTACAATCGGTGCTCGAATTGTTTTCCACCGGCAACCAAACATATACTCGGCACTGAATAACTCGCATACCACTTAGCTTCTGTGCCCACTCTTGTACAAATTGTACTACATGAACACCTTTTCGAGAGGCGAAATACATGTTGCTGCTTCGTTGATGCAGGATCAGATTGAGAACTGTCAGTGAAATAACTAAGCGCAAGGCCAAGATTTGAGAACAATTGGCGCAATGTAAATTTCCCTATGACCCATTTTAAATAACTCAACGCCTTTACATTGTCGTATGGCCCATCTTAAAAAAAACACCCTGTATTGTATTATAAGTACTAAGTATGTATTGTTAAGTGCGACATAAATTCCTTTTAAACAGCATTCCCGAAATTAATGCGAAATGGAAACTTGTTGCTGTTGTTAATATGATACCTAAAAAGGACATTGCTGTCACTCTTAAAATTAACAAATTAATTTTGTGCTCGATTTTGTGTATTGGAAAGATGAGTTTTTCTTAATTTCTGCTTTAAGGCCGTATGACACTGTACTAAATTTAATACCAGATTTATAAAAATAATTTGAATCAAAATTTGATACAAAATTTTGAATAAAAAAATTTACTTCTGTCTGACACTATTACTAAATTTTGAAAGGAAAATTGTATTTGCGCCTGTGCTGTTTGGATTAGTATGTAGGGAATTGTGTTTATTTTCCAGCACTATATTCTGTGGTTCTAGTTTGGTTCAATGTCTGTGGTTTTCACTAATAGGTTTCTTTGCAACATAACCTATAAACTTTGTTTATTAACAAAGCTAAGGGGCGATCAAAAATGAGTGGCTGTCGAGTCGCCTTTGGAAGTTCAAGCTAAATACGATTTCCCATGTAAACAAAAATTCCAAAGGTGACTCGACAGCACCTCATTTTTGATCACATAGTATAAACGAGGTATTATGGAATTTGCTGTAGTTACTGCAACTTCTATCATTTTAATAGCAAAAGTGTTATTGCGTTTAAAACAACGGCGTAGTCATTACAAATAAACAGATATGATGCGTGGCAACTTTCTGCACAGTTTTTGTATATAATTTATGCAGTTTTTAGAACGCGTTCTAAATAATTTTTGCCCACAAATTTTGTTGCAAGTTTTCTTACGAAATGCGTATGACACTACACAAAATTTTGTACAAATTTTTGTCATAAAAATTGCGTACTAAATTTAGTACTGTGTCATACGGCCTTTTTTTAAGGGTAAATACCTACGCACTGATTGTAATTGATAATTCTTGCATTATGAATGAAGCTTTAGAGCGAAAATTTTTTTACCTACTTGTTTTCTAAATTGTCCACAATTATGGAATGTTGCTCCTACATTGTTCTAGCACCACGCTGTTTGGTATCTGTATTTTCAACGGATACAAATTCGAAGTCGCACGTCACTTTTAAAGTCACAACACATCTAATCGGTTAAACCTACATTAAAAATATATCTAACCTTACAATTAAAAAGTTTAAACAGTTGTGAGTTGTGGTAAGCTACGAGTAAAATCGTAGGTGGTAGGAATTCAGTACGCCTAAAGGTATGTTCATAGCTCTCCGTTCATACTTTTCCGTTTGTCCGTTAGCCAATCAGAAGACAGTAAATTTGTAAATCGTAGGTCGTCGTCCACTAAGGCTGATTCTCACTATACATAACGTTTCCATACCATATCCTTTCCATAACCATTCCGTAAATTATTATACTTATGAAATTGACCTTTAAGTGATATGTGCGTAAGACATTTAGCCGCGCGCTAATACACATTCTCCTTTCCGTTCACATATGGAAGGCGAATGTGTATTAGCGCTCGACTGAATGTCTTACGCACATATCACTTAAAGGTCAATTTCGTAGCCTGTAATAATTTAGGGAATGGTTATGGAATGGATATGGTATGGAAACGTTATGTATAGTGAGAATCAGCCTTAAGGCTCATAGTTCATAGCTCTCCGTTCATACGTTTCCGTGTGTGCGTTAGCCAATCAGAATACAGTAAACCGTACGTCGTCCAATTACCACGGAAAAGTTGGTCGAAGTTGAACATTTACGTTTCCGTTGATCCGTTTTTTAACAATAGTAAGGTTATGTTTGGGATGAACGGAGAGCTATGAACCCACCTTAAGGAAGGAGCTTATATATTATTAGCTAGGATCTCAGAGTAAGAAATAAAGATAGAGATGGCTTGAGGCTTATCAAAACGTGCCATCATCTCGTCGAGTTTGTAAACATTGCAGAAAGCGAACTTGTCCCATTTCGCGAGACGATTTTTAAGGGAATATTAATAACACATATATTTGAAAGGATCTAAATGGATTTTTAAATATTTATAAGTTTATCAATTATAAGTTGAAATTAAACAACTTGTGATAATCCACCCTGATGGTTAGGCAACACACATTTACATCCGAAACAAAAATATAATATGCTCTGTATATAATCAATGACGGTTTTGCGCAGATGCCGTATACTAGGGGATTTTCGTAACGAAACTAGGAGAATGGAGAAGATGGCGGCGAGGTCGACGGAAGGCACACGCTTTCCCGGTTTTTTTATTATTCTTGATTATTTTTGGTGATGGTGTTTTGAAGCTGTATTTACAGGTAGTAACCATTTTATTCTTTCTTGTACTAGATATTTAATCATTGAATTTCTTGCCACAATGTGATATTTACATTTTGCTGATTTTGCATAAACTACGATATCTGAATCATGGCGTACTCCATGCCTTTGTTTCGTGTACCGTTAGATGAATCATGTTTGTGTCATATTGTACAGATGATTATGCCATTATTTTGTTTAATTAAGTAATTTACTTCAGTTATTCATGAGGAGTTGATTATCGGTGTGATGTTGCTCTGATCGATTGACCCGTAACAATTCCGTGAGGGAAGCACCTAATACAGTTTGATTGTTCGCTGTATCTGTTACTTTCTGTTTCGTGGCTCGCTACAGTTCTTGTGCGTTAGCTATACGAAGGGGGGCTCTTTTATTTGATGTTTCGATGTTTGTGTGTGCGAGTGGGTATTTCTGTCTCCGTGGAGTAGGTACCTAATGCAGTTAGATTTTTCGCTGTATCTGTTGCCTACTCGTCTCGTGCGGATTGTAGTTCTTAACATCTTAGCAATACGAGTGGGGCCCTCTCATTTACATTTCCTCTATTTAAAATATGTTCTGTTTGAGCGATAATCGATTTTCACATGAATACTTGCTATTTGGCCAATGGCATTCTCACATGTACTTTTCGTGTTAAATTAAATTATGTTAACTGAAGGATGGAGTAGAGCCACACCATTTACATGTTTCCTATGTACATGCAATTTGTGTATTTGACGAGTTGTGTTATTTCTATTGATCGTACAGGTATTTTGATGTTTTTTTGCACTGAATTGATTTATCATGTTTTCCACTGCATTTATGATGTCTTGTGTATTTTGTTTTTATGAACTTTTAATTGCATTTGATTTGATTATCTGATTTTTATGATACCATTTGAGATGTTTTATTTATGTGTATTTTCTCTTGCATTTTATTGCTGTAGATTATTTATTTCATGTATTGGTGTGGCCTCTGCCAGGGTTTTAGTCCCGGAGAAGGTTTCCCTGGCATGGTCTTGTGTGTGCGTTAATATATTTATTTGATCTTGTCATTTCTTACGCACAAAAGTTCTGTCTTTTATTTAATTCCCTTCCCGATTATGTCTCACGGCCCAACACATAAAAGAACCGATTACACAACGTAGGAGTCCATTCGTGCCATCCATATCGAGCCGACTGTCATCCAAATTCAAAAGTGCCGCGAGACTACCATCGTTTTGACTTGAAAGGTAGGTGGCTCTGCTTGTAGTTTTTGCCAGAGTTGCCAACCGTAAGTATAGGGTAAGTCAACGTCTTCCGTGTCGGCTTGATAGACCCCCCTAGGAACATTACAAACTTAATAAGAAAATTTATGATAATTAGTGTGTCACGACGGCAACGCTGTAGCGATTTGACAGATGAGAGAGATTTCTTTTCAATTCCAATTCCAACCCTTCCCATATAATACCAAAATCCTGGCTGCGCCACTGCCTGCCTGTATAGTATAGATGTAATCGTTTTCGGAGAAACGAAGTGGTCTCATTGCGCAAGTGAAATACTAGTAATTGTAACATATGGTAATTTGTAAACTAATTATAACTTAAAACAAGGGACGAAGAAAAAATGCGATTCCAAAGGATAATTATTATTCAAACTAGTTCTCCCGATTCCAGGAGGTATACGCCAAACCCTTCCCCAATTACTCCCCGGTGTGCTTCTGGAGTCTTATTTCTTTATTCTCAATTTGAAGTACAGGCTCCATCCGCTTATTAATAGAGGGGATAGCACACTCCACAAAAAACTACAGGACCCTATTGCTTGGGTCAAATATAATGATTGGATAATTTGTAAAATAATTAAAATCTGAGGCGCAATAATACTTATCATTTCTTATTATTGTCTACATCTTTTGAAGACACTGATATGGATCTAGGCTTGCACTCCAGCAGTAAATATGCCTGCAACAGTAGGTAGCTACTCTTATAGAATAAAAGTACAATAATATGTAACGAAGGAAATAAGATAGTTTTCGTTTTCGTTTGCGATCAATTCGTCACCACTCTCTTGGCTTATTTCGATAACCTTCAAGTGAATGCGTAAACGTGAACTGTACTGTAAAATGGAAATTCACTGACCTACCATTTCGTAATTGTTTGGTAGGTGCTGTTTAAAAAATGTGATATAAGTTGGGCAAATGTATTGGATATAATATAGAAGCGATCTGTTAGTATTAGGGTACGGTCTAATCGATTATGTTTGTAATAAATTGCTTCGTCACAACTCTTGTTTATTTATAGACACTTATTTATCTTCTGCTTCAAAATTAGTTGTACTTAACAAGAACTAATTTGAGCGGCGCAAAAAATACCTTAATTCTCCAATGTATCGGCAGTCCCACTTCTAATTGCTTATTGTGCGTTGAGATTTATGTATACAATAAAAAAATGTACTTGATCAAAGCAAGATAACCGACATCAGCATACCGCATCAACGCTATTGACTTTTCTCGTCCGTCCATAGGTTATTTTATTACTATATGAACAACACACGTGGCACGTGTTGCTAGTCTTTTACGAATTTATATCATTATTGTTTATTCAGACGTTGCGTAAGTTCGTGACTCAATATTCATATCTCCAGCAAAATATTTAACACAATTGAAAATAAACATACGCTTGGAAAATTTATAATGAATCGTTGTGATGAGTTAGAATGGTTATTCTCGCCTAGCAGATGGTCAAGGAGATACAGAGCTGAAGAGATTGTTCAAAAGCACATCGAGTTTATTACCAAAGGTAATTAGCATGTCTCCATTATTACAAGTTAATGGAGGGTGGTTATAATTTCAGCCAGTTATCTCGCACGAAAGTATGTACCATGCCAATTAAATATTCCGTATGGATCAACAGATAAAGAAAAACTGGATATCTTTGGAACCAATCTACCTTCAGGTAAGAGACAAATCGTTTTGGTAATAAAAGACTTGACGCAAAATGACGGCGTTGACTATGCGCATAATATTTAATTTGATAATGTTGGTATCCCGGTAATCACGAAACATAACGCTCACGTGATTAAAAACCGGTATTTCATGTTTCAGTTAAACTTATCTGATGCAGTCTCATACATGGTAGGTACATTTGTTTCTATATGACTAAGATGGATATCTTTATGTGTGTAGTACGCATAATTTCATTCCTGAATTAGTCATGTAAGTGAAGCCTTTTGACTTTTGTAATTACGAATAACGCACTAGGTATCGAAAGCAAAATCGTGCAGAAGATCGTACACCAAGAGATTTTAGTTCTCATTTTCAGGCACAAACGCATTTAGTCCTGATGATCGTTATGATTTTTATCCAAAATTGTCCAATAAAGGAATACGTTCAATTACACATATTTTAATGTTTTACCTCTGCTATATATTTATTCATGTTAACGTTAAACTATAATGTTTTTTGAGGATTTCTACTCGGTTTTCCATCCCAATATATTGATACTTGTTGGTAATCCGAATGTGACCTTTTGAGGAGCAAAATTGCAATACTCTTGTTTCGGCATGTCCTTGGACTTTCTTCGCAATCTCTAATTTGTTGGAAACGGAGCTTTCTGCAGAATTACGTCTAAGAGATTCGCCAGTATATATGTAGCAGTGGGGCTCCATCCTCACCACTTTTTTTTAGCCTAAGGTCGTGGCCTTGGTGAGGGGATTCGCCCGGGCTTTGGTATTTTTTTTGCGTATCTAAGGAGTAGTGTTGCCGCGAGACGAGACGAGACGAGACTTTCGAAAGTCTCGTCTCGTCTCGTTACCTCGAGACGAGACCAAGTCTGAGTCTCGTCTCGTCCTGGTTCAGTCTCGTCTCGTCTCGTCTCGTCTAGTCTCGTTTGGTCTCGCCTGGTCTCGAGACACTATCCAAATATAGTGTATGTAGGTAGAGCAATGAGCATATAGCATATCAAAGACCACGAACTACGAAGGCATGACAAGTAAATAATAGGAGTAATATAGTAGGTACGAGAGCCGGACGCATGGAACCAGTAGTGATAAGCTAACAAGATGAAATCTTTGTTACTGGATTCCTTGCAACTTGAATAACACAAAATGAGTTTTCTGCCAGCCTTTTTCTGGCCGGAATGTTATTAAAAATAGGCACTTCCGGTGATTTTTTTTCCGCAAATTAAACCAAAAACCAAACCACCTGAAATTGATAACCGTAGGTTGAGGGCGATGGGTTTTAAGGAAAAATTCTTTTCTACCGAGTTTTGTCCAGCCGGAAATAGCGGCAGAAGCGGATTAATTGAACTGTTTTTTTGTGAATTGCTATACTCATAATACAACAACTGGAGGCCTCAAGATGGCCTCCGTGTCCGTGGGCACAATTAAACAAGATATGTACGAAGAATCGCATACGATTTTCAGGGAATTTTTTGACAGCTCGTAATCGGAAACACGACTTCTAATCCGCAGTGATCCTTGAACTCGTAGAAATCGATTCGCAAAAGTTTATCTTTTTTTGTTCTCGATTTAGACTATTCTGCTAAAACAGTACAAATAAATACAAACAAATTCGAGACCAAACGAGAGTCTCGGCGAGACTCTCGACGAGACTCATGCTTAGTCTCGTCTCGTCGAGACGAGACTGAACCTCGGTCTCGTCTCGAAAATTCGAGACGAGACGAGACGAGACGAGACTGAGTCTCGTCTCGGCGGCATCACTACTAAGGAGTGGCCTTGTTTTATGATGTAAGGTCCTGACCTAAGATTTTCGTGGTCAAAAAATCCTTGACCTCTTGCAAAATTATCATAGCAAAATCTTCCTTTTGTACTAAAGGTCGGTTGTAAAAGTCTCTGAATTCTTCGGCCCACCGAATGTTTGTATAATAAAATGGTCATACACATTTAGGAGGTACATTTTCCCAGTTTTACGCTTGCAAGTTTTTAACACCTGCCCATATCACGAGCTACCTCCATCGACAATTTTCAGAGAAAAAACTTACCGTCTCGTCGAACCCAACCAACTGACGAAGATTCAGCCTGTTATTAATCACTGAATAAACAAAGGCGGTGGCTGCCGTGGACTATAATAATAAACACTTACCTACCTACATTATCTGATTACAAATTTCTAAAGAGCAGTCGCAAGAAAATGATAACATTTAAAAGTAGTTATACTGAAAACTAATAAGCAGGTAAGTTGTTTTTACTTGTACTAGTGAACCGCACTAAACGAATACCAGTAAGCGAGATTTCAAGTTTCACATTTCTTGAGTTGCGGTACTTACGGCTGTAATAGTTACTACCATGTTACCAAGTCATAATATGCTTAAAACTGAATTCCAGCAAGAAATATTCCGACGGTGAAATATTCATTGGGTATGCTTAATTAATTTAAATTTAGATATGTCAGAGAAATAAGTTCTACCAACCAACGTTTAGTGATATTTTGCCGGCCTAGGCCGGAAAATGATGATCCAGAAGGACGCATCTGGCTACGGAACACAAAGCTTTGAAGCACGGAGACACAAAAATTACTATTGCTTTTTCTTGCATTGCTTTTGTTTCATATTTAGGTAGAGTACATAAAAATGTCCCCCTATTATTATCGTTAAAGTCTGCTTATTTTATTAGAAACATTGTCACCAAGTCTAAAATGGACGAATATCTATATTTTCAAAATTCCAAGCATTGATAGAAAAATATAACACACGTATAAACCTTACTGTTTGTTTTATAGACTCGCCTATAGTAATATATGTCCACGGTGGGGACTATTGGCAAGAATTGGGCCGAGAAATTTCCAGTTACATAGTTGCACCTTTATACAAAAATGAATTCAAAGTCATAATTTTGGGATACACTTTATCCCCCGAAGCAAGCTTACACCAAATTCAAGAACAAATCAGTAGGGCATTTCTAAAATGTGTGGACTATGCAAACTCTTTGGGCTCCAGGTATTTACACTCCACCTGCAAAATGAAAGAACTCGTTTTCTTTTGTTTCAGATCTCTATACGTTTGCAGCCACTCCGGCGGATGTCAACTAGTGGCCAGTATTTTTCAATCGAGTTTCAGTACCATCCCTTCCGACAGCGCGAACATTTTGAAAGGGGTCATTTTCATAAGTGGAATCTACGATCTGATTCCGTTGACGAAAACTCGCGCAAACGAAACGTTACAATTGGATCTAGCGGGTGCTAGGAAACTCAGTCCACTATATCAACCGTTTCACGCATCGGAGGGGATAATATTTTTTGTGATAGTTGGAGAAAACGAGAGTCCAGCCTTTGTGGAACAGTCTGAAGCGTTTTATCGAAAATTAAAAGGTCTCGGTTATAAATCCGAATTTATTGTTGTTAAAGAAGTTGATCATTTCGATATTGCGGAACAGCTTAACGAAGAGAATTACGAAATTGTTCGACTGATCGTCAGCATGGAGGATTATTAAAAGACGAATGAATATTGAAAAATGAAGTTTGTTGCCCAGGAATCAAACATCGCCATTGCACCGTGAACGACCATTTTCACAATTAATTAGATCGCTTTGCATGTTTTCATGTAACTACCTATAGACATCGTTTTACACCAAAGAAATATATATGAATGGATTTACTCGTATTAAGTTGTCTAATTGTTGTATTGCGTCCTTTTTGTTTTATTATGAATAAATAAAACTAGTTTTTTTCTTCTTCTTTTGAAAAATAAAGTTAATAGCATGTGCATTGCGCATAGTGGAACCAAAGAGTAGGTATATAATGTAAAGAGCGAAAATTTTTACAAGCGATCAAAAAACGCCCTTTTTTTCCAACTTTTCTAAAAAACTTTGTTAACCTTTCTTTAATGCGTTGTGGCTCCTGAAGGAACGATGAAATCCACTACCACCCCCTCCCTAAAGATTGTAGAACATCAATCAGATGAATCAGAGGGTTCAAAAAGTACAAACAATTTAAAATTGAACCAATTTTTGAAATTCGTTGGAAAAAATGGGCGTTTTTTGACCGCTTGTAAAAAAATTTCCTATTGAACCGATTTTGTTTGTTCGTCTTTGGATCGACGCAGAATTTTGTTGTCTTTAATTTACTACAGAAGTGTTATTCATAAAATATGGACCGTTTTCGAGTTTTAAGCGAAAAACTGAAAAAAATGAGGTTTTTTGGCTGCCAAAAGTTGTGCCGGGAAAAAGATTTGGTATTGGTGTCATTGGATCAGAAATTAATAGTATATTATATACTGAGGGACTAAAGTGTGTGTTTTGATCCTGAGGGTGCAGATTGTTGCCCGGAACGTAGTTGAGGGCAACAAGCACTGGAGGGATTAGGACTTTACTTATATACTCTGTGATTAGGACGCACCTTAGTCCTGTGGTATATACGCTATTTTTTGTACTCCGGTAATCAGCTACGGCAATTTCAATGTAAAAGTGCAAATTTGAAAAAAAATTTGGTTTATTGTAGGATCAATTTACATTGATTAATTAATCCTTCACTCAACGATACCTACTACCATTCAATAAATTAATCAAATATAGCAAACGAGCTCCTGGGTATTATTATTTATTGGGCTACATTGCTAATTCACGAACTCCGATTTACAAATTTGATAAAGAATCCACCTGCAAAATTTCATCGTAATCGGTTCATTCGTTTATGAGTTATCGTGCTAACTAACGAACGGACGGACGGACACCGCAAAATTTTAAACTCGTTAGGAGCTCGTTAATAAAGGTTTTTATTACTTATACTACTCATTGTCAGACATACAGGGTGTTTCGAAATTCGCGCACACGGACTGTGGGATGGTGTTATACAACGAAAACTGAATAAAAAGTTCCTCTACCAGTTTTTGATCAGACCGGCACTTTTTTTTTCGACGTGCTGCAGCAGACGGCGGACATTTTGAACAACTGTTGTAATTACGTACTCGTCATAATTATAGTTTATTTTGAACCTTCTTTTTGTTTTAAAAAATGTGTTATTATTAAGTTTAACCAGTGGCGCAGCGTAGGGGGGGGGCGGAGATTTTTAAAACCGTGGTAGCTCGAAAAATAGCGATCTGATGGAAAACTGGTAGAGGAACTTTTTGTTCTACAAAATAATTTAAATTTGGAATCATAAAAACTGCGAATACTTATAAGATGAAAAGAGACATCAAATTTGTAACGGCCAAACGCTAAGATTGTTTTCGCTATTTTTTACCAGAGGCAGCACTTACTCTATGTACGTAAGGTTGAAAATGAAACAATTTTTACGTCTCCTGCCCCGCTACCGTTTTGCCTAGAAGCTAATTCTTATACCGGGTGATCGAAAAAAACTGCAGACAATTTAAATTTGGCGCTTTACATTTTTAATGTTTTTTACTTAAGGAATTGGCAAACATGTTTAGAAGTTGGTTTATTTATGCCATAAAGAGAATATATATGATTTATGCATTAATTGCCATCCATTGGCGTAGCGTTTTATGTGAATTTTATTTTCTAATCTTCGTACTGTGATCCAGGCGTTTCAAAGCAAACAGCTCTTTTTAAAAAGGTCTTCGCACGTGCTTCATTTCGTAAAGGTACGTAAATTAAGAGAACATACTTTATAAGGATCATGTAAGCTTACTTTTTAGGCATAAAGGCTTTAAAGGGGATCTTTTGATGCACAATTGAAAGGCGTACACGACGTAGGTACATGTTTAAAAGATGCTCATATTCGACTCAGTTGTGCTTACTGCAATTCAACGATAAATGTGCTACTTACCATGATGTCGAAGGTGTAAAAAAAACGTAGCCCCAAGAAATGGTTTCCGAAAATTCTCTAATGAAGTTGGTGGGTATAACAATGTGAACGATAACATCCCTATTTGTTATTTTTACAGACTTATCGCATAATTGTGGCACAAAATTTAACACATTGATATCCGAATGTTTTCATCCAGTGTTGATGACGTTAATTTATGAGAAGACGTATCACGTCTTATTGTATGTAGGCAAATAAAATGGACCTGACGGTGATGGTTTAATGAGCATGACTATTGCTCGGGCAACGTTGGAATAGATATTTGAATACATGAACCCCGAGCATTCAACTGAGCTTGATAAATTAATTTTTTTTAATTAATTAATTGTGATTATTGTTTAGTGATCCATTAAATTGATCCACCACTGCTTTTAAATAATTACATTTGGTATGTTACCAACTTTATAAATGTTTTGTTTTGTGGGAAATTCAAACTGTCCGCACTACTTTCCGATCACCCGGTATACTCCAGCCTTAACTTAAAATAATACTCTTTGCTTAAACTTCCAAAGGCGACAGCAATTCATTTTTGATCGACAGTAACCCCCATTCTTGACGTCCAAATATACCTTCGAACGGTGTCTGCCAACGGTATTTGTCGTTTGAACGGAGTCACCGTCTTTGAAGCTGATTTTCAGCCACCGATCTTTACGGTCAGCAGATACGTTGATAACTATACAGGGTGTTTGGTAAACATGCGGCAAAAATTAAAGAGGTTATTCCTTGGACTATTCTAATGTTATTTTATCCTTTGATGATTTTTGAAAAAACGCTTCGTTGCGAAGATACAAGGCGAAATAGATTTTTGAAGAGTTGAACTTATCAAGTAAAAAACGTTAATCACATTCCCTGATATCTGTCATTGATGATCTTTTGTTTCGAGTTTGTCAAGATTTATTGACGTTTGGCTATTGGCGTGTAATTTCTGCCCTTATTACTTAAACGGTTGTTTGTGAAATCCTCTATCATGGCTCATTATTCGAATGCGTTTTTTCAAAAATCATCAAAGGATAAAATATCATTAGAATAGACCAAGGAATAACCTCTTTCATTTTTGCCGCATGTTTACCAAACACCCTGTAGATAGAGCGTCGGCGACGCAACTATGTAATTTTTGCCCGAGATGTGACGTATGTCGGCTTCGTTTTGCTTTCTAAAAAATGTACCGGGCGTGTAGTGGAATCGGCGACTTGTTCGACTGCAGAGACTTGTTATACCAGTCTCTGGTTCGACTGTGGCTCAGATTGCTCCGATGCGTCGATGGATAGGACCAAGAGGAAAATCGTTACTGGAACGCGCTGAGGTGCAAGCGTTAATTAGGTATACCCTCAGAGTAAGAAATAAAATAGAGTACGCGTACGCTATAACAACGTGAACTTTTGCTTTGAACCAACATCTCACCGTTGAGAGGACGAAAATAAACATTAGTCAGTGGCGTAGGGTTTATTTATCTTTATGGGCAACAAAGTTTATGTTTTGTTTACATGTGCATTGAATTTATAATCGCTTCGGTGCAGCGCGCTGTATTTGCTTAGGCACGGAAATGCGCTCCGCTGTGCTGCAGTGCGGTTCGCTCTAGTGAGCGGTACCCAGCAACGTGCTCGAAATCATCAACAGTGAAAAGTATTTCGCACACATGACAAAGTTGAACTTAAAATTCAATGCTACAACAGTTTTCAAGATATGTTATTTTTGCATTCGGTGGGGTATAGCTCTAGCACCTGAGCCAAGGAAATCTTGACAATTAAACTGCGTATGCGCAGATTGCGCAATGCCCTTATTTATTAATATATTTTCTTGAAATTTTAACCACAGATACTACTGGTGAAGGCAAATATATCGCACTTAGTAAAAAATGTGCGCAGTCCTACTAACTACTTTATCAAGATATTTCTTTGAAATTTTAATCATGCATGCCCCTAGTAAAGAAAATCACGGCGCACATAGCTATGGCCTTTTGGGAAGTACTGATCAATGCGTGAAAAATGCGCCTAAAGTTACCTACTTGCCATAAGGCCAGAACCTTTTCACTTATTTCTGTTTGCGGTCGACTTGACAAGTATGTGATGGAAAGCGCGCACAAGGTCTAATTTAGAAAATGTGTTGCACTAGGATGTGCAAAACATTTTGCATGTGCGAGAGTGGATACCTAGCTTACATTGTTGATGTGTTCAGGTGTCACCGCACGGGAACCATCCTTTTTTGGGCACGAGGTCAGGCACTACGACATGTAGAGACAAAGGATGTATAGTTTCCCGCGTTACTTGATTTGTACAAGCAGGGCACCGTCTTGACTTTTGAACCAACACTGGGCCTAATAAGGTAGCGAATGTTTGAAGAATAGTCCTGTAGCGGACGAAATGTCAGGATTTAACATTTTAACTTCTTGTACCTAATTGCGTTCTGGACCAACAAGCAGTTTAAATATTAAGGGTCTATTCTTTAACCGACAAGGGTGTTATTTACAATTTAAGAAATAGAAGCCTTCAGATAATTCATGACTTCCTGCTGGTCATCCGAAATGTACTTGGTTTCACATGTGTTACACAATCGGTAGTTTCGGACAGCAGATACATAATGCTTATGGTCCAGTCGAGTTCGGTTCGATTTATTTACTTTGTCGCCCGCATTCGCGCTGGCAGTTCGTGTAATTGACCAATGGAAAAAGAGTATCCAGAGTTTGACTTTGATACGCCAAATGGGTACTCTTTTTCCATTGGTCAATTCTATGAATTGCCAGCGCAAGTGCAGACGACAAAGTTTATAAATCGGCCTTAATTCTGAAATAAATTTTATTTTATTTTGTACTTGTTTTACTTTCACCATATCTACAACAACCTTAGACCAAAGATTAGACTATGAAAGAAAGGGGACTGATAATATTCTACCAAGGGCAATGCTGCGCGTTGAAGCCTGGGGCGGCCATATTTTCGGAGCCAGTTTGTTTAATTTTTCATTTTCGTGATTATGCGATCCTTACGTCTCGAAATGTGCGATGAAAAACATTATTGGACAATCATTGTAGTGCACGGAAGTGATAGACAAAAAACACACGAAAATATTTCGTTTCACAGGTATAAATTATAGGTTAGTTTTCGGTGAAATAACAAAACAAATGTGGGCTTCACTTTACGATCATTATTATCCACAGAGTTGTATATAAGTAAATAGAGGGGCAGTACATACGACCTGCGCGTGGAAAAATAACTCCAACTACAGTGGCCAACTTTTAATGGCGGAGCCGTTGGGACTCATGCGCAGTGCGTGAAAGGGAATCAGCACAATTTTTGGGTGCATTCAGTTACATAATCACAAAACAAAACAGCAATAACTTTTCAGATGCTTCAGATTCAATTCATTTGTAAATAAACAGACGCTTTGGAGTAATAATTTAAGCATGCCCATTACATTATACTCTTTACCGCCATTTCAATGTTTAGTAGGCGACGATCTGTACATAAATAAAGGATATTTTAAAATGCTCCTAGAAAAGTGCAAGAAAAGATCAAATATATTGTTGTGAGACCTAACCTACACTTCTGGGAATCCCACGATTTCCCTCTAACTAGCTCAGTTGTAATTAAAATGAAAACAAAATTTTTATCCGCATCTCAAGGTCCAGCTGGATTCTGCCACCCTACAGCATTCCAACAATGACATAAATAGGTGGCTTAACCAAATCCTTAAATTCCAATATGAAACTTTACCCCCAGATTTAATCAACTTGAAACAAAGTAAGAGACGCCGACAATTACCTCTCCTTGACTCTAATAAACAAAACCTGGATTGCAATGACTGGTTTAATTTCAAACAAAAAATTGCGTAAATTTCTGTTTTACAAATTGTTACAATTTTAAACAAATAAATAACACACACAAAAAAAAAAACAAATTACTCAAACATTACAAAAAAAACAAGACAAAACAAACCACTAACTACTACTTACTTTTAAAATTAGTCCGAAAAACGTATTCCGATAAAAAGAGGTATCCGTACACAATCACGTAAACCAACCACTCAAACACCGACGTCTTCTCTCTTCGGGTACCCACAAATTCAAAACTTCCGTGTTTCCGCAAAAAAAAAAAAAACAGGACGACGACAAACTTCTTAAACTTCTCAAAAATTCTTCTTAAAACGGCAGACACAAAATTCTAATTAAACCTGGATCCACTACGCAAGAAACTTCCACAAAATTCAAAAAATAACGTAACCGAAGAAGCGCCGGTTGGCTTTTTAACGACCAAAAAGCCCCGCTCTCTTCAAAAATTTCCTATTTAAGCCAAAAGCCCTTCTCCTTTCTTCAACATCCCGCCCGCCAATCACGCGAAGCGTCGATTTTTCAACTTCTTGCTAAACGGCACGTACGCCCGGCAATTCTGCGAAGACAACCTTATCTCTACTTCGCGCTATACCTCGTTAACGGCAAATAAAATTTAAAAAGAAATTTACATCGAAAAAAATTCTAGGAATAAAATAAAAACAGAACACTTCTAAGAAATTGAACCAAAACTATAACATGAAATTTACGCAATCCTGTGTCTCAAATTATTAATAACCCCCCCGGTTAATTAAATGAACTAAACAAAATTGTCACATCCAGACGCTCTATAATTTCTTTCAAGTTACAACTAAAACAAAATAACACAACAATATGGGTGGAAGGAAAACTCTTCGCAAGCAATTGTTGAAACTTGGTTTTCGATACAAGAAGTGTCGGGACAAACGTAGGTTGGTAATGGAAAGAAGTGACATTGTAGTATGGCATCTCGTTATTTAAGAAGATTAAAAGAAAATGAACAACCTGAATGTGACAAGAAACCCGTTATATACTTGGACGAAACCTATATTCACCCATCGTACGAAGTGAGTAAATGCTAACAATCAGATGAAGTATCGGAAGTTTATAATAGGGCTGGTCAGAGGTACATCGTAGTATGCTGGTAGTTGTTCTGGTTTTGTAGAGGATGTCGCACAGTAAATCGGGGGATTATTACGATGATATGAATCATACCAACTTTATGCAGTGGTTAGAGAAGCAGCTTATACCAAATTTACCAGCAAACTCACGCACCTTATCAGTGTTCAAATAAATAAGCCACCAACAATGAATAATCGTAAGGAAGTGATACGTTCTTGGTTAGAAGCAAATAACATTCCTACGAGAAATGAATTTATTGACAATGTACAATTTATTGTGAACACCGGCAGTTCCAATGATGATTAGTGGTCAAGTGACGATAATGAATGAAAAAAGTTAAAGGTTGTGTGTTAATTTAGTCAATGTGAGTGTTATTAATTTCAATGTGATTGTTTCAATAACTGTCCATATTTACACAGCAGAAGTGCATCAGAATTGTAAATTGTGTTGAACATGAACATCTAACAATCTTAAATGTGTTTACGTTTTGTAGAAATAAAATTATTAATTTTACTGTTTCCCCTTGAAGTAATGCAACTCATATCGCGTGGCCCACTTATTTATATTTAGTAGAGTCAAATATTGCATGAGAATGTACAGTCTAAATTTCCAACGTCCTCGGACACGCCCTGTCAGGAACCTTCTGAGCGTGGTGCCACTGTACATACCTTCTGCCGATGCTCCATTTTTGAGATATTTGAGTTATTGGCATTTGAGGTTTGTCGACTTTGTGGCTACCCGTATTCAAACTGTGTTTTCGGCATTGCACACCTGAAATTTTGTCCCGCACCAAAATAAAATTTCAACTTATTTTATTCTTTCATTGCTTATTTTTATACTCACTGAGCATAAATAGATCTTTAAACTCGATCGCACGACAAATATACGATTTCCTTTATACCAGAATCTCAACTCTCGATTCTGATGTTGTAAGCCCCTTACCAGCTTTGTATTGTAGTCTACTGTATTAAAAGTTCTTAACGATTGTAATGTTTCTTATTTATTCAAGACACAGTGTTAACAACATCATTCACCACACATTGAATTTCTTTTCAATTTTTGTTGCAATGAGACACCATATTATTCTCAAGCCGAACCTGCTTTAAGGATCATTTAATTTGAAGCCGGTTCTGTTGTCGATTACTGCGCACACTCACCAACGGCCTGCGCAAGGTTCAATTGGAGTCAATTTTTCGCTACAAGACTGTCTCTCTATTTACTTATATACAACTCTGTGTTATTATCACTCCTCAGTTTCCTTCTCTAAGACAACAACCACAGTCCTCTGCTATCATGTTTTATTAGTGACACCAAAGAGTAACTATAATAAGAGATCCAACGGTATAGAGGAGAATAGTGTTTCATATGTATTGTGTGTTGCCTAACCAATTTTAGTGCTTTTTCTCAATTTTATTGGCTTAAACCCGCAATACACGATTCAATTTTTACATGTAAAATACACGAAAAATGCATGTAAACATTGATGTAAAAATATGTGACAATACACGTTAACATTTTTCGTTTGCAATATTTTGAATTTCTGGGAAAATTGATAACTTCGGATTATTGGCACCTACCTTCATGTTCAATTAAACTCAAAGTTAGGTTAGGTAAATTTTGAAATATAATGGACTTGGATAAGAATTTATTATTAAGTGCCGCCGTGATAGCAATAAGTGCAGCGTCAACGACTGTGTTAAAATTGCAATCAAAAGAAAAGAAAAAACGGAATCGAAGAATATGGGTGCGTTCTTGGGTTGGAAGAAGAGATAGCAAAGGAATCATGAACCTTGTGACTAATGAATTATTAACAGAAGACCCATTGGCATTCAAAAATTATTTAAGGATGTCCAACACGTCCCTATTGAAACTGTTGGGAAAAGTGGAAAATCTCATTAGCAAACAGGACACTGTTATGCGTCAGGCAATACCAGCAATAAGCATAAACTAATTATTGCATTGTGTTATTTGGCGACTGGAGAAACATTTAGAAATCTTATGTTCTCTACAAGAGTGCATGAATCAACCATTGCACAGTTTGTCCCTGTTGTGTGTCGAGCAATTTATTCTGTGCTAGTTAAGGACTACATCAAAGTACATTTGTTAACTTATGTACCTATATATGAAACCAATAGTAATATAACTTTTTACAGTTGCCCGAAACTTGTTCTCAGTGGGAAGAAATAGCTACAGGTTTTTATAACGAATGGCAAATTCCAAATGTGCTTGGAGCCTTAGATGGCAAGCATATTGCGTTTTGTGCACCATTAGCATCAGGATCCACTTATTATAATTATAAGGGATTCCATAGTATTGTACTACTGGCTCTTACAGATGCTAAATATCGATTTACATATATAGACGTTGGTGTGAATGGTAGAGTGTCTGATGGAGGTGTGTTTAGTCAAAGTGATCTGTATAGAGCATTGGAAAATAATTCTCTCAACATACCACTTGATAAACCGCTGCCTGGTATGCAACGTGCAGTACCGTATGTAATTCTAGCGGATGCTGCATTCCCTTTAAAAAAAAATATATTGAAAGCATACCCATTTCGAGGCCTCACTGAAGAACAGGCGATATTTAATTATACTAATTATAGGTTAAGCCGTGGACGTAGAGTTGTCGAAAATGCTTTCGGTATTTTGGCCAATAGATTCCGCATTTTGTTGGGAAAAATTAATTTGGGAGCTGATAAAACTCGAGATATTACGTTAGCGTGTTGTGCTCTTCATAATTTTTTAATTGCTGAAAGTAATCTGTATGTACAATCGGTTGAGCATACCCCCACAACCACTAACGATCAACTAGGAGGAATTGGTCAGCAAATTGGTAATCGTCCAAGCAATACTGCAATGCAAATTCGTGAAGAATTTAACCGTTACTTTAATGGAATTGGAGCAGTAGAATGGCAAAATAATATGATTTAAATATAGTTTTCAAATAAGTTTTGTTCATTTCAGTGTAAAGAATGAGTTTAGCATATAAAAAATGTTTTCTAGTGTTTTATTTTATAAAATATAAATATAAAAATGTTTTCTTCAATTTTCCTTTTCTTGCGCATCGTAAATGAGCATCATTATCTGTCTCTTTACTTCTCTTAGGATGTTACGATCCGTTATCATCCGTATTTCTGATTCAATATTTTTACAAAAGTTTTTGGTTGGATCATTCTCGGATTTACTTACAGCCCCACTAATATTAGTTAATGCCGACGTGGAAGCTTTTAATAATTCATATTGTATATCTCCTGTTGCAGATTCTCTTTTGCGTTTTTTTGTTGACTATAAAATTACAATTAAAAATCATTATACTATCTCCATAAAGAAATTACCTTTTGAGAAATGGGTGTTACAGTAATTGGAGATTGACTATTTAAATCGTCATGCGGTGTACCAACATTAAAATTCCCCATGTCATCTATTGTGCCCTCGTAAATTAATTCGTCCTTTTCAGAGTCGACATCTCCTTGGTAAACTTCTACAGCTTGCCCTTGTGCCGCATGCTACAAATTTTTTTCTTCGTACAACAAGTAACATAAAATAAAACTTACATTGATTGATGAAACATTTTTCGTGGCATTGTGAGGTGCTTGCCGATGGTGTAAGAAATTCAATAATTCGAAACACCACCATGTCGATACATACACATCGTCTAATCCTGCACCTGAATGTTCGCTTTTTTTTAACTTATTAAGTTCACTGGTGTAAGTTGTTCGTAGCCCATTTATTTTTTTTTGTATTACATCCCATGTCACGTCTGTATTACACAAATTATTGAAATTTGTAGTAATTTCTTCCAGGGCCATTCTGCGCTTTGTTTTGTTTTTATAGTGCACACTGCTAATTAAATATAAACATTCATGTTGTGCATACAATTGTATGAGTGTTTTTGTGTGGTCTTGGTTCCACATTTTTAAATAAATAAATAAAGTACGGGAAAGAATTGAGGTTACAAGTTTGTTTTTACACTTGTACCAATACTTGCGTTTTGCCAACCACAAGTAAATAAACTGTACTACAGCGAACTAAAAATTCATGACAATGACCTTCAGAAATAGAACAAAACCTATTTCTTCAATTTATGATGTAAAATTGAATCTAAAAATTCACGGTGACAATACACGATGTAATTAGCATTTTTCATCAAAATTCATGAATAATTCATGTAATTTATGATGGTGTACTACGGCTTTTACGCTATTTTTTTTATATTTATATTTGGGGCTATTTCAAGGCAACTACTTGTTTAGAAGTTTATAAATATCATTGCAGAAATCCCAGCGTTGCCAAATTTTTAGTGTTTGCTTGCACTTATTTAGGTATCTATTATTCCTTGAAATGTATGATGTTTAAAGATATGTAATTCCATTCTACAATTATGGCCGAACGCTTGTTGGTTTGATTCATAGGTGCGAAGATACCTATGTTCTTCGTGTAACAATAAGCCATTTTTTGAGCGGTAAATAATAGATTTTTTACTGTGTATACCAGTAAGCGCGAGCTCGCGTTGATTACGTCTCTGCCCTTTGTACACACTGTCCGTCGTCCTACCGTCGACGGACGTGTGGAAAAGTCGACCGAACTAGATCGTTTAGTTAGAGGAAGTGGTCTAATGAACGATATTTACTTCCGACTTTCGAGGAAATAAACGAAAATTTTTTGAAAAAAAAAATAGGCCAATAGACGTTTTATAGTATTTATTGTACAAATAATAAGAGAATGAAAGATTCCCGGAAAAAATGTTTCACTTTTTAATTTTTGCCGGCCAAACAATGTAATAAAAACAAAATAAACTGCCTCCATATTGGATTATAGTTGTGATCGAATGGTTCAAAATCAGTTAAAAATGAGATCTGTGGACCAACGCAACCCCACTTCTTTTAAAATGGTTTCTTTGCGATAACTGAAAAACTACTTGGCCGATTTGGACCATATTTACCAGTCGATGTGACTAATGTCCCCTTTAATCTCATTACATTTCACTCCGATCGACCCACGCATTCCGGAGATATTTAAACGCTCCAGAAACCCTATACTATTTGGAGTGGAAGAAAATGTTGTTTTCAAAAATAAGAACATACACTGCATTATCAATCGTTTAGATGGATGAATCACTATAGCAGAATGCGCGGTGGCTTAAGTTGAGCGGCAAATTTAAATACATATACTTGTGTTTTTTCCGCTAGCCAATGGTGACTGAAAAACATGTGTACGAAGCTTAGTTGCTAGGAGACCGATGCGCGCTAGTGCTGCAGCTTAAATGCGGGTCGTGAGTATTTTTTTAATTAAATTGTTTAAATTTATTCGACGGGTGCAGATTTATTAATTTATTATTTAACTGCACTATATATTTTGACTGATATTATTGGATTAGACTGATGTTTTTTTTTCTGAGGACATAAGGATTATTGCATTGTAATGATTGATTGTTAATGATTAAACAACTCAGCGTATGTAGGCATCTATACAAAATTAAAGCAAACAAAATTTCCTGTAAAATAATCGCTATGCTCATCATAAAATCCAATTTGCTAGTGCATTTTATGAAATATATTGTCCACTTTAATTTGATTGTAGGAGACGATCTAAAAAGGATGGATAATAACAAATTTAATTTACATTTTTACAATTGCACCTGTTATTGGTTATTCAATTAAATAGTAATTAGGTACTGTCTATTCAATAGACGCCAACTAAACAGGAAAATACCAATGTAATTAACAATAGGTATTGAATCCTTGCTGATTTCTTTTATACCTACTTAAGTAATGTTTTCTAATTATATCATGTCCACATTTTATACTACAGTTAATAAGAAAGAAAATTAAATGTGACAACCGCGCAAATATTTTAAACCGAAATTCTATAAAGAATTCTGTAAATTTTCAATACGCGCCAATATTTAAAGAGGCGGTTAGTTCTGGCCATCTCTACGCGAGGGCCCGCTTTTGGAGTCTTAGCGAGCGAGTTCTTATAGCCAACACGCGTTTATACCATTGCGCTGTATCTCTTATTATGGATACTTTTTGGTGACACTTGGATGCTACCAAAATTCAAAGTTAGCTACTATGAATTATTAGTAATTTTGTTACACCGTTGTCATGTTTTTATTATTACAATGGCTTCTTTTTAACAGTTAAAATTAGGTTAAAAATCAAATACTCTGTTTTGAAAGAAAAGACAAGTTTATTAAATTAATAGACATTATTTTATGTACAAATTGTTGTTCCTGTTATAGTTCCCTATAAAAATTTACAATTCTATTTATAAGTGTTAGTATGTACTATGTTTTATATAAGTTCATACAGTACAACTGTAAACCTTAAAATAAGGCCATATTTTCAAACTTTCAAAAAGATAATCCTTTTTACAATTAAACATTGGCCGATAACATTACATAAGTATTTCCAATATAATTTAAACTATCTACAATACATTAAATAGATAAAAAACAAATTATAAATAAGTTTATCTTTTTCTTCTATATAAACTACAAACTTTTATATTGTATAATTTGACTATTTACTAATTGTGTAAGTTCGCTAAAACTGGAAAATCTTCTTTAAAAGTGCACTAGATCTTTGCTTGTAATTACTCGGATCAAAATTGAACGCAGTGAGAGTATTTATCCAAAAATTATTTGCGGTAACATTTAATTTACAGTTATAGATTTATATGCTGCGAAACATGCAAAATTAAACACATGGTGCGAAAATATACCCTATAGGATACGTGTAAAGCTGGACCCCCTCTTGTAGTTAATTACCTAAGTTATACGCTATTTACAAATGGTAACAATAAAATTATGAATAGCCTTATTTTGATTTGAGTAATTACAGTATTATTTTGTTTATAAAAAATACTATAATAGTAGGCGAATGTCTGATAGAGTCAACAGCTCATAGAACAGACAAAGTGCAATGCAAAAAATATGTTTATTGCTTTAGTTTGCAATTAAATCAAAGTATGTACTTATAATAGAGTGAATAGAGTGGGTACATAAGAAAAGTGGCTACAGCCCATTTCCGTAGTTATTATTCATTAACACCAATTTTCATAGTGAACTCCACACTAACTGCATCTAAACAAAATTTGAATACTGCTAAATAGATAACATTTCAACTCTCCAATTTAAACTGTACTTTGACATAACATATGCCTGCATTTGGTTATTGTCTAATTTTCAAATTTTAATGATGTGGGTTGAAACGTAGGCAGTTTTTTAAAAAATAAACAGTTGGCATGTCCACATTTGCAACATTGTCCCGTCGCGAACCGCGCCTCACCAGTGCAACGAACTCCTTCGCAAACTCGATAAAGGTTACAGATCTAGGTTCACCGTGATCCATGAGTTGACTGTTGTTGTACTAGTGTATACATGACGTTCTTCGGTTCAATGAATTAAAAGTGGAGTACTACGCTTCAAAATGCTGGACATACCTTTATAAAATGTCCTTCAAAAAACACATATCTACAAAAGAGTATGACTTGAACTAAGATACATTTTGGTGAAACTGTCTTATTTTTATCTCTAGATTTGTAGTATCATTTTTGAGATTTTATTTAGGATCACTCTGTACCCTGTAAGTACTATTAGGTCAATGCACCAGTCATCTAAGGGAAAACTGTAAAGAACAATTTTATTGCAATGTTCTCTACATCTTATCCTTTCAATTTTAAATGATTGGCATTTAATGCAAATTTTTGTAGTCTCAATGTAGTATTTTGTTTTCATAAAATTAAATTATGAGACCACTTCTCATGATTAGGTCCATGAAAGAGTTCACTATAATTTCAATTAAGGTCGAGCCATTTCATTGCCACATTAACAAGTATTCTTTTCTAATTGAGAAACAATATTTATAAATAATGTCCTTTATCTGTTCTACAGCTTTAGTATATTTAGACTATATTAAGCAAAGTTTTGACAACATAAACAGTCACACTGAAATAATATTTACATAAAAATATGCATAACTAAAAACAATAATCAAACTTTAACATGCACTCCATTTTAATTCTCAATAACGTTAATTAAACCAATAAAAATCTCATCCCTAAACTTTGTGTAAACACACTATACATAGTACGTACAGTTACAGGTACTCGACAATATCTTGCACTTAGGTTCTTTGTGTCACTTTTAAAAGAAACGCTCATCTTGGTATTTTAAAAACGTAAAAACAATTTCAATTGCTCATTACATCAAAATTTTTTTCAAATATAACACAGTAACAACGGACCATTACTCACATACAGATGTTCGTTCTGTAACCACATCATCACTTTCACATTTTGGTACAACTTAAAGACTTTGCCTTAAATCGCTGATAGCTTCACCAATATAGAGCCGCTTCATACCTCTTGGTAACGCTCGACACGATTGTAAATTAATAGAGTGCAGTTTGGGACACTTTATAAGTACAGCTTTAACAGGTTCTAAACTAACTGAAGATCCGCATAAATTTAAAGTGCTGAAATGTGATTTTTATTAAATTGCGACACAATTACGTAATTACCAACCGTAAGGGAGAATCTACTCCTTTTTCAGCAAGCGCTAGCACTGCAGCATCTAACGACGATGTCGCTGTAGACCATGCTAAGTCCACCTCAAGTAAACTGTGGCTCCATTTTTGTAATATTAGCTCTAATCCGGAGTTTTGAAGCCGTGTTACGTAACAAGCTGGAAAAACGACACCATTAATACCTACTCCTCCCTCGTTCGCATCCAAATTCGAGCATGGAGGTTTCTAAGAAAGGTGTATAGTGAGCGAGTTTAGTAGAAGAGCCATAGCTAAAACCCCACCCACTTCTAAATCAACACAAATAAATAAGTAAAGTTAATTCTCCTGAAAACAAAACAAAACATAGTGGAACAAATACAGCAAAGTATGACACAAGCGTTTTCATTGTATCATGTGATACAAGTTTCCACAACTGTAGACCATTTATACTGTCATTTGAAATTAGCACTTCATTTTTCGCCTCAGTATTCAAAATAGCGCTCGTTCTCTTTTGAATGGAAGTAAACTTTACTACAGTTTGTCTTTGTGCCCCCCTCAGTGTGGGGCCTTGTCGTGGTCGTGAGGCTTGAGTGGTTTAGTAATCAAGGGGGAGTATAACACCAGACTTGACCCGGCGTATGACGGCCGCAAGTGAGAATCCAGACTAAAAAGACAACAGCCTCATGTTTGTGCCATGAACTGGCAATAACACCTTACTTTGGCCAGAACTTCACTTAAGCCGGGAGGTCATGGCTAACCAACCATGATCAATCAGCTGTCGTCGGGTCAGTTTTCTGCTATTCTTTAGAGCAGTACTTCCCAAACTATGGGTCGCCAGCAAATATTGAATGGACCCTAATGGGCGATTCACCATTGTATAAGACATTAATAAAAAAAAATGGTCAAAGTCCTCATGTGAAATCGAAAGGACTTCAGGGCCTTTTTGTGTGGCAGATCAGTATTCTATTAGTCAGTTTTGACTACACCATCAAAAACTCTTGTCAGGGCCTACCATATTCCCTTTGTCTGTAACCACTTACGACGTCCCCTCCATAACATAGTACTCAAATTTTGGGGCAATTGTCATAGCTTGAGACACGAGACAGAAAGACCGCGATTCGAACTTTTGGGCGCCAGAAATCCGCTACCCCTCGAAGACGCGCGCCTTGCAAAAGTGATTTTGCCCCCAGGAAAAAATAAAATTCGGTCACGCAGAATTTGTGCGCGTTTTCAAGATCTTTCTGACGACGCCAATTTGAAAACAATTGCGCCAAAACTGTAGAAGATCAGAAACAAACTGAAAAATCACATTATTAAAACCACGCTCTGTGATGGCGCCGAGGTCATGTAGCCCCATCCCCTAGGTTGTTAATTACACCGCCCCGGTAGGTACTCGTACATCCCTCATCTTTCTACAAGCGTTCTTTTACGCGCCCTCATTTGCTGCCAGCCAGACAACCAACCTGCCAGTCATAGTGACATTTTCACAAATAAATTTGTAAAAATACGCTAAAAATAGGTGATAAATTTGATATTTCATTCAGATATTTATGACTCCTAGAAATTAAAAAAATCTTGTTACGTAAAACAGATAAGGGTGCCAAGATTGGAAATTTTTGTTAGATGGGTTGGAACCCACTGCTTTAGAAGCTATATTCTTCTAGTAGCTCTGCCCTCTGGATAAACGTCCCCTTGTTCGGCAATCATAGATACCATTAGCTCCCCACAAGGCTGCCATCTGGGTCCCGGGGAACCTGACGACCTGGTGGCAGTTGAGCAGCCCTTGGAGGTGCAGCATTCCTTACCTGGTGTTTGTTCCACACAGTCGTGAAGGATCAACCTCAAGGGAGGCTGATAGTTTTCGGCATTGAGGAAAAAGACCAGGCAGGGGGGAAAGGCTCAGTTATGAGTTTTCCTCACTAAAGATGAGGGTTAGTAACCCTGCCGAACCTGAGGTGGAGAGTACCTCAGTACAACCACCACAACAACACCAGCAGCTGCTACAAGGGCAACTGCATCACCACCCAGGCTGCCAAGGTAACCCGTGGTCAGTGCTTCCTCCAGCGTTAGCAAGGCCAGATAAACCTTAAACCTGTATTATCTACATACGTAAGTATGAAAGAGAATTTATACAAATAAACCTGCAACACTGTATAGGGTGGACAAAGAAAACTTTAGGGGACATACCACTTAAAAAAAGATGTTCCAGATCCCAGGCAGGCACTCTGACTAGTCCTGAGTCAGTAAGGCGAGCACAGCCACGAACATCCAACAATCTCAACTTGGTACTGGTCTTTAAAATTCGTTCGATACCTTCGTCATCTATCGAACGAGCAGTAAGTTGGCATCCCTCAGCGCCCGCCAACGAAAGTTCTTCTAGCATCGGAAAACCCGGTGAAGCAACCTAGTAGAATTAAAAGAATTAATACAATTATCTCTCCATGCATGTGGATAAAAGCTTACCTGATGTGACAAGCTTGCAGACGCGAGCCATATTTGGCTGTTAGTAATTCGTAAAACCCTCAGCTTCGGACAGCCGACTTGTAATTTTTCTACATGTAATAGGGCAGTGTTTTGAGCAAAGGTCCTTATATTAGATAAATCTAACAATTGCAGATTGGGACAGTGGGACTGAAATAAAAATACAAATGCTATACTTATGTAATTTTTTTCTGTTACAACACCAAGAGCTTATATGGTATAAAATTGTATATGCCAATCATAGCATCAGGACGCCCATTACTAATCCTATCTTTTTATTTGCCTAATGGCCGTTTGCACCGACAGATTTAAGTGGAGCTTAGCTTAAGCGTAGCTTAAAACCCATGGCAACGATTATTGAGACAATGGTTGCCATAGATTTCAATCTACGCTTAAGCTAAGCTACGCTTAAGCTAAGCTTCGCTTAAATTTGTCGGTGCAAACTGGCATTAGAGATGTAAATATGGTGATTTGTATATACCCTATAAGCGACCATTTTACTTAGAAGTGTCCCATTTTCGATACTTATAGGATATCTCCATAGTTGTTTGTGTGTTTGTCAAAAAAGTAATATAAGCGTCATCTTCTTTATAATGAATGTTGAATAACCTGTCATTTTCTAAATAAGTGTACAGGATCGGGTAAAGAAGTTGTTTGACCTAACCTCATTTTTTTTAATAAGACACCCTATATATTTTCATCTAAAAAGATAGCATACAAAAATATAACACACATCAGCGATAATATTCAAAATGGCGATATTCACTTTTTTTTAATTATCTACTAAACGACTTATTTCAAAATATCGCATCGGAATATCCATTAGCATCATAAACTACAGAACTTTGTCAATTTAACCGAATCTGTAAGTATAATAATAACAAAGATAGCCACATTATCCTACTTTATTTAAAACACTCTATATAGCCTCTAGACAAAAGAGCACCCGACGAAATACAAGGTTGGTATATTACAAGTTGCCTCGTAACTATCGACCAATAGCAATCGAGGCGCGAATACGTCACTGGTATCCCACGATTTAAACGAAGTAATAAATGCATGCAGCCACACAGCTAGAAAATTTGATACGGTTTGATGCGTAGCTATTGTTTACAGTTCTTTCATGATGTTTGAATCGTTTAACTAATGAAACACAAATATTCAGTTTTATATTATAAATTTAGTAATTATAAATCGTCGTATAATACAGTCAATCTTCATCTGACGTACCAGTGTTTACCGTGAAAGATAAACAGCTTCATCTAACAATCCATCGCGTGGTCACATTTTTCTTCCAATTCTCTTAACGTAGTTTATACAGTCTCTACACTTACTTTTCGATTTGTAGATGAGATAGGCGGTATCAACGAGACCATATGATCCTCCTGCTTTGGTCAGTTTTAAACACGTTCATCTTCTGCCCGCCGGCAAGCACTAAATAAGATGGTTCCGTCAAAAAATTTGACCGGTGTCTTATTTTTCCCTAAAGCATCATTTTCTTTCATTCTCCGTAAATATCGTAACCGCCAATCAACAATGTCGCCACGTTCCATCAATAATTGTCGTTTCTTTTGGCATTTTTTTTGTATTTAAAGCCAATTTTTAATAAATATCTTGGTGTTTCCCAATGTAGGCCAATTTTTCCCTTCATTTTATTAACTAAACTAATGATCGTAGGGACTTTTTTACCGATCATATAAATTTCACCCTTCAAGACGCCTAAATCAGAATTATCCAATGTTATTTTGTTGGAACCCCCATTTTGCTGTTTCTTTGAAGGAGATTTCAATGTCCTATCCTCGGTAAGTTTGGCTTCGCTTCTACAGAATAACAATAAGTATTTATTTCAAAAGAACATCATTGAAATTAACATTACCTAATTTAGTTATGAGTTTTATTGATTTACCGTCACAGCAGCAGCTAGCTCTGTAGCCTTTTCCAAAGGAAATGTCCACATACTGGCAGTTTTCTGTTCTGTGTCAAAGAATTCCACGACCCTTTTAATAATATTTCTAGGTTCTGAATGCACAGGTATTACAGGAGGTTCAATATTTATAACCTTACGCGTATGTCACATCTGTGACATAAGCGGTAATGACAAGATAACGAAATTTGAGTGGCTACCAGTGACGTCACGAGCAGACGACTTGATCCCCATTATTGCAGTTACGAGGCAACCTGTAATATACTAACCTTGGACGAAATAGCCCCAGCACAAAGTAGCTCAAGGCAAAATAGCCTTGACTAATTAGCCCTAATAAAGTTATTTGCACAATGTCCTTGTACATGTCGAAGTGTTAATGCTACAAAGGATTTTAAATGTAAACAGTGTGATTATGTAGCCCATTTTCAAATCTAGTCTAAACACCCACCAGGTAAAACAAAATAAGCCTGCAAATTTTAAATGTGCTCAGTGTGATTACAAAACTTACAGAAGATTCGCTTTAGAGAGTAACCTGTAAATACACAAGCCTTCCATGCATGGAATTAAAATGTGGCCAGTCTTAACTTCATAAACGCACTTGCGCACTTGTTAAGTTATTTGTACCTACTCTTATTTCCAAGTACATTCCAATTGGCATGAATATTCCAATTCCAAAATCCGAAGTGGCCATCAACGACATCATTAAATACTTACCTAAGGTTGGTAACCTTTTAAGTCTATACATTGCTTTTAGCCCAAAGGACTTTCCTATAAGGATCATAGGAGAAAATAAAAACACAAACGGAGAGCGATTGGTACAGCTAGCAGCAAGTTCAAATTCACCAAACTTATTTTCCATCTTAACCTTATCATTTACCTTACCTTTGTTTTATTTGGGAGAGGGTGTGAAAAGTTAGATCTGAATTTCTTCTGGGGGTGGAAAAAACAAGGTACTCTTGACATTATTTATTTACAAAAACTTTATAAGTGCCTATCTAAAGCTAAACGTTTCAGAAATTTGTACACTTTGAAGTTCTTTTTATTGCCGCTAGAAGTCTCATTTTTAATTGGAAACGCGAATTTTATAAGAGAAGTTGATTGGCATATTATACATGAACTGCTATTAGCCCTATACTTTCTATACAAAATGGGTGGTCACGGATAGAGGGCATTGTAGTCGTGGCTATGTGAATCTCAGGGTAAACTTAAGTCGGGTTAACATCCACTCGGATCGTGTAAAGAGCCACTTCTATAACAACCGCACAATACGAGAAGCTTTAAACGTTTATACATCCACAACTAAGAATAAGGTTGCTCTTTCTTTTAGGATTTCTAGGAAGTTGAATAATTTTGAATGGTTGACAATCTCAAATCGTGTCTCATCGGACAACTTGGAACAAACTCGTGTACCCTGAAACTCACATACCTAGGGGATGTCCTTGACCATATTCTATTTGCAATTAGCAGTCCATGTACTGTATAGTCTAATAGTCAGGGAGACATTTCTGCTCTCTAAATCATGTCTAACGGCGTTTTGTGCTACAAACTGGCAACAGGCGGTTCTAGTCTAATTTGCCCCCGCTGAAAACGATGCGCCCTGTTGCCAGACCCGATTTTAACATTTAAGCCCTTAAATCCAAGATGGCGGCCAAAATTGTCGTTTTTTTGGTTATTTCAAGCCCACAAGGCAGGCACTGATTGGTTTGGGTAGTTTAAGGGTAAAATAGCATCTAGTATACACGACGACACCGTTTAGACACACTTTCGTATTCATATTAAGGGCGTAAATGCCTAAACTCCGCTTAAAAACGTCAAAAATGCAAAAATTCATCATTTTTTTTTCTTTCTGACCGGTTGTCGGCGTCCAATATGCATTCATATGGTCAAGTTAACAATTAAGTATGTGGGGACCTCCAGCAGCGCCATATGCCTAGGGCCTAAATATCAAGATGGCGCCTGGAAAGTACTAAAACAGTGAAAAAGTCGTTCTTTTTGTCGTATTTTTACTACACTGGCCACTCTTTACGTTCGCTATTCATTTTGGTGTTCTGGAACATTATTATGAGTAATTGCGACTGCCACCACGGACGTAATACACCCCCACGAGAGGGGGTGGAATTATCATCTCCAACCGAACGGATTCGCGAAACTATCAATCAGTCCACTCGCGTGTTGTTGTGCATCTTCGTCGGCGCCGCTCCTGAAGTTCGTCTGTATCGCTTCGATGCCGTCTTCCATCTACGCCCGATATTTCATTTAATATTAAAACTCAATTAAATTTACATCATGTAACTAAGATTACATTCAATGAAGATGTTTTTTAATGTTATTGTTTAATTGTCATCGTTTGTTCCCCATGCTGCCTTTCAACTTTTGCATTGTGTACTTCTAAAATATTTTAACAAGTTTTATTCTGTAATTTCCTGAAGCCAGAAGATGACCGTTCGTCGAAACTAGTCGCGGCTTTTACAATTTGTCTATTAAAATAGTATGGGGAAGGTTTTGTGTCTTTTTGGGATTTAACGACTCATTCTAACATTTACATTAACATTAAGCTCGTTCATACTAATTTAACATGATATCACATTACATTCTAACGCATGAAGATGCTCTATTCCAGGGGCGGCTCTCTATAAAGAGCCAAGGAGCCATGGCACCACCTCAAGGAACCTGCTAATTATCAATTCTTAAAATATAATTAACTATTATTAATTGTGCTCACTAGAGTACATAATTGTGTTTTAAAACTTAGAACAAAAAAAGTAAATGATTTGATAAATTTGGTACCAAGAAGAATTCATTTGTTTATCCGTGGACTTCGAATACGGTCGAGCGTGCCAAGCTGAAACTGGCTCGTATTTTCCTATAAGTGTGGACTTCCGCGGGGAGTAGAGGGGTGGGAGGAGCGAAACCGAAGTAGCGTTTTATACGTACAACTTGAGCCATCAGAAGTTTGGCTCATAAGCACAATTGTATAATGTGTACGGTATTGTCGGTGTTACTATACTTTGCGCCGTTTTCCTTGTTTCAGTCTTGATAAGTCAAACAATTTTTTTTACTTCTGTGTAAGATTACACTTCCCGGATTAATTGTTATTGTTACGTAAAATACACAAATTAAAAAATCATTTAAATAAATCTTTTTCCATGCATTCTCTGGAAGATAGATTTTAAATAAAGCAATTAAGCAGGCCGTTACCGGACTTAAATATTGTTAGAAAACGAAATGTGTCTGAATCTTCTTTAAGAGGACACGACAATAGCAATAAATCCGAAAATAAAGGAGTAGGTATTCAGAGAATTAATAAATTTCAGTACTTGTTTAGATAAAGATTTGAATAGTTATTTGTAGTACAACTATTGTTGAAAATGATACTTCGGCCTCATTAATAAAACTGCAAATAAAATGTTGTTATTGTTTATAGATCGGACTAAACGCCATGGAAACGGATAGTACAAATCGTGAAAAAAGTAACACTTTCCATACGATTTTTTGTCAAAAAAAAATCCGCTAATTCTCATCTAAAACAACACAAAATGAATTACTTGAATGCATACTTGAATTATACTTATGAAACAAGTCTCCAAAGAAACTAAAGGGGCTAGATTTGTTTCCGTCACTTGCATTATAAATATTCGAATTATACTCAAAATCTAAATAACTGGAATAATATGAAAACAAAAATTTGTAACAATTAAAATAATGGGGAGGGGGACACAATTTGGCACTACCTTCTACGCAGCTTACGAGCCGCCACTGCTCTATTCAAATGTTAGGCCACATCTCTATTGATCGTAGAATGGTGCTCATGTTTTCTTTCGCGGTGATGACTTCCATTTGACTGTTTCAGTTTTCCCTAGGCCATGCAGCATGAATTACCCTCTGGTGGTGATTTTAACAGTAGTCTATGTGTAATATGCCAAAAACAATCCAGAGAGAAAACGTCAGTGCTTCAAGAGACAACGTTTAACTCTGTAACGTTCTTATTCTTGCATAATACCTTCTTCATAGTGTTAGTGCTCATTATTCTAAACAGTTTCGACTGCCAAGTGTTACGTTTTTGATTAATTTAAAAAAAACAAAGAAAACTTGGGAAGCATGTTTTAATATATTTGCCCTCAAATTATGCCGCCAAACCAACTTCTGCCTCTTGGTTCCATAGTTAAAGTTTATAGGAGACGAGTCCCCACTTCCACAGTTAAGCCCTTCAGTTGTGTAACATCCAGAATGATACTCGCAATTCGCATATTATTGCTCCAGGCCATCGAAATAGGGAATGTGTGGCCAGTGTAGTAAAAATACGGCAAAAAGAACAACTTTTTCACTGTTTTTTGGACTTTCCAGGCGCCATCTTGATATTTAGGTCCCAGGCATATAGCGCTGCTGGAGGTCCCCACATACTTAAATGTTAACTTTACCATATGAATACATATTGGACGCCGACAACCGGCCAGAAAAAAAAATGACGAATTTCTGCATTTTTGACGTTTTTAAACGGAGTTTTGGCATTTAGGCCCCTAATATGAATACGAAAGGGTGCCTAAACGGTGTCGACGTGTGTACTAGGTGATATTCTACCCTTAAACTACCCAAAACGTTCAGGGCGTGCCTTGTGGGCTCGTAATAACCGAAAAACGGTAATTTCGCCCGCCGTCTTGGATTTAAGGGCTTAAATGCCAAAATCGGGTCTGGCACCAGGGCGCATCGTTTTCAGCGGGGGCCAATTAGTCTAGAACTGCCTGTTGCCAGTTTGTAGCACAAAATGCCGTTAGACATGCACTTTTCAGAAATGTCTCCCTGACTATAAGGATAAAAATGGTTTGTTTTAATAAAGTATGTAAGTATTTGGCGAGTGTTTGAGTGAGGAGATAATGATTCATGCATTTTAAATTTCCCGATTTTTATAATTTTGTGGATGTGAAACGGGACTCTTCCAACATTGGCAAAAATTTAGCAGAAGTTGCATAACTTCATGTGTTGGGTGAATAGATAAAAATTTCTTATTGGCTGTCGGGAGTAATTTTTCGAGTAATTTTTTCAAGAAACGCCCATGAGAAATGATCACTCACTGGTGTTAACCAACAATGTAATCAATACCCTTACTTTACACAGTAAGAGCGTATCCGTTATTTGATATGAGTAGACAAATATTTTATTTGGTGTTCTCTGTCTGAATGTTTTATTTTTGGTTTCATATTAAAATGAAATGAAAGCTCATTTGACTCACATATTACCAAATGTCCTTAAAATTGGCACTATGTATACATAAATATATAGTTGAATCATCTTGTATGTGAAGTTCAAATGAAATTGTGTTATGCCAACAAGAACCCATTCAAAAATTGACAGTAAGAACCACTTTATGATAATAAGGAATGACCTAAAACAGGTGGCACCCTTTGTATCGCTATAATTTCAAAGCATAAACCATGCCTCCTTAGCACTACGTCACCCACAAAAAAATCTTCTAAATGGCACATAATTTCAAATGAACTTCACTTACAAGGTCATTCAATTATTCAGTCATTAAATACTTACTGCAATAGACGTAATCACTTGAGTAAATCCAGCTATTTTGTTATGGGCCAAAACGAGATGTGTTAACCTACTGCCCATCATTTGTGCTAAACTTACTAATGGTTGTGCATTTATAGCAGAGGTATTCTAAAAATGAATAGATATTTACTACATGTACATGAACATGTTACACTTTACATTTATAGAAGAAAGATCTAATCGTTCCAGCAAAGAAAACTCTGTGGTCAAGTATTTCAAATGCTCCGCATTTAACCCTTTCCAACCGCCTAAATTAAGTCCACGTAATTCGGGACAATGTTCACTTAATGCTTCTAAGGCCAATTGTATGTTATGAACCTTCCATTCCGCTATAAGCACACAATATATGAGAATTAGCTGTGTGCGCCTATAAAATTACCTAAGTTTAGTTCTTGGCATGCCATGAGACGGTTTTGAATTAGCCAATGCAGTTTAAGGTCAGTACGCAGTTTTTCCTGAACCCAATTCAGATCTACACTGCGCCATAAAAGAGGAGATAAAGCGACGTTTCTCCAGTTCTTGCATACCTTGCACAACCTAAAAGCAAAAAATTGAATGCCACATTTTTCACACTACACCAACCTGACAACTGTAGGTAAGCAACCCTCTTGCATGCACAATGTCTGAAATATCCTATGCAGAATATCAGGAGTCATGTTTGCCCATTTACTTTCTTCAGTAATATTTTCCGTACTTGTGACAACAGGTACACTTTCTGCAATAACTGTAGGTTTACTCCTTTTTCTTCTACTTTCGTGATCTGAAGTATCTGTGTCAGAATTGATTTTGTGTTTTTTTCGCCTACCGCTCTTCTTTTTGGTGGGAGGCAACTAATTAACAATCATAATGTAAATGAACCAACTACCAAAGTTAAAGTAAACTTACTTGCGTTGATAAATCACTTTTTTTAATTCTGATTTTGATGGCGTTTTTATCACCACTAATTTGACTATGATACATTGCAACAAATGCCTTACGCCGCCGTCCACGACAGTTCGACTTATCAGAATTTGCACTTAGTTTTTTTAAATGGTTAGTTTTGTTTGTTCGATAGTTCTCACTTTTATTAACTGCTATTGAGTTGTACTCTACTAATTTATCTTCGGTTTGATTATGTTGCTGGCTGTGATTAAAGTGGGAGCTGTACTGAGATTCTGCCATAAATTCACTCCCCGCCGTGGTATCTGGAACATTAGAAAATAATGTAATGAAAAGTACATGGTTAAAATTTCAGGAAAAAATTACCACAAATAAGAAAATTGGTGATATTTTTTGAAAATATTTTGGTATATTATGGATCTTATCTTGGGAGCTAATTATAAATAGTAAATCTAAATAGAACAAATCTATTTATCTATTTTTTTAAGTATACCTCGAAGTATACAGTCGCTAGTAAGTCTGGAAACAATCGATTTTTGGGAAAAATACACAAGATATCAAAAAAAATTTTATACAAACATTTTAAGGTATTTTAATGTCTACTAGGCAATAATAATTCTAATTATACAGGGTTAATCATAAAAGCGTGGCACACCAATATTTTTTTTTTAATGGAACACCATATTATTTGATATTTCAATTTTTCTCTCAATTTGAAGCAAAATTTGTAAGAAGCACACTGTACCCAGATTCAATCTTTTCAGAGTTATCGAATTTTGACAATAAACTCGGATAAGTTTAGAAACGATTGATTATCAGGGAAAATATACAAAATATCAAAAAAAGTGTTATACAAAAGTTTTGGGGTTCTTCAATGTCTACTAGGCAGTAATAACTGTAATTATACAGGGTTGGTTATAAAAGCACACCAATATTGCATTTTTTTAATGAAACATCCTGTATATTATTTGATATTTCAATTCTGCTCTCAATTTTAAGCAAAATTTGTAAGAAGCATAATATATCTAAATTCAATCGTTTCCAGGTTATCGAGTTTTGAAAATAAACGGTATTGTTTGAAAATTTATTGAATGAAGAACAATAATTAAAGAAATTACGAATTTCTTTTGAAAACATTCTTCTGAAAGGAACCGATTGTGATGTTTGTTATGATTATTTGGAATTAATAATCATTGGTATTCATACAATCATCCAATAAATTTTAAAAACTCGTTTCAAAACTATAGCGTTTATTTTCAAAACTCTATAACCCAGAAATAATTGAATTTGGGTACATTATGTTTCTTAGAAATTTTGGTTAAAATTCAGAGCAATGAAATATTGATTAATATACATGGTGTTCCATTTAAAATATACATTTTGATTTGCCATGCCCCCGATGAAACTGGACTTCAAACACAATGCGTAAATAAACAGAAGAAGTCAACCAATCACTGCAACTAAAATCGATCACCCTAATCGACTAATACTAAACGTCCCGCACTTAATTAAATTTTTTTATTTTTTTATTATGGGCCGACTTGTGCGGGAAATTTTTATCATTGTCAATCAAGTAATTGTGTGTTGATTCGAATCCTTTGTGCGACCCACATAGTATTCATGTCAAGATTTATCTATTCGTTTCTGATATTTATTTCAGGTGTTAATCAATGGTTGTGTAATAGATTCTTTGGAATTGAATTGAAATTGATTGAGGCCACAAGGTCTCTCAAATTGAAAAATTGTAAGTCAATATTAAGATGTTTCTTCTTGGCTTAACGGTAGTGAAGTTCCACAAAGTTATCAATAAAATGCGTCTTACTCGGCTACTTGGAATGATTTTGTCTTTTAACAAAGCTATTAACATAGCGGGTTTAAGTGGTTAACATACTAGAAGGGAAAGGCTGGAAAGCTAAAGTACCATACTATTTCAGTCAAAATGTACAGATGACGGCATAAATGGGCAAGGATATTCTGTCATATAACGTATATAGCGACAGCGTCGTTTTTCTAGGTTGAAACAGTGACGAAAATAAGAGCGAGCCACCCTGCAGTGAAAAAAAATTCCGCTTTACCCATTGGAAATAGCCTCGGAAATAGCAAAGGGGACATCCTGCATGTAAAATGTTTCATTTATTTCATAGGACGTGGGGGAATTTCTTTAAAATAAATTTGTCAAATTGTCATTTTAATGTTAGTTTTTATTGCAAATTTAGTCATTTGTTTAAGTCATTTAATGTTGCTGAACTTAGTGAGCTTCATACATTTTAAAACGCATAAATAAGAGAACATTTAATCGTAATTTAAAAGTTTTATATGGTCAGATGTTTTGCAAAAAGGCGTTATCGGACAAATTAATTGACCTTGCTTACTAACACCGCTACGTGCAAGATAACGAATGCAGGTGTTTGGAGTTCGGGCGTTGGCGATGGGAATACCGAGCGACGGCGGGGAACAACGATATGGAACTTATGAATGGAGGTGGTTTCACCTTTAAATAAGAAAACGATGCAATAAACTGGGCTGTTTTCGGGTCGATTGTAAAAGCGTATGCCATTGTTGCGAGCAGTTTTCGCCAGATAAAGAAGTTTAAGGTCTTGTACCTAAAGTTGTTACACAAGCGGTTCCACAGTTAAGTCGCCCAATTTAGTGAAAGTGTTGTATCACTCGATCACCCATTATAATTATTATTTGCGAGATTATTTGTTAACTTCATCAAATAACTTATTGGATTACGTGTTAAACAAAATGTGAGTTTCAAAAGCTGTCAGCTTTGTGTAAAGTGTTTGGTTCGTTATCGCGTTCCAATGTCCAGGCCAATGGATATGTAACTGAATTGTGGGTAGTAACTTTCTTGAGATCTCTTAAATTGTTCTATTTGATTTGTACGTTTTGCAAACTGGGTGTGCTGTTAAAAAAAGGCATTGTCGTGTATTTGATTTTCTGTCTAATGTGTTAGAATAAATTTTTGTAATCTTTGTTTATAAATTAATTATGACGTGTCAATTTGAATCCCACTTTAAAATCCAAGTTGAATTTTATTTTTCTGTCAGATTTTTCTTTTAAGTTTTTTTTACCCGAATGGTATTTCTCGAGGTATTTCTGATCTATTTCAAAATTCAAGTAGCGTTATGACGTTGCAATTTAAGGAATTTGATTGGGACCTTCGAACCTTTCAAATTTCAAAGTGTTTAAAGTAAATGTTAGTATTTTTCTTTGTGTCTGAACTCAGTCATGTCCTGAGATATTTAAAAAAGAAAATAATGGTGTAATTTGAACTAGCTAGGTAGGTGTCTGTTGGGTGATGTATTGACCGCATACCACTACCTACACACAACAATATAGATTCATTTAGAATCTCTACAGGAAATACCATACTAAACTTGCCCATTTTTGACTTATTTTAATATTTATGTCAAACGGCCCAAATCATAATTTCCAATATTTTCTATACTTAGAGAGCTGGTATTATTCTTGTTGGATGTCATTTTCCATCTCTTTTGGAAACGTGTGGATTGATGAAGGAAGTAGACGTTATTTTTTGACACGTTTATTAAAATTTGTTTGCTAAGGCTATCGATTTCGACCACTAAAGGTCATCTTTGGCCGAGTGTCAGTCAGTGAATTAATGAATATTGGTGTTGATGTAATGTTGTTAGACAGGAAAGAACTATTAAGAATGTTGTTAAAAAAGAGAGGTTATGTGGTACCTAGATACAGGTTTCAGGTGCATGTAAAATGTATTATTTATGGTATTATTTTGTTATGACTACTATCGGAGTAAAATGTAGAGTCCGCTCACTTTGAAGGCTCAAATCTCAAAATCGCTGGAGCCGATATTAATGAAATTTTTGGAACGTATCAATTGGTAAGTTGTTGTTAACATACGTAAATTGTAAATTTTTGCTGCCAGGACTTTTTACGTTATCGAATTTTCCTCACAAAAAAGTACTCTAAAATGCGTGATTTGTCGCGATGCTCAACTGTACAGGTCCATAAATATATTATGTTATCAAAAATCTCTAAACCTTCCCCATTTCGAGGAACGATGGATCCAACTCAAAAAAAAAAAAAAAAAGGTCCATAAATAGTTTATTTTTCCACGAAAATTCATACATTTCGGGTATTACATAACCCAATTCTTACTGTAGCTATTGTAGAAAAAATTATGGAAATATCTTGTTCCCTTTTTGCGTAATTAGCGGAAAAGCAAAAACATTGCAACGCAGCTATTATTGAAGGAAACGACTTCATTCTTTTTTTATAAGATGAATAAAATAGCAAACGCCATAAATGCGTACATATTGTCTGAAAACAACTTGTGGATGTTTGTTTTTGTGTAAATTAGCCAATACTCTACGTACGAAACAAGATGAATAATAACCTGCGGTTTTCATGTGTGATGTGCGGTAAACATAATAACAATTCCATGCATATATTACTTAACCATGTACTTAGCGTGTGTGCCGCTTTATACGAAACGTTGCTGCAAGGTACAACTTTGCGATTAAATGACCTTCCCCCCAACTCCGCTCGAGGTGTTGCGTTTATCTTTTTCGCTCAAAATATATTAATTCCTGCAGCCCTTCACATTTTTTTGTCATTGATTCTATTCCGTGATCATATCATTTGTAATTGTCCTTTATCGATATGAACAAAACTTTTTAAAGTGTATCTTATAATAAGCGAATAAACGCGTCTGTCATTTTATCGCTGTAACGTTTGCGTAATTATACAGAAATGCATAAAAATGTATCGACGTATAGTTAAAGGTGTATTCTATCACATACGTAAACATTATCCCATTTGAGTGAATACTTTTTTTGTAATTAAATCCTAAAGTTCTGAGTTCGTATACTTTCATTGAAAAAGCGCGCTTTCCCGTACATATTTCACTATCACATTTTCCCAAATTTAACAAGAAATATGACATTACGTACGGATACGTAGAAATAGTTGACGATTATATTACGCTTTATTTGATAAAAATCGGTTGGGTAGTTTTTTTTTTATAACCGTTTAAAGCCAGCGGACTCTACATTTTACTCCGATAGTAGTTTCTATTTACAAATTTCGAATTGAATTCTAAGCTTCTGGGAATCAGCCCTGCTTAGTTGCAAAACTACTTTGTGACAGATTTAGTTTCCAAAAATCAAAGGTGCCTTTGAATTTTCAAGAAATGTTTATTGCATTCCAGTAAAGTGTGCTCTTTAGAGACGAGACACGCACAAATGTGATTAAGAAGAGTTGTTCAGAATGAAGAACTGAGTAAACGTGCAAAATCTCAAAGTTCTAGGCTAACATTGATTTTTTTGTGTTCGTTTTTTAACTGGATTTTTTAGGTCATCCCAAGAAATGTTACATAAAAAACTGTTCAAAAGAGAATGTAATGACCATATAGCAAATTTGCCGATAGAACCACATCGATATTTCATTTAGAATATTTAATATGGGTAAATTGAGGATTTAAATATCAACTTGCTCTGAATTAAAAAGACCACTAGCTATATGATCGTTACATTCTATTTTAAACAGTTTTTTAAGTAAATTTTTTCGATCATCTTTTAGAAGTTCCTCAAAAAATTCAGTTAAAAAATAAACGTTTTTGAAAATTTCAAGACCCTTTATTTTTCGAAACTAAAATTTCTCACAAATTAGTTTTCAACCAAGGCTGATTCCCAGAAGTAGTAGTCCGATGTTTCTCGGGAAAACTCGTGCAGTACTGCACAGTACAGCAAAGCAAATCATGTATGTGAGTATTATGAAAATCAAATTGGCCAGTGATTCAACATTGGTACTTATTACTATGAATTACCTGCTGGTTGGAACAAAAGAGTCTCACAATTTTGTGAGGTATCTCCAAATGAACTCCCCAAAAACAGATCAGATCCATATGTTGTCATATCATTCTGTTGAATCGAACTACTGCAATCCACATCATCATAACAATGCGACAATCCTTTACTCGTACAAACATTGTTATTTGGTAAAATATCACAATTGCCATATACTAACTTATTTGTATCCAAATAGTTATAGTTGCTCATTTGAAAATCAGATGAAGTATGAGATAAAAGTTCGTAACTATTACTAGTTTTAATCACGGCGTTACTTTCATTTTCCGTAACGGTGGTGTCAGCCATTATACAGAATCGTAAAGGGCCAGTTGTTTATTACATTTTTTCAAGATAATCCAGACGGGTATGGTAGGCAGGTCACCCGTTATGTTGGAAGAAACATCGTTTGAAGACCAGATATTAATAATGGCATTGTCAACTGCAAAAAACACATTAATTAGGGATGAGAAATAGAGACAAATAAACAGTACATGCATTCAGTAGCAGTAACTGTAATTTTATCATTTAAATTTGGCGCTAATTTTCCAAATTGATACATAAACAAAAGAAAACAATAATAAAGGAAAAATTTTAATAGGAGTAGCGATAATTGTTAATGCCACGAAATGATTTTGTATACACAAATTATGGTTGAACTACTTATAATTTTCTTTATTTTTGATGATGTTATGTGGTTGTCTTAAATATGTAGGTTGTTCATGAAAACGAATGTTTCCCGATTTATGATCTACATTTCGGTACTCAATTGCCGTACTTATTTAAAACTTGAATCCGCCTCACTTAATAATGCAAAGTTATTAACAAAAAACTAATAATTACCACAAAATAACGAGAAAAAATGTCTTCATTTGATAAGCAGTGTTGTTGACCTTCTTAATCTACAATGCTACTGAATCTGAACACCAATGTTGCGGGAGGCGCTTCTGTTGATAAATCATTAAGTTGCCCTCTATTACACCTTCGTTTAATTTACCCTTAGGAACCTATAATATATTACTTTTGTAGAGTTTAGTAAATTGTGGTTTAATAAAATGCTCAGAGATGTCACTCGATAACTAAAGAATAATTTTAATACATTTATTTTCAAACAAATCGTATACAGGGAGATAAAGATCATTTGTACATATAACCATTGTTTAAAAAAGTATTTAAACAATGATATAACTTTAACCGTTGTATTTAAATACAATTTTTAGCGCCCTACTTTATGAGCGCATCCTGTATAATTCCAAACGTTTTTAAAATGTGGAGAATATGCAACCATATCATTATCCAAAAGCACTCTATTGAAAAATATTATTTTCCATTAAGTTACTCCGCGCAATCGTTGACTCATCTTGTACAAAACTCGGTTCTGTAATAAACGGAACCGCTTTTTGCCGTTGAGATTTTTTTAAAAATTATATTGAAAGACCAATTGCTATGTTCCAAAGAAGTTCGGTGCGCTATTGCAGCCACTTTCGTTGTCAGTCCGAGGTTCCTACAGTTTTCAATAAGTATATTTAATTTAGTTTGTTCTTTTTGTATTCGGTATCTTATAACTGTAGCACCCATAGCATCTGGCCAAGAAACATCTAGGCGATTAATGTGCACAATGTCAAGTTTCCTATTTAGCAAAGAGTATTAAGGTCAAGACTGTTATTGGAGCAAGTGCATTCACTTAAATCACTTCACTAGATCACTACTCTCATTCAAACAAGGGTCCAAATGAGCAACAGTGAATCTGAAGCCATTGTAATTAGTTGCTTTCTAATTGACGAAGTGCAGGAGAAGCAAAAAAGAGGAAACAAATATAAATTGTGCACAACTCTTGTGCAGATAAAAGCACATTCTTTTTACCGAAATAGCTTTGGTTTTGACATCACCAATGAATATATTTCTTCCAGACGTCTCAATCGCTCTTTGTGAGTACCCTCTTCCGACAATCCGTTCTTGAGGTATAAGGGAATATACCCGATCACGATACGAGGTGGAGGAAGAGGGCTATGGTTGGTAGAAATTAATTCCTTTTTGTTGAGACCTTTCATTAAAGTACCATGAGGGATAAAACTAGTTCCACCTCCCCTCTCCCTCCACCCCGTACTTTGATAATAGGACAGAAAGAAGGGCAGTAGTTGGTCAAAAACGGTTCCTTTTGTTGAGACCTTTAATTAGAATACAATGAGAGATAAAATTAATTTTTAACATCTCAATGATATGATTTTGGGCGCTAAGCGAGGTGGACTCCTTTTAATTTTCCTAATTGGACGATATAGTCCCCCTTTTAGACAGCGAAATTTAATGGCCGTCTGGCACACCTTCAAGGTATAGGCTATACCTACTGCAAAAAATTCCAGGATTCTATGACCATTCCCCTAGAAGTAGTTCAAAACCGCAAAAGTGGGTCCAGACGGACGGACAGACAAAACGCAAACAATAGCACATTTTTTTTTATTTTTAAAAAATGCGCTAAAAATGTGAATACATGATTTTACAAGAAGAGACTGAATTATGGCGAATAGGTATCCTACCTTTTGCAAAACGACAATATGAAATTTTTTCAGTAGTACTTTCGAATGAAACAAAATTTGTCATTTGATCGAGGCTCTGAAACATATTTCCGAGCATATTTCCATCAGTGTGAATCGTACGATCGGTTTAAGTAAGCGCACTTACAAGTCCAATAGAAGTAATAGTAATTTATGATCTAAAACTTTTTAAATCTACAGATACTGATAAAAATTAATAGAGAAATTAAATATAATTTATGAAAGTTTTTTACATTTGGCTTACAGGCTCTATACCCAAAATATATAATCCATTATGTAAAACAGTTTCAATACACCTTATTAAATAAATCCTTGCATGAAGGAAAGGGAAGAGATGATTTCGAGGTTCCTTCAAACAATGCATTAGTTAAAAAAACTATGAAACTATATCCCACTTACAGTTAATATTCGAACACGTTGGTAATAAACACTGAAAACGGAACACATCGCTGACAGATGCTGGCATAAGTTATGAATTCTAATGCTACATTCCCAAATATCTTTTATACAATTATTGATGATGGTAGGAAACTGCAATAGATACCCATAAGCTAACTCCCATTCTTCCTGTAGGATTAATTTGTATTAAGTAACCCTCGAAGAAATAAAAGAATCATTACAGGTTGCGTTAAGACCGAGAAGTCGATTTTGTCAAGGTCTGGCAATTCAGGATAACTTTTCAATTCCACTTTACGTTGAAATTCTTTTAAAAGTGTCGCAAGCCTTGCACAGTTGTAAAGAATAAATGATGCTCCTACAATAAGACATAGATATGCATTAAAACTCACTCATTACCTTTACTACAAGAAGATGAGAAATCATTAAAATTGCAAATAACGGGGCGATTAGGTTTGATTTGTAATATTTCTATTGTAACGGCGGCTTCCCCCAATTTCCTAAATATGTCACGCCAACCTGAGTTGGAAGTGACTCTTAGACCATATTTATGTTCTGCCATTAGTCTCATATCAATTGTTCGCTTGCTATAATAGGAATAGGACTTATAAAGGAATTAAAGCATATTATGACTTACTTGTACAAATCTACAGCTTTTAGTTCATTTGATTCTCTACTTAAAACGGGAGCACAAACAATCCCTTTTGGTGTGCCTTTTTTTGCTTTGCATGTTATGTTAATATCAACAGTATTTGAATTACTAGCAGAACTATGGGAAAAACTTAACAGTCGATCAATAACACTTTTAATTAATATTGCTCGTAACTCACTAAGGGACATAGTTGATACGTTTTCATTGATAAGATCAGTACACACAGACAAAGGTTGTTTCAAGCTTAGATTACATGTACCGTAGCCTCGACCATTCTTTATTACACAAGAGACTACCAGCTTATACGTAAATGGTCGATCCACATATAAATGATATGTATCCCTAATAGTGGCACATTTTGCGATAGGTAATATCCAATTACGGCTAGCAGTTGTAATACTTTCAAAAATATGGCTCACATCAGAGTCAGTGCAATGATTTAATCGTGCAAGTACACTGGCGTTCACACTAAACTCTCCCAATTGGTCCAGTTTTCGTATATGTTTTTTAATAATATTATTATTGATGTCTTCTACTCCTAGCAGGTAATTATACAAATTTAATAGGAAGCCTTCGTGTATATCCATTTTTTAAACGTTGGATCACAACTTAACCTAAAAATTAACATAACCGTGAAGGGAACTTGTGAGTCGCCATATACAGGGTAGCTATAAAAATATAAAACCAAAGTACTCACGCTACAATTGAAATTAGGCGCGTTCATAAGACTCGACGGTTACTGGTTCGCTACAGTAGCAAACCGGGAACGGTTGTGGGTTTTAAGACACGACCGCTACTTTGTATGGGACCATGGCCTAATAAGAGTATGGTCTGCTATTGCGCATAGTGCATTAGTCGGCTGGCTTTGATGTGACATCACGCGGTTGTGAAACGAACTGGTGCCGGCAAGACTCCCATAAGAATAAGTAAGAAAGCCTAACAATTACGGTGAAAAGTTTTCATTCATAAAGTGCTTACACCTAATTAGAGCTTATCTGCATATATCTACGTAACAAACTGTGTTGTATTACAAAAACAAAGTAGAAAATCATTAGGTTTTAATGTAAAATATGTACAAAACATCAATTCAGACTGTTTAAAACATGAGGTTTTTCATTGGTTACTAATTGTTCGTCTTTCTGCAGAAGTCCCGCAGTTTCTCATTTTTTTTATTTCGTTTCCGAATTCTTATATACGTCCTTACTCCAAAGTTCAAAGAGTATCGTTATATTATATGCTCTTTGCTTTAACTAAGTGGTCGAAAGCGTCGTTAGGTATCAATGTCTTATCACATGATGCATTAAGTTTATTACTTTCAATAACAGCAAAATAATTTGTTGGCTTTTTTAAATCCCGTTCAGATATAAAATAATCCAATTATCGCCTATTTCAAATTCGGCGATTTCGCCTAAGAATCGGTATTTCGTTTTTAATTTGTATGCAACGTAAGCAGTCATATAAAGCGAACCTTCTTTATGAATGTTCGTTGTTTCTTGAGCAAAATGAAGGTAGGTATTTCAGCAATACCTTCTTGCAATGTTGGCCCGTTAAACAAGTATTATAATTTCCGTCAAGTTTTCTAATGGCTGAGCAAAGCAGCATTCGCCGGCCCTTTGGAAGGTATATTTACCAACAAATCTTGGTGTCAAAACATATTCCGTATCGTACCTATCTACCTATTTATTAGGTCGTTATACAAATCTATTAACGATCGGTTAGATCGTTGAGTGAAGGTGTAGCCATCAATCAGATGCCGTCGATGCCGATACAATTATACCCCGCTGAAAAGCAACATGTTTTGGAAATCTATACTAACTTGTATTTAGTTTTTCTATTGTTATTATTGCAACCAGACACCACACAATGGACCATTGTAATAAAGTAATATAGCTATATAATCGTATTTATCACATATGCAATGGAATATCGAAATATTAGCACATATTTATTCATATGCGCGTGTACAATATTTCAGTGTGCACAACCGCGTGACGTCATGCGCGACTTGTGCGAGATTTCGTTCACGGGAATAGCAGACCATACTCTAGGCCATGTATGGGATCAGACATGCGCTGTATTGATTCGTTATTTCGCGGTTAATTTTACCATTTTGAAAATATAAACAAACGCTAAACAAGGTGTGTTGGCGGTGTCATTGAAATTATAAAAATGAACGCGATTTCAAACAAAAAGTTAACGGTACCAAACACATGAAAAAGTTGACACACCAAACGAACGAGGCAGTATTTCGGGTCATTGACATACAGCGTTAAGTAACTACAGTTATTTCTGTTGTGTATAAATTTTCATATGAATTTTCCGGTCATCGGCTGATCTAGTTTTTCATTTGCTGTTCAGTCAGTCAGCACGCGTACGTTTGTACCCTAACTGTCATATTTTTAACTTTGTCAATCGTGTTTACCCAACAGATGCGGCGAATAAATTTTGGCCAATGTAATAACACTAACAGACCCGTTTCATGGTCACAAAGATCATTGTCTATACTTATTTGTCTCCGACAGCCTGCATTGATAATGTTTTGTGTAATAAAAAGATTGAACTTGTGATTGTTTATTTTGTAACTGCTTATGGTGTGGAGATGCAGATCTTTTAGGTACACCAGAATAATGATGCTATTAATGAAACTTAATTTGAAAGATAGATAGAGCCGAAGTTCTCAGTTCCCTTTCCGTTGCTAATATGGCAATATCAATACCTAACAGATCTACGAGTATAACGCATATTACATTTCCTTAAAATGGCTACTTTTAAAGTTAGTGGCGACTGAAAGAGATGAGATACACATTTGACCATGATAAATACTCAGCAGTAATATAGAGGATCAAAGTAGTGTTCCATTGCATATCACTCAACTTGAAAAAAATTTAAGAAAAAAATTACTAATGGAGTGCAAGATCATAAAACCGTTGATAGAAGGAACAATAAAACATCTTGGTACAGAATGTAGGTCATCTACCTTTCACTGTCAATAGACCATTCACATTGAAAATCAAACCGTCCCATCTAATAAAGAATATATTAAAATAACAAAATATAGAAAATGAGTAGGTAATAAATAAATTACATTTTGTACAACGTAACTTTACAGATTTACAAAGTAGATAATACAACAAAATTAATACTTGGGTCTTTAAAATAACTATTTAAACATACTAACAAACTCCTAACATATAAGGATAAACTTAAAATAACGTTTCGCTATAAGATACAATGTGTAAGTGTGGTTTATACAATGTCAACATTTAATCATTTACAATATGATTAAAGAACATATAAAATAATTTATTATTTCACTTACTAACGTCAATTTTATACATTTTTCAAATATATTAATTCACATTTCATATAAAAATAAACGAATATTATTGTTAATACGTATTTTTGACAATTTTAACTTCTACTAATAAAAATATCAAGAGATAGCACCTCATCACAGAACTTTCTTAATAAACAACTACACTTGTACAATACCGTCAAAATCATTTTCGTTTTGTACGTTAACATTGGAGTTCGTATCAGGGTTTTGCTTTACTGTTCTTTTATAACCGTTATTTAGGCACTGTGCGTTCGTACACTGCTGCAGATCTTTCTCGCAAACGCACTGAGTACTTTGAAGCCTGTCACAACTAGATCGCTGTGAATCTGTTTTGCTGGAGTCTTCATCATGTAACCGTTCATAAGGTGGCTCATCTTGCGTAGATTCGTCAAAAAATTTTACACTTTCGTAATTTGGATCATTAGAACTGACGCTTTCATAGTTTGGGTCAGATTCTGTATCCTCCATGTTCAGTAATGTGTAGTTGTGATTAGGTAAAGTTTCATTTGGCATGCTCTCATAGTTTGGTTCGTCTGTATTGAGGTCACTTAGATCACTATCGTAGACACTTAACTGTTTGAAGTTGGCATCCTCAGAATTCTTGTGAATAACAGAATATCCATCAGGATTACTGCCGGACTTATTCCCAATTGTACTATAGCCTGCACTGTCTGCAAAACTGGAAGTTCTGTGTCTTAATTCCTCATAGTTGGGGTCCTCTTCTGATGACGCCTCACTGCCGTGCTTAACTGCTTCATAACCAGGATCCGAGTTTAAAACACTTTCGTGTGCATTAATGACATCATAACCTAAGTCACATTTGGCCTCACCATCCTTAGGTTTTAACTTTTCATACTTAGGGTTACTCGTTTTACGAAGCGTTTCATAGTTATGGTCAGAATACAAATCAACGTCACTGTCAGTTTGTTTACCTGGCGCAACGTTTTCTGTTTCTTTACATTCTACATCTTTCTGATTAGATTCTTCATCGGTTCGTTTTTTACCTTTGTGCACCTTAGCGTACATGTCATCCAAGGTTTTGAGTAGTGCCAAATTTTCACTACCGACATCGGAGTTACTCGAACTGGAGGGAGGGGGTGGAAGTGGAGAATTAGCCTGCCTTTTTTCTGGTTTTGGTGATCCCACATTAGTTATTGAACTTGACGATGACGCTAAACATATAAACCCAATTTAATTATACATGATCATTTTCTTTGGTCCGTTCAATATATTTAAACATATCTTCTAAGGTCGATTTTCACAGCACCACCCATTGCTGCTATTTAAAAAAAACCACTGGAATCGTGTGTCGCGTGTGTGAAATTTTTTTCGTTTGTGCTACTCTCCAGAGAAACGGTGGGCGGGGACAAGAAATGCGATCCCGACCCAAACTTACTATTTTCAAAAAATCTGTTGTAATCGTTTGTACTTCGTTTGTGCTGCAATTATTATCGTTTGTGCTATTCTCCTTCGCAAAAAAACAGTGGGCGGCGTCAAATATATGTGACCTCCACCCAATCTTACTATTTTTGACAAAAAGCTATTGGAATCATTTGTGCTTCTATTATTTTCATTTGTGTAACTAGGTATCCCTCCTAGAGATATGGTAGGCGAGCCAAGGAAATGCACCCCCGACCAATTTTTCTAAAGAAAAGTAAGAATTGCCTGTGCAGCCACTTTTGCTGCATGGCCGTTCATCCGAGGCCTTAACTACTCCTACAGTGCTCATGGTATTTAGTTTCATTCTTCTTGTATTCAGTAGCTTATAGCTCTGGCACCTGAGCAAAAAAACTGTTTGCCGGTTAATAAAAACTAGTTCGATGTACTTACTTGAAATCACTCTTATGAATGGAAGACAATATGTTCGTACAAAACTAAAGGTATGTTGGAGGGGAGATTCAATAAAAAAGCTCTTTGGAATTAATGTGCGTTTAACTCATCTTCAACTTTAAGATCACTGTTTGTACATGCATGGAATTACAAAAACGTAATGTGTTCTTTGGTAAATGATTTTGTATTGTCAAATAATGGTATAAGGTCGTCAATATTATGTAATATTAACATTCTGATGTAGTTGTTAGTTTCGGTAATCCATTCGGTTTAACTAATTCAGAGCTGGGCAGTATTCGATTTTGTAAATACTTTTTAGTATTCAAATACTTTGTAGTTAAATACTTTTATGGAAGCAGTATTTGTACTCGTAACTCAAATACTTTCGCAAATATTTAGTATTCGAATACTTTTGAAAGTATTCAAATACTTTTCAAAGTATCTGTATTTAGTATTTGCTTGTGCTAGACGTAAAAGTATTCAGTATTCAAATACTTTTGATTTGTCTAAAGTATTTACCATTTTTGTTATTCAAATGCTTTTTGAAAGTATTCTGCCCAGCTCTGGACTAATTAAATAATTTTAGGTTAAAGTACTTTCCTTATGTTAATAAGGAAAGTACTTTAACCTAAAATTATTTAATTAGTCCAGAGCTGGCCAGAAGCAGTGTTTGTATAATTTTGTATTTGATTACTTACTTGAAATGTCAAACAAATGTATACAGTCGTTGTCAGAAACAAGTCATAAGCGGTAGATAGTATTGGCAGTGACTGTTTTATCTAATACACTGAGTACAAAAAGTCTGGGAATACTGTAACCTATTTATTGCACAAGGACTAACAAATGTACCAGGTGACCCAAGCGGACTGTTCCTCGGCCATATCTCGGGAACCGTTCGTTTAGTTAAAGCAAGTTATTGCAAAAACAATTGAACGCCCTACGCCATCTTTGTTTTTGAAATGACTGAGTTTTTGTTTTTACGAAAATGATACGATAAACCTGGTTTTCTTTAAAAATTTGAAAAAAATTGTTTAGTTTATTATGGGAATTTAAAAGAAAATGCAATTTTAAAATTTAAGATGGCAGGTACGCCCTCTGTTGGTCATTTTTATAACTTGAAAATATTTTCCAGCGATTCTTCATGACCGATTTACCCAATAATTTTTTTTACTCCTAAGTCATATGACGAACGGTTCTCGAGATATGGCAGAGTAACAGTCTTACTGGGTCACCCGGTACAAAAATCATATACCGTGTATCAATTTTTTTCATTATAGCTCGCAAACCGTGTAGAGCGCACTGCCGTCCATTGTTTATTTCATTATCAGTGCTGTGATTGCCTTCTCTATATATTCTGACTTCTTTGGTGGACATTCATTCAACTGTTGAATCCTACGAGCTAAATTCTGACATTCACGACTACAACACCAGAGCCAAAGGGACCTTGCGACTACCCCGACATTGCATCAAGATGTCTGATATGAATGGAGTGAACTTGAAACTCTACAACCACCTACCTGATAATGTCAAAGCACTCGACAATAGACAATTTAAAATCAAAGTTAAGCGTTTCCTTACCAGTAAAGCGTTATATTCAGTCAATGAATTTTTAAGCAAACAAATATCACCGACAGACATATTATAAACTTTGTACGCTTACATGTATGTACCTACCTAAAATATTATTTATGTACATGTTAAATGTAAAATCATTGTATCGTATAATGTATATTTATGTTATATGTTACTTTATATGTTATGCTTGACGTGCCACAAACACATCTATCAGCTATGTAACGTGGTAAATAATAATAAATCAAATCAAATCAATTTGAAAATGTACCGCCCCAAATATATGAGTCGCAACAAGGAACCTATGGCAAAACAAAAACACGTGAACTTCATATTTACCTCGATATTTACTTAAGGGGAGACATTTTATAGTGTGGTCATACATGAAATTGGATCAACCGTCTAATAGACGTAGAAGCAACCCTTAAAATTTAACACATTGACTGCGTTACATATCCTCGGGGATATGTGGGTTTCTTTCCGTGGTGACGAAGCGAACTTTTGCCAAACATTCGTTGTGTGCGAAAGCCATATCTTCCTTGATTTTTAACGTATATAAGTTTTACATATAGCTTTTTTATGGTCGTGCTTTGCATAGTCAAGTCCACTGAATTTTTTGGTACATATCTCCGGGGACATGTAACGCACAGGACTAATACAAATTTAATTGTGTGCGGCACATGCCCCCGGAGATATGTACAGTTTTGCAGCTACTTCTACGGTTATTGCATCATACATTCATACTGCATGACAGAATTGCGCAAGTTGCATCATCTTTGTATTCCGTAAACATTTAGTTAGTTTTAACGAGTCTAGTTTCGGTCTAGTTATTGTAATGTTTGTCGAGGCCAACCTGGGTGCTATCTTCCATGTTTCAATACTAATCACAAATAATAATATTAATATGGAATAAATAAATATCCCTCAATTTTCAGAAAATAGTGTTCGTTTTTTATTTGAGTTGATTGCATAATTTTAGGGTTATACAGTCTTCTTCACTTTCTTGCGGTACCAGTCGCCGGAGATATGTACGGTTCCAGAATTAAATAAATAATAGTGTTAGCTTACAGGTCCCCACGCTGCGGAACTCAAAAAATTACGCACAAGGAAACTAGATGGGACTTACTTGACCAGTTGTCTACATATCCCCCGCGGTATGTATAGCACTATGGTAAAGTTGCATTACAATACCCCGGCGATATGTAACGCATCAACGGCAAGTTCTTGTTTTAAGCTACCGCAGCCAACGTGTTAAATAGGGAATAAAGGTTGAGTGACACTTCATTTTGAGATACATTAAAATGTCTTTTCAAAAATATCACATACTTCCTTCTTTTCAATACATTACCAAAGTGTGATCCAAATCTTACCCTCACTTTATCGAATGTTCTAAATAAAACAAAAACAAATCACTGTTTTGTTTTGTCTTTGACATTGCTTTCTACCAGTTCATTTGCTATATTTTAAATTATTTACGGTTTTTGCTTGATTTTTCTTAAAAGAAACAACCAGTATTAATATTTTTGAACAGGTATTCGAATGACCTTTAATATGAGGTGTCGCTCAACCTTTCTTCCCTATTTAAATTTTAAGGGTTGCTTCCCAATATAGAGGGTTTATCCAATTGCATGTATGACCAGCCTATAAATTGGCCCCCTTAAATATGAAGTTGACGTGTTTTTGTTGCGGCTTATATATTTGGGGTGGTACCTAATCAGTGACGTAGTGAAGGGGAGGGGAGCAGAGGAGTGCACAATGCCCCAGGCGCAATTATGAGGGGGACCCCCCGACCGCGCCGTAATGACTTAAAGAACATGATGTCTTTTTAGTCAATAAATAAATTCCATTGGCTATCAGACAATTTGAATTTGAAAGGGTAAGCTTTTGGCTTAACGCTCGATCCACGATATCATGGTAGGTATGATAGATGTGCTTTAAGCGCATAGTGCAATAACCCGGACGCGTAATTACTATCTGTACTATTGCACAGATCCTACCTATTCTCTATTGGGGTACAAATTGGAATAGGTAACACATGTTTTTTATTGGGGATTTACGATAATTCAACCGATTTAACCGGGTTGATAGATTTTGCTATGGTTACATCTGTTGAGACAATTGTTTCTATGGTGATTTCTACCAACCCGGTTAAAACGGAGGAATTATCGTAAATCCCCATTATGTCTAAATATACTACGGCTAGCGTTTCAGTTAAATCCCCATCCCATGACGCAAGACCCACACCTCATACGTCCAAATAAATTATTATTTACTTGTGATTATGCTCTGTTCATTATGCGGATCACTCTATAACTGAGCAAAAGCCTGTTGAGGGTCCAGAACAAGAGGGAGAATAAATAAATTCCTTCAAAAAATCAACTCGTTGATATGTTCGTAACACCTATCCATTTTGATAGAGCACTGATTATCGAATATGGCCGGATTAAGTCGTGTTTCTGAATGCGCGTTGATTGTTTTTCTACGAAGCAGTGTAGCAAAAACGAAAATAATTGTGGCACAAACAAGCATGAACGATTTAATAGTTTCGAAAATAGCAAGATTGGGTGGGGATCGCCTTTCCTTGACCCTGCCCACCGTTTCTTTGGAAAGGATAGTAGTACAAACACAGCACAATAGATTCCAATGGTTTTTTCAAAAAGCAATGAGAGGTGCTGGGGAAATGGACGATATCTTCTATACTATACTACACTATAACAAAAACAGAAAATTACAGAGCGTATGGAAATGAGATAAGTACAAAAGAGTTTATTTAAAGCAGGGTAAAAAAAACCAAAATATAAAATATCCAACATCTAAACATACAAAGCCGAACCTCTACCTCAAAAATATGAGAGCAGTAATTTGGAGTTGAAACAATTACCCTACAGTAAAACGAACCTTGTCGTGAATGAGTGTTTATGCCATTTTTCCTACTCTCCATGTGGACTGGGCGGAGTACACCATCAAACTGATCATTCACTTCTACTTCTCGTTGAGATGAATCCGTCGCGTTTGCGTTTCCATCTACAGGAGCAAGCAATGAAGGTGGCTGTATTTGAGCATATGTTTCACTTTCACTTGTATAAATTACATTATTTGGGTCTTGAATCGTTGTATATACATCATCTAAAAATAATTTGAAAAAAAGCATTCAAAACTATGTTATTTAAAATAAATGAAACCATGAAACTTACCAGAATCATCTGATACAGTAGAATAATGGGGGTCAAGGTCTCGTTGCACTTTATCCAGTCCTTGGGTTTGCGCCCTAATGTTTGCTAGCGGTTCCCGAACACTAATACTGGTATAGCCCTCTACAATACAATCGCTATTAATTCCTCTTACAGTAAGCATTGCGCATACTAGACGAATCCTGCGAATCGCCACTAAAATTCTGTTGAACAATTGGAGGAGTCATGTATGGCAATTCCTGACTCGCCGCAATACCACCAGCAACAGCTGAGGCTGCAGGTATGTCTATTCCAATCGACTCGGAAGTTCTTGGTGATCTTGATGCAACAGGTTCAACCAGGGACTGTGATGTTGATAGTCTTTCACCTCTACAAAAAATAAAACATTATTTTAAGGAACTAGGTAAATTCGTTGTTTTTGCAAATTATAGTTTGTATTCAATTCTAAAGTTGAATATGCCTTTATAATTTTCACAGAACCACTACTTCAAACTTTGGTCTATCAAGATTAGACAGTGAACAATAAAGCCCCATTCAGATAGGTGGTAGTGCGGTGCCGTAGTCTTGGTGTGCGGTGCGGGTGTGGGTCGGTGCTGTCATTTTGACAGCGGCATTCACAATCACAGCAAAATCGGTGCGCGTGCGGATTATTTTATTCTACAAAATTATGAACAACAAACAACAATAACATCAGCAAATCGTTAAAATCCATTAATCAAACAATTAAATTAAATGCACACCCGCGCAAACACTATGAAGAGCTTATGTAATTAGCTGTGACAGATGGCCATGACAAACATGATGCGTTCCTATTGGTGCTTGCTACCGTAGTGTGCGGTGCAGTGCAGAAAGTTTGAAGTTTACATACTTTCGGCACGCGGCTGCAATTCGTCTGCACTGCACATGTCATTGTGAATTGTCATATGGGTATGCGTATTTCAAACTTTTATACAAAGGCACCGCACCGCAACAGCACTGCACTATCACCTATGTGAATGGGGCTTTAGTGTGTGTTTTCTTGGCCTCAGTTACAAAATTAGTGGAGAAATGACAATTTCAACATCTTTTGGGCAACAAAATAACAGCTGACAAATATAATTAACGTTATAAGTCTGGTAAATGAATTGTAACGATACAACATAGATACTTCCAGAAGTTCTAATCGAGTATTGTTGGGATTTGTAACGGGCATATGGCGTTAAATATTTTATTTCATACTGGCTCTGATTTGATATATTTACCAAAAATATCATGATGTGAAAAAAACCAAAGGAAAACTGTGTCACAAAGGTGATATGGGCTCCATGGTAATATCATGGTACAATAAGACAGGTAATATAATGACCTCAGTTTTGACGTTTTATTAACATTAATTCTTATGACAACAAAACGTTCCGTTTTGAGATCTTTACAGGATCCGAGCCGAGAAATCAACTTTAACGCACTAAAATGGATGCAATTTATGACAGTATGAAATAATAGTTATTTACATAAAAGTCCGGAAAATGACACATTGATGGCGAGGAAATATTGAATGGGGCCGAGTACTTTAATTTCCGAGTCAGGTAATATCACTTTACTGACAAATTTTATATTAAATTTTACCCAAAATCCTATTTTATCATGAAATTTCAATTTTTATATAGAACTTTTGATTAATGTCAATCTGTCAGTGATGACATGCGTCATTATAGACATTTGGAAATGTCACAGATGCGGCCAGTAAAATGACGGTGCGGCCAGGAAAGTGACAAGCGGCAGGAAACAAGTCTGCTCTGCCTCTGTCATGGAAACTAAAATTTCCGGACAGAAAGTAGGCATGAAAATAAATGATTCAGGACGATTTTGGGTACAATAATTTCAAGATAGCGCCGCTTCCATAAATACCGGAAGTGATGCCATGTTGGTTTTTTTTAAATAGAAATATACCATTTTCAATTTTTTTCTAAATGCGTTATTTTATCTGTCATAGTTATTGACATATGTCAATTTTTCTCTAAAATTAGGTAATTTGGCGTCCATTTGATTTCTCTAAAAGTTTGAAGATGCAAGGGTTCATTCAATAATTCATCCCTTAAACTGTTCAATATAAGTGAGTGCTCTGTTTTATAATAATCAAATTCTAAAAGCCTAAAGAATTTTTTGAGTGACCGCCGAAAGTTTTAAAAAAGTTTCCAGGGCTGCTGCAATGTGCAAAGTTAGCAATCGAAGAATGTCAAAAACTTCAGTTTTTCAAATTGCAACTACTATTTCTAATGCCAGAAATGAATGTAGATTTGAATGTTAGACACTTTTAATAATAATAAGAATAATGATGTATTTATTAGATATTAATCCAAAGGGCGAAGTTCACTTAGAGGCAGCATCGCCACCAGGTGTTCTTCCACTTAACCCATAACAGAACTTCAAAATTAAATATCTACAGTTTCGATTGACGGATGAAAAAGAAAGAATAAAAATATATTTTTAGCGCATTTCCACAAAAATTAAAAAAAAAGCGCTATTGTGGCCACGTTGTCCGTCCGTCCGTCCGTCCGCTCGTTCGTTGACACGCTACTAGTTCTTTATCTTAAGAGCTATTGTTCTACTTTCTTCGTTATTTGGTTCATTATGGTGTCGAGGCTTGCACCAAGGAAGGAATTTTTTCTGTGCCGCTTATAAAAAAATTAACTTTTGTATTTACGCAATCCAATTTTCCTTTGTTAAGATTATTTAAATGAAATTTTGTATGTACTTAGGTAGCTTAAATAAACTGAAACTAATGCCGAATCAAAACATTTGTTTTGCGCATGCGCAATTCGATGCGACTAAAACACGCAAAACAATTGTTGCGCATGCCCAGACCCACATTCGTTATTTGTGAACCAATTCTTCTGAAATTTTAGGGTAGGATTCTTCTTAGAAACTGAAATGGATGCAGCAAGTCACAAATGGATTGCACATATGCAAATCTTTCTTATTTGTGGTCGGATTTTTACGAAATTTTAATAGAAGTTGCATGTTACAAATGGGAAATTAATGCAAGTGGAAATGCGCTTTTTATAAATCGTTTACAATTACTTTTTAACTTGTTATCTATTTTTAGGCATTTACACGTAAATTATAGCAAGAAATGCCAGACGCGTTTATTCGCTTATTAAACAAGTTAAAAAAGTAATCGTAAACGATTTACAAAAAGCGCATTTCCACTTGCATTTACTTCCCATTTGTAAGATGCAACTTTTGTTAAAATCGTAAAAATCCGACCACAAATATGAAAGATAGTGTTGCATAGGTGCAATCTGAGGTATTTTATTTAAAACTAGCGGACCCGTAACTTCGTACCGCCTATCAATCAATGCCCCGCTCCCGGATCTGACATAAGCTCGGTTTCAGCGGCCTCGGTGCAATCCATTTTTGACGTGCTACTTCAATTTCATTTTATAAGAATTTTATTTGAATGCTTTCATAAATAAGAAAGTTGGCACTGCGCATGCGCAAACCTCAATTTTGAAACTAACGTTATAGTCCAGTCAACGTAAGATTTCAGCTTGCAAAAGGTCAAGGAGTTTGGAAACTCGGTAGATTACTATATTTTGGGGTCCTGAATTATGCCCTGCATTTGCGACCTTGAGCGACCGCCGCCGCTCGCGCTGCCATCTTGGAAAAACGGTATGAAAATTCAGTTTTTCGCACAGAGTTGTATATAAGTAAATAGAGAGACAGTCTTGTAGCGAAAAATTGACTCCAATTGAACCTTGCGCAGGCCGTTGGTGAGTGTGCGCAGTAATCGACAACAGAACCGGCTTCAAATTAAATGATCCTTAATGCAGGTTCGGCTTGAGAATAATATGGTTTCATTGCAACAAAAATTGAAAAGAAATTCAATGTGTGGTGAATGATGTTGTTAACACTGTGTCTTGAATAAATAAGAAATGTTACAATCGTTAAGAACTTTTAATACAGTAGACTACAATACAAAGCTGGTAAGGGGCTTACATCAGAATCGAGAAAAGATTTTTTGAGATTCTGGTATAAAGGAAATCGTATATTTGTCGTGCGATCGAGTTTAAAGATCTATTTATGCACTCAGTGAGTATAAAAATAAGCAATGAAAGAATAAAATAAATTGAAATTTTATTTTGGTGCGGGACAAAATTTCAGGTGTGCAATGCCGAAAACACAGTTTAAATACGGGTAGCCACAAAGTCGACAAACTTCAAATGCCAATAACTCAAATATCTCAAAAATGGAGCATCGGCAGAGGGTATGTACAGTGGCACCACGCTCGGAAGGTTCCTGACAGGGCGTGTCCGAGGACGTTGGAAATTTAGACTGTACATTCTCATGCAAAATTTGACTCTACTAAATATAAATAAGTGGGCCACGCGATATGAGTTGCATTACTTCTAGGGGAAACAGTAAAATTAATAATTTTATTTCTACAAAACGTGAACATATTTAAGATTGTTAGATGTTCATGTTCAACACAATTTACAATTCCGATGTAAATATGGACAGTTATTGAAACAATCACATTGAAATTAATAACACTCACATTGACTAAATTAACACACAACCTTTAACTTTTTTCATTCATTATCGTCACTTGACCACTAATCATCATCGGAACTGCCGGTGTTCACAATAAATTGTAGATTGTCAATAAATTCATTTCTCGTAGGAATGTTATTTGCTTCTAACCAAGAACGTATCACTTCCTTACGATTATTCATTGTTGGCGGCTTATTTATTTGAACACTGACGAGGTGCGTGAGTTTGCTGGTAAATTTGGTATAAGCTGCTAATCTAACCACTGCATAAAGTTGGTATGATTCATATCATCGTAATAATCCCCCGATTTACTGTGCGACATCCTCTACAAAACCAGAACGACTACCAGCATACTACGATGTACCTCTGACCAGCCCTATTATAAACTTCCGATACTTTATCTGATTGTTAGCATTTACTCACTCCGTACGATGGGTGAATATAGGTTTCGTCCAAGTATATAGCGGGTTTCTTGTCACACTAGGTTGTTCATTTTCTTTTAATCTTTGCCATACTACAATGTCACTTCTTTCCATTACCAACCTACGTTTGTCCCGACACTTCTTGTATCGAAAACCAAGTTTCAACAATTGCTTGCGAAGAGTTTTCCTTCCACCCGTATATTTGATCTTTTCTTGCACTTTTCTAGGAGCATTTTAAAATAACCTTTATTTATGTACAGATCGTCGCCTACTAAACATTGAAATGGCGGTAAAGAGTATAATGTAATGGGCATACTTAAATTATTGCTCCAAAGCGTCTGTTTATTTACAAATGAAGCTGAAGCACCTTGCACCTGAAAAGTTATTGCTGTTTTGTTTTGTGATTATGTAACTGAATGCACCCAAAAATCGTGCTGATTCCCTTTCACGCACTGCGCATGAGTCCCAACGGCTCCGCCATTAAAAGTCGGCCACTGTAGTTGGAGTTATTTTTCCACGCGCAGGTCGTATGTACTGCCTCTCTATTTACTTATATACAACTCTGTGGTTTTTCGATAATTTCTTCGTTCCAGTGCCAACTCCCTTAAAAGTAGCTATTACGAAAGTTATAGAGCACAAAATTTCCTATAACTTTTGTATTTATTTTTTTAATCGAAAGAATACTTTACGAACCACAGCAGAGTAAGAACATTTTTTTAATTTGTAAAATCGCAATACTATTTTCTCCAAATATGGGCGGTAGATGTTCATTTGTTTCGTGTCCAGAGAGAGCGAAAAGTAAGCATCATAGCGAAAAATGTTAAATACAAAAAAGATGTACCTTGATAAGCTGTACAAAAAGGTTTCATTCATTTTTTGAGTCGGATTCACAATAAAGATAATAGATTTTTTCTATTTCGGTGTCACAATGATGATTTTGTACAACTGTTTTCGGCCGAAAACAGTTGTACAAAGACAGTGATTATAGTCGTTTTTTTTGGTAACTAATCTCTTAAGTTGGCAGTTACTAGTTAGTACAAGCATATATATAAGAGAAGTATATGGATAAACGAGTGGACACGCCTATCGCCAACGTTAGTGGATGGAAATATACTTCTGTCATTAGTTGGGAACTAGGCGCTAATGCGCTTGCCTGTTATTATGTAGTGTTATTTACCAAGCATTTACTCCAGTTTGACATAACGGATTGAGGTTAAATTGTTTGTTTTGTTTATGAGTTATTGAACTTTTGTTTAATTTTAATAGTAAAGAAGCCTTTCGTAGTTATATAAATCAGTATACGTAAGTGATACACAATAATTGTAAAGGAATACCTAATGTTTGGCAATTTTAGTGTGTTCATTACTTAGAAATAAAGAAATGCAGGTACTTGTGGGAAAGTGGATTCTTCGGTTTCATGGCACAAGTAAGTTACAATGCAATTATCTGCAATCAATTCATTTATGCCATACTTGTTATTAGATTCCCAAGTGAAAAAAGCAACAAGAATCGGTGACTGCAAGCATGTGAACTATCGGAATTCGATGATGTAAAAACAAGGTTGTGTTCTCGTCATTTTAACCGCTATGACTGCATTGATTTGGATGCACGCAAGCATGATGGGGGCACGAAGTTATATGGGGGTCACTTAACACCTAAAAGATTTCCAACTCGACAATGTTAATTTTATTTTAAAATCAGTAAATGTCTTTAATTTAATTGTGTTTCTTTGAACATTGGTAATGTATCACTTTATATTATAGCTGATGCGAACTTATCCAATTTCAAGTTATATTCAAGATATAATCCCTATAGGTATATTATTTCAATTGCAATTTAAGTTTCTAAATCGTTACAAAGTTTGCCTTCGAAGTTGAAGGGTGTAACCGTAAACAAACTCCGCTGAGGAAGCTCGAAAGTTCTCCGTGAAAATGCTACAGTTTCCAAGCAGAACGATACGGAGTACCTTGAACCAGAACGCACTGGGTGGCACGTGAGCGCTGATTTGAGTTGGCAGTGAAATCATTCAAGTAGGCCATTGACTGCAGGTCCCGAATCCTTGTGTGCCGAAAACAATGTTGAGGGCACAAAAAAGGGAAGATTCAAATTGTCGTCGCTGATCGGTGAAGATGCTAGTAGGGGAATCGAAGCGATATAGTCAACAGGTAAGAAACGCTTCGGCGGCGATTGGTCTTGGGAGGGTGGGCCTCGGCCAGCTAGTATACTTATCTAAAGACATCACAGGATCAGACAATAGTGATAGGAGTCGGCAGGTGGAATGGGGCCAATGTGGTGAATATGAACCTGCATGAAGCGAATAGAAGTCTGGGTGAAGTTTCCGAATGGTGCGTGGTTGTGTTTACATATGGTAATTGCACACAATAATGGTTTAATAAAATTTTAACCCTATTTTCGAGTTATAGGTTATGAAATTTGAAATTGGCGCTACTTAAAAGTAGGCGGAGAGAAGTAAATATTTACTTGGGGAGTTTGCGCATAAATACAGAGTTCAGGACTAAGGAATAGGGCAGCTCTCTTTTATGGCGAACAATTTGCACATTGCAATCATAGGCGGTTATCCATATACTTCTCTTATATATATGGTCTTACTACGCTGCCAACCTAAAACTTAACGGCATAAAAAGTGTTCCCAACATAAAACATGTTAGTTCTAATGTTCCCTATAGTTTCTGATAATGATTTTTTTAATTAAATTAAAGCACCGAAATAGAAAAAATAGTATGAAAAACGCGTGTTACAATGCTTTATTGTAATACTCCTATCTTGCGGACACTCGTGGCTACGCTTCGCGTCGCCAGTCGTGCCACAAGATAGTCGTATTACAATAGGTCGCATTGTAACACTTGTCTTTCAATATACTATTTCTCTTCTTCCTAATGCATCTTGATAACATGGCTACATTTTTCTAACAAACTGTACTATCGCCAGTACCTATTAACTATGGCATTCATCAGTGGCAGTGGTAGTACTGTCAACTAATCTCGCAACTAATGGTAAAGGAAAACATAAAGCTTACCGAGCTGTAGAAGGACTGTCGTTGGTTTGAAACCCACACTCTTCTTGAGATTTACTATTACTTGGTTGCACGTGAGCATAAGGATGTTCCGTCTTTAACTTTGCGTATGGATGATCCTTTACACGTGCATATGGAGATAACGAATCATCTGCTTGGCTTATGGAACTATGCTGTGAGATACTAGGACGAGAATCTATACCATTAGGAAGCGTGTGTCGTTTGGCTATAACAAAACATTTTACGTTCTCTTATAATTTGTAGCCTCGACGAATACCTGTGTTGTACGGTTCAACAGTAGCATAAAGATCTGAGGAATTATCTCCATTACGTTCATAATTCACTGTCGTACTAACACTTTGTAAGCCATCCAAAGGAATATCAGGTAAGCTTCTCCTACTGTTATTTAACGTTACAGACCTAGTAAGAAATATGTAAGTCAAATGGGATTTGCTCATAAAACTACAAACTTCAAACAGCATGCAAAGCGTTAAAAAAAAACAAAAAACCTTTTGGCGTCAATAACATCAAAGATGGCATTCGCGCTATCGTCGGGAACAACATTAGAAACAGTAGCAGGCAAGTGATTTACATTCTCATCGGGATTCATTTGAGTGACCAAGCCATCAAGCCCCAACAAGTCATTTCTAAACAACAGCAACATAAACACGTGCAAGAACGATCGCATTGTTAATGAAAACTCTTACTTCTCTGTTTTTTTCCTCCAACAAAGGCACAACATCGTAGCAGTAATAGACATAAATATACTGCATACTGAACACACAATAATCAACATTCTTCGAACCGACAATAGGTTCACATTTTAAGTAGCTAACATTGAATAATAAAAGAGAAATGTAAAGGAATTCTTCATGTGGATATTAGAAGGTTGCCCACAAAACATTTAGGCTATATTTACACAGTGAAGTTTCATTGATCATACGCAATTATGGGAAATAATTATCGTGTCTTGTAATATAAAAACTTCTAATAAATAAAACCAGACATTGCTATTTAAAATAAGGATGAATAACATGTTTAGCTCACTGTAAGTAAACGACCTTGTTTAATAACCTATTTTATTTGTACAAATGAATCACATCCACAATCACAAGTATGCTGTGTCTAAATTACATATTGCGTGTAAACTTTTATATACGGTGTGTCCCACATATGTTGATATTGACGGTAGAGTACATGATGTCGAACGACATCAGTCGGTCAGCTTTGATTTTACCAGAGACTTGCTATAACTAGACTGCGCCTAACGTATCTAAGGTGTTGTCGACACAGTATGCAACACACAATGCACCGCGGGGCAAAAATCGCTGAGATGATATGCAATTTAATGAAATAAGCTGTTATTTTAAATGTTCCGTCATTAATCATTCTCGTGATTAGCTCGAATTAGTGAACAGATAAATTTCTGTTGAGAATAAACCAATTAACTTAGGTTAACTTGTGCCTATCAACATGTACTCTGTCGATAAATTTTTAAATAATATGCTGATTTTCAACGGATAAAAGTTTAAAGGGCCAATGGATCAGAGCCATTCGAAGAGAAAAATTTACTCCCACCATAGTGCATTTGCGGGGAATGAAGCCGATTTTAGAAAGGTACCGACGAAGGTGTTAAACAATAATGCAATACCCAGCGTTTTCGACTTTCCCATTCACTTAAAATAACGTAGAACGACATCCTTTACCAGCAAGACAACGGCAATACCTATTTGCCTATTAGGTATAGACGTAACTAAGTATATTTCAGGTTTTGTTACAAGAAAAATAGCTAAGTCTGTTAAATGTTCCATATGTGCAGATGCGATATTCGCATCACAGAGTCATTCAAAGCTTTTAACTAGAAAAAATCGTGGAGGATTGTTGCACGTATCACGCGATGCATTAAAAATTTACCAAATTGCTGAAAATGTGTTCAGGTTTTTCATTCAATCCACACCACACCGCGTTGTAAACAAAATGGTTATCTGCAGTCTAAGAAAAATAAATAACAATTACAGCCCATTTGGGTTTTTGGATAGGCATATATTGAATCAAAATCCGCTAAATAAGCATATCTTACTACTTACATCTTCAGTTTTAAGAGTATATTTTCCCATACGTGTTCACCACCAAAATGCACATATAAATCAAATTAGGACTAGAGTAAGGCAGTTATATACCAATTTAGTTCAAATAAAATACCAATAAATTCGATTAATACAGTTAACAGCTATATGTTATCTTTTTTTGCTACAAAAATTTAGAATAAACATGGCTAAAGCCAAGCTACAGAACGTACGTCTGCCCCGCGAAGAACAGTTGGTTGCCTATCCTATCTTGACAACAGGCGTTTATAGTAAAATCTACGTTACGCGCGGTCTAGTTATAACAAGTCTCTGGATTTTACATGTGCATTGCGAGCCCGAGTGGATTAGTGGAATGTTATTATTTTGCGTTCGACATTCATTGATTGACAATAGTGTTAGCGTAGGTGATTTTAGAAAGTACATACTTTTTTATTATCCCTATGCAAATGCATATGCAAAAAAATAACCATATTTAGCCTATGTAAAAAAAATACTGTTTTATGTAAGCAGTCGACACGTCGCAACATTATTTTCGTTACCTTCTATAAAACAATTTGTTCTTTAATCAAAATCTCAAATAAGCAACGAAATTCAAAGGAACGGTGTGAAATGCCTATTATACCGGGTGAATACTTTCAAACCGAACATAGGGAATTAACATGGGAAAACAGTTTTTCGCAGATTGTTGCTCTCCAAATTAACTTAGAGAGTTCATAATGCCACCATTGGAAAGAAGATTTTTTTCCGCGTTTTATGATATGCAAATTATTGAGGTCTACTTAGTTGCACGTTTAATTATTATTATTTCTATTTCGGTGTTACAATGATGATTTTGTACAACTGTTTTCGGCCGAAAACAGTTGTACAAAGACAGTGATTATAGTCGTTTTTTTTTTTGGTAACTCATCTCTTAAGTTGGCAGTTACTAGTTAGTACAAGCATATATATATAAGAGAAGTATATGGATAACCGCCTATGATTGCAATGTGCAAATCGTTCGCCATAAAAGAGAGCTGCCCTAATGCTATTCCTTAGTCCTCAACTCTGCATTTATGCGCAAACTCCCCAAGTAAATATTTACTTCTCTCCGCCTACTTTTAAGTAGCGCCAATTTCAAATTTCATAACCTATAACTCGAAAATAGGGTTAAAATTTTATTAAACCATTATTGTGTGCAATTACCATATGTAAACACAACCACGCACCATTCGGAAACTTCACCCAGACTTCTATTCGCTTCATGCAGGTTCATATTCACCACATTGGCCCCATTCCACCTGCCGACTCCTATCACTATTGTCTGATCCTGTGATGTCTTTAGATAAGTATACTAGCTGGCCGAGGCCCACCCTTCCAAGACCAATCGCCGCCGAAGCGTTTCTTACCTGTTGACTATATCGCTTCGATTCCCCTACTAGCATCTTCACCGATCAGCGACGACAATTTGAATCTTCCCTTTTTTGTGCCCTCGACATTGTTTTCGGCACACAAGGATTCGGGACCTGCAGTCAATGGCCTACTTGAATGATTTCACTGCCAACTCAAATCAGCGCTCACATGCCACCCAGTGCGTTCTGGTTCAAGGTACTCCGTATCGTTCTGCTTGGAAACTGTAGCATTTTCACGGAGAACTTTCGAGCTTCCTCAGCGGAGTTTGTTTACGGTTACACCCTTCAACTTCGAAGGCAAACTTTGTAACGATTTAGAAACTTAAATTGCAATTGAAATAATATACCTATAGGGATTATATCTTGAATATAACATGAAATTGGATAAGTTCGCATCAGCTATAATATAAAGTGATACATTACCAATGTTCAAAGAAACACAATTAAATTAAAGACATTTACTGATTTTAAAATAAAATTAACATTGTCGAGTTGGAAATCTTTTAGGTGTTAAGTGACCCCCATATAACTTCGTGCCCCCATCATGCTTGCGTGCATCCAAATCAATGCAGTCATAGCGGTTAAAATGACGAGAACACAACCTTGTTTTTACATCATCGAATTCCGATAGTTCACATGCTTGCAGTCACCAATTCTTGTTGCTTTTTTCACTTGGGAATCTAATAACAAGTATGGCATAAATGAATTGATTACAGATAATTGCATTGTAACTTACTTGTGCCATGAAACCGAAGAATCCACTTTCCCACAAGTACCTGCATTTCTTTATTTCTAAGTACGCCGTGACTCGAGGCACGATAACGTGCCGGAATTTTTCGACAAACGGGGCACGTTAAATGCGCGCGTTCATACAAATAAAAACATTGAACAGCTGATCATTTTAAAATAAAACCTAACCTAACCATCAAGCTCCCTTTCGTTATCTGAATAAGTTCTCATTTCATATGGTGGGTTAACAACTAATTATCATTATTTAGTAATTACTAATTAGTCACTAACAATCAGAATTTTGCTTTGTTCTTAATATTTCTTTTCATAGTTAAATAAATGCACATGTGCATTATGATCGATTGCCTGATGCTGCTGTATCAATGAAAATGATGAATCCGAAAAGGAAATAAGGAAATGTGTACTTAGGTACTTCCGAAAATAGTTACTATTTCTATTTATACTGATTTTACGTTTTTTAACAATCAGTTCTTAGGGATAGTACGGATATCAAATGATAGGATTCATTGTCTTCTACAATATTGTATTCAAATTTTTTACATCAGATCTGCTAAAACAATATAAGGTAAATGTTTAGATTATAGGGCCATGAACGGATTGCTATAAAACATTTATCCACACTACTAGGTTGTATAAATAATAAAGTTATGAATACATTTATTGGCACATTATAACTTTTAGCACTGGATTCTAGTACTTGGAAAGTGTAGATATGTTTTAGTATTAAATTTCAATACTTCACTTTAGAACATTTTCCGTTAATGAACAGAACTACTACAACTACACTACTAGTACAAATATCTGAATTTTAGTAACTTTTATTAGTTATTTGCTCCAAGAAACGCTCGCATTTTGATAATCAACAATTAGCTACATAACTATGTACGTATTTAAACTTCGACAAATCTCAAGCAGAGAAATCAGCTGATTGCAAACGTCAAACGTGCCTCGTTCGTCAAAAAATTCCGGCCCCGAGTCACGGCGTTCTAAGTAATGAACACACTAAAATTGCCAAACATTAGGTATTTCTTTACAATTATTGTGTATCACTTACATATACTGATTTATATAACTACGAAAGGCTTCTTTACTATTAAAATTAAACAAAAGTTCAATAACTCATAAACAAAACAAACAATTTAACCTCAATCCGTTATGTCAAACTGGAGTAAATGCTTGGTAAATAATAAAATAACACTACATAATAACAGGCAAGCGCATTAGCGCCTAGTTCCCAACTAATGACAGAAGTATATTTCCATCCACTAACGTTGGCGATAGGCGTGTCCACTCGTTTATCCATATACTTCTCTTATATATATGCTTATACAGTGAATTTTTTTTAAATGCGAGCATAGGAGTTTGCATGCAATGTAATTTCCCTATGTTCGATTTAAAAAAAAACACATCAATCTATGAGGTGTGCGCGGTTCACATTCCCAAAACGCGCAACTTGTGTGACTATGAACAGCAACTCAACTCATAATCTTTATGATGAAGAGCACTCGGTCAGATTTTTTTAAATAAGCCATGTGAGGCCATAGCAACTTTAGGATACATTTTTTTTAAACTTACGATAACTTGACTTCACATGGCACGCGCTGACATCACAATTCATTGTGAACCAACCTTCAATTATTTGTAGGTCATGTGCACCTGATATTCTACTAATTTGATCTATTCAATACATAAATTAAGAAAATAAATAACGAAAACAATTACAATAAATGTTCGAAGTGTCCTCCTTGACATTCTAAGCAATAACCTAACCGATTTCGTAATTAAATTGGACGGCGGTATTTTAAAAATGTGACAGCTGTCAATTTTATCTACTACTCATTTGAACTACTCAATAGATTGATGTGTTTTTTTTTAAATCGAACATAGGGAAATTACATTGCATACAAACTCCTATGTTCGCATTAAAAAAAATTCACTGTATATATATGGTCTTACTACGCTGCCAACCTAAAACTTAACGACATAAAAAGTGTTCCCAACATAAAACATGTTAGTTCTAATGTTCCCTATAGTTTCTGATAATGATTTTTTTAATTAAATTAAAGCACCGAAATAGAAAAAAATAGTATGAAAAACGCGTGTTACAATGCTTTATTGTAATACTCCTATCTTGCGGACACTCGTGGCTACGCTTCGCGTCGCCAGTCGTGCCACAAGATAGTCGTATTACAATAGGTCGCATTGTAACACTTGTCTTTCAATATACTATTGTGAAATTAGGTAGTCAAAATGTGTACTTGGTTTAAAAAATCACGGTAGTCATGAAAACAAGGTACGATAACTGTCAATACCTAATTTTAATTTGTACTTACTACAAAACTTACGATGTATTCCAATGAGGAAAAATGTTTATTTTAAAAAACGTTTACGGCGGTAATAGTTATCGCAGAGTGCGAGATTTATTTTCCGTGTAATTTAATCAAACCTCTATTCCGTCAATATCGACAATTCGACAGATAGTTTTTCAATTTGGCAATTTCGAATGCTTCAATCCACGGGTCATGGCTACATGATTTTCTGTCTTCATTTTATTTTGCGAATTTTTGATAAAATAATGAGAAAATACAAATAAAACTAAACTAATTCGCATTTAGTTAGATGAGAAAAAAATCTTCTTCTGCTTTCCAGTGGTGCCATTATGAACCCTCTAAGTTAATTTAGGGAGCAACAAGCTGCCAAAAACTGTTTTCCCATGTTAATTCCCTATGTTCGGTTTGAAAGTATTCACCCGGTATATAGCACAAGTTAGACCACAGCATAAATTTAAAAAAAATGCTCCGGCCAGACTCGTCATATGTGCAATTAGAGGGAATAAAATAAGATAAGAACTAAAATTTTATGTTCTTTGGTTAAGTCAAGACTAAGATCTTGGAAAAAAATCTTCAATTATTTACAAATTTCGTCAGAAAAACGACAACCTCAAAGTCTGCGAGTTTAAATGTACATTACGAATATGTTTATTCATTATATGTAATAGCCTGTGATGAAAACAATTTATTGCATTTTTCACAATTACCTTACCTACCATTTTACTTAACAACAATTTGCAACTTTGACGTTTCTTTGTTTCGCATGCGCATTGTAAGGAGGATTGAACTTTATTTAGCTTAAACGTCTTTTTTTCGGCCTAATGTCCCTAATGAAGAAGTCTCCTCGTGCAAAACAGAATACCATTGATTATGTATAATCATTGATAATAATAATAATAATAATAATAATAATAATAAATAATAAAACACAAAACTCCTTCTTCACATAAACACACCACGTTATCACAACCCACTCGCTCGGAAACACCGACAATAATAATAATATATATTTTTTTTTTTGATGGACAGTATCCATTATAAAAATTACAAATAACTTAACCATACCTACAATTTATGTTCCAGTTCTCTCCGGAACTTCGAAAATGGTACACTAAACATGTTAATATTAAGTCCGTTTGCATCTGAGCAAATCTTATCAACTGGTGTAAACATGGCGTAATTAGTTCTATGCATATTATTAATGTAAAATAATTTCTTGCTGGTAGTTCTTTTGATGGGTGCCACAAAATTTAGACTGTGTAGTAGTTCACTAGCATGAACTTCTCCATTTAATAATTTAAACAAGAAGATCTGCTCAAATGCTTGTCGACGAAGATTTAATGGTGGAATGAGTAATCATCTTATTAATTGGTATACCTAATCAACAGTAATATCCCAAGTGCATAAAAACAGCCGATTAAATTTTGACGTTTTCGTCAAATGGTTTGCTTAGAAGTACGTCGAGTCAACTTGCCACGTAACAAAATTTTTGGGTGGAAAATTAACGAGAAGTACATCTTCTTAGCAAAACAATTTGGCGAAAAACGACAAAATTTAATCAGGCTATTTTTAAGCACTCGGGATATTCGGCATGTTTATTTCCTGAATTAATATTCACAGCGGTTTCAAGATTTGCGAAAGAATTTGCACCAAAACTGGACATCGCATCAAGAGATAAGTCATAAGTGCATTCGAAATTAGCACATTAGCTAGACTTGTTCGGAGTGACAGTTTCGTATCATAAGCAACAGCTATATACTTAGTATGGATTTGATATTTGAAACTAATACAATCAGAACCGTGAAAATTTTGACACATTTTTAACCGCGGTAAAATTTTGACGGTTGCAAATTAAATTAATGTGCATGACAGTTCTCATTGTCATTTGACTACTAGTTAATAATGACCACATTATTAACTCACTTTGAACGACTGCCGAGAAAACTTACTTTATAAGTGGAAAAAAGGTTAATAATCATCAGACGCATCAGTAGTAAAAAAACATTATTGCAATAATACTAGACTTCTCTATCTTGGTATATACAGTGTGTAATTGATTTATGAAAAAAATTTATTCTTCATGATATTTTTTGTTTGGTTTGAAAGTACCAATAAATAACGTTTCGATTGTTTGTGGTTTGATAGCAATACGCTATCTTGATTATAATGTAGAATGATAACTTTCAATTAAAAAAATTAATTTTATTATTTTTCCAGATTTCTATAAATGAATTTTAGATTATCGAAAAGTTATTGTCACTTTCAAAGCAAGCAAAAAATATCATGAAGAATAAATTTTTTTCATAAATCAATATTTAAAAAAAATTCCCTCTTGTATACCCCATCGCTTTACACACTGTATAACGGGCGATCAAAAATGAGTTGCTGTCGAGTTGCCTTTGGAAGTTCAAGTTGAATACGATTTCCCATGTAAACAAAAATTCCAAAGGTGACTCGACAGGAACTGATTGTTGATCGCATAGTATAATGTATTATCTGCCATGCAAAAATAAAATAATCAATTCTACAAAACAAGCAAACAACCTGAATGCTAACAGCGCTTTATTGAGACATTTTAGCATAGTGTAAGACTATTCTTACACTATGACGCTAATATAGTGAAAAAACATACGAATAACAGTTTTAAGAAAAACACTACTCTATGAGCCACAGTATACTAAAATGGCTACCAAAAATGGCCGAATCGCGCCACTTGCTATGTTAAACTGACTAACCCTGTATGTATTCGATGATTGCCATTCACCTTAACCTTTGTCACTTTTTTCTAGACTGGTACGTATTTGCAATCATGAAGAAATTTAAACGTGGCTTTACATAGCAGCGGTGATTTTGTAATGCCGTTATTATGAATGGCATGAATGAACATACGAACTAATTCTGCAGTCAAGAATGCTCGATCGAATTTACATATTATTAATCAGTGTCGTCGCGATATCCCACTTATCACAAGCCCAGTTGCTGGAAGGCTTGTATTGTGGAAAAGAAAATTGCTATGACGTACTTGGTGTTACAAGGGCATCCAGCAAGAATGAAATTGCGAGAAGTTATCGACAGCTAGCAAAGAAATACCATCCAGATTTGCATCGAGATCTCAAAGCCAAAGCAGAAGCGGAAGAAAAATTTAAAATAGTCGCTAATGCTTACGAAATTTTAAAAGATGAAGAGTCAAGAACTGATTATGATTATATGTTAGACAATCCGGATGAATATTATGCTCACTATTATCGATACTATAGAAGACGTGTAGCGCCAAAGGTAGATGTACGAATTGTAATTTTTGTTACAATATCCATCATTTCGATTATACAGTACTACAGCGCGTGGCAACGATATGAAACTGCCATTAAATATTTCATGACAGTACCCAAGTATAGAAATCGAGCATTGGAAATTGCCCAACAACAAGGATTTCTAGGAACAGATGCAGGTCATAAAAAACGTGGAAAAAGTAAGTCGGAACAGAAAGAAGAACAAGAATCGATCATACGAATGGTTATTGAAGAGAAAATGGATATAAAAGGGGCATATGCAAAACCTACGTTTTTCGATATCCTTTGGATACAATTAATTTTATCACCGTACACGTTGGTAAAGTACATTTATTGGTACTTGTCGTGGGTGTGGAACCATTCCATTCTTAGGAAACCTTACACCGAAGACGAGAAGCTTTACATTATACGAAAGTACATGAACATGGGGCAGCATCAGTTTGATTCGATCGAAGATCACGAAAAAGCCGAGTATCTAAAAAATCAACTGTGGATTAAGCAAAATTATAAAGTGTGGCAAAAAGAGAAAGAAGAAACTATGAAAAAACAGTTGGCAGAAAATTCCAGGTACAAGCAGTACCGCAGGTACATAAAAAATCATGGCGTAGGTAGAATGACCTTCGACGATTCTTAATAAGGCTGTTATATGTTGATGTATTGTGTGATAAATGTAAAATAATAAAAGCTAAAAGTTATTCGAATCCAATTTTGTCAATTGCTTTTGTTTGGTAAGTTTTGTTTTCGGGTATAACAGTTTTTTTAGGATTGGGGGAATTAATAGAAATGACCTATTTTTATGAGAAACCTTTGATTGCAGTATATGTAATGAAAGTGTGAAACTCATAAAAAGCAAATGTGGATATGTAAGAAAAAAACAAATTGGTAGAGAGAAACTGATATAATTTACATTATATCATCTTGCTTCTTAACAACCCTGACCATCAACTTCCAATTGGAGTCTTAAATTACCTTCATCACAGAGTAAGGAAAAATGAGTAAGTACTCTTCATTCTGTGCCTTCATAACTTAATTCCCTTTTGCGTTTGGGACCCCCTTCATTTTCTTCTGCAACTGCTAGTGAGGAGATGTCGTACGTGTGCCGGGTATATGTAAATAACGGCAAATGTCAAAGAATCAGGGTAGCAAGATGAGGCTTTTATTCAAGGCGGTTGTGAGCCCTCTTTTTATAAGACTGAGCAAGTATAAGGTTTAAACTCTGTGAGTTTATGAATCTTACGGCCGGTTGCAAGACGATTGGAATACTTACATGAATTAGGAAATCCTGAGTTACATTTCAGCATCCACGATCGGGTTTCTTGTAATTATAATGGAATTTTAAATTTTGAAATTCTGTAATTATAATGGGCTACTACAGACGGACGATTTTTTATGCGTTCGTGCACGTGCACTACTACAAAATAATTCAATAAATTCCCGCAGGAATTCGCGGGACAGTATTCTACAATCAGACATTTATAAAACAAAGGACATAAGCAAACTCAAAAGTCAAATTAATATACCTACTGGTGTTAGTGAATTCGATGTAGATATTTTGAGGTGTGATTGAGGGTGCAAATACAAGCATTTTGACATGAGGAACCCATGTCCGGAAACGCAATCATTCAGCGCTACGCGTCCTTAAAGTTGCGCGTGCGGGGTAGCCCACTCAATGTGCACCCGTCGGTCACCCGAGCAATGATCAGCAATGACATTTTTTCAAAGAAACGAAACAATGAAGCATTTAATAGCAGGCCTTACAAGAATTTCTCAAAATTTCATCCCCCACATGAATGCACGCTGTGCAGCGGAGTAGCGACGAGCGATGGACTGTCTCATTTTTTCGAAAACTCCTGGAATGGTCCGGAGGGTGCGGGCAGATTGTTTCGTTTACCTTGTTTTTCATGTGACCCCATACGATTTACGAAAAAATCCAGGGGCGCTAAATCTCAGGCGCAAAAGCGCGCAACTTTAAGGACGCGTAGCGCTGAATGATTGCGTTTCCGGACATGGGTTCCTCATGTCAAAATGCTTGTATTTGCATCCTCAATCAAACCTACATCGAATTTACTAACACACCCTGTATAATATAATACCTAACGAATAAAAACGCGGCAGCTTACCTGATCACTTACGCCGCTACTGATGTGCGACGCACAATTTGCATCCACACGTTGAAACTTTTTGTATGCGCGCACAAAATTTCTGTCGTCAACAGAAATCTGAGCGTCATACAAAATGATTGCACATTCAAAAACGTGACATTTTTGTGCATCCACCATTCACGCTTCTGACAATTCTGAATTTAGTTTAGAGACGCCAAAAATAGCAAGCTTACGCTAAGGTTCTACTGTCGCGATCGTTTCCATAGAAACAGAATTGTCATAGTTCTCAACGTCATTTTATATCGTGCATTTGAAATAAGAATGACAGATGTCATTAGAATTTACACTCGTCTGTTTCACTTTATCTACCCTTAGGCTGGATCCACATGATAAGAGGAGCGGAGCTAGCTCGAAATCCACTGAACGAGAATGATCAATAAATGTTAACCAATCCATTTTGCCCTATCGCGAGGATGCTAAAATCGACCATCTGCCGCCTCAGGTCATATGACTTAAGACGCTGCGAGTACAACTTGCGGTACAAATTCTAAAAGGTAATTTTTCGAGAAAATAAGTTATACACCTAACGAAAACGTCGATAATACCTAGCTCTTAAAAAACTATTTTAAAAAATCGCGAACATTTGATAACTCCGTAAAAAACAATTCGTCGGTTTTTCACGAACTTTCTACAGATATATAGGTTACAGTTGGGTTATTATAGGTATCATGGTTGGGTTGGATGAACGAAGCTGATTTTTTTTACAGACTGATGATTTTGTAATTAGTATGTTTGGTCCCTATTAGTTTAATCACCATTAAAAACTGACTTCCTACATGTTTTTTGTGATACCTACCTCCTGCAACAAGGTGACATTTTTGTAAGCATGGTATAACATGTTAAATACCTTAGAGAATTGCTTTTTGATGTGAAACTTTCCTTTATGAAAAGATCAATTATCCTGGTACTGTTATACTAAGAAACTGTGAGTCTAGACGGTAACTGATGTACTGAAAAGTACTCATATGACTTAAGAGGAAAGAGTGATTGTCTACTGACTGTGGCACTTATATTCTTCCAATTTTCAAATAAATAACTTGTACATATGACATTAAGATTTAATATATAAATGCAAATCTTTAACCAGTAACACTAAGCAAGTGGTCTTCACATTTTTGATATTCTTCCCGTATTGCCAATCGACCCAAGTCTGCATTCAGGGTCAAGACATGTGCGGGACGAGAAAAAGCAGTCTTGTGAAATAGCCAGTTCTCATGCAAGTCATGTAAGTCTTTTAAATATTGTAACGATACAGATTGTTCTTCTTTTCGATTTCTTGTTAAAACACGTTCATAAACTACTTCCGGCGATGTACGCAAATACACAATCAGATCAACAGATACGTCAAATTTGGTTATTACATATTTGAACCACTCATTAAGCACAGAAACAGATGGTGCTTCGAGCGTTCCACGTCTAAATAATTGTTCAATAAAGCAGTATCGTGCACTAAAAATGGAACGTTCTAGCAATTTAATTGGTTTACTGGTTACAAAAGTATGACGCTGCAGCATTGTAAGTTGAATGTACGATTGGAACGTGAACGACCATTTAACTGGATTTTCGTAGTGATTTGCAAGCAAATTGTGACCTGCACAATTGCGCCACATTTCTACTGGTTCCGATAATACACAAACATCCTTATGGTTTTCAAAGTGTTGCAGGAATGTACTCTTTCCACTGCCTATATTACCTTCAATAATTACTGTAAATGGTTTGCTAAATTGTGATGAGATTCGTGAAATGTGTCGAATCATTTTCTTGGTAAATTTTTAATATATCTTCTAAATCTTACGAACATAACCTTAAAATTTTTACCAAAGAATACAGTCTACTAGAGAATGCGAAATAACTCAACAATACAGGGGTGTATCAAGCAATTTCTGATTTGAGGCGGCTTCTTTCTCTCCTAATAATGTGACATTCACACTTATGCAATTTTATGCAGAATTTAGTTGCTGCAGTTTTTGATGCGCAACATGAGTTATTTTCATGATATTATATACAAATAAAATTTCTAATTTGTGCGACTTTGATTTTTGGACAAGTACTTGAATTGGAATTGGACAATAAAGAAAATAGAAAATGTACCTAAAATCTTAGATACAAAAAAAAGTATCTGAATTGTAGATACAGATACAAATTTTGAAAAAGATCTTAATATCTAGATACTTTTCAAATATCTAAAGTATCTAGATACTATATCTAGATACATCACAACACTGCTGATAAAGCATGGTTGGTATTAACTAACCAAAACAAAATTGAGTGTGTATGGTTCACACAACTAGACATTTTTATCGAATTAAAAGTGATTTACAGCCGAATAATGCTACTATCGTAAAACACGCGTGGATAACAAAAATAATATAACCTCTTCAATCTATCATAAACATAAACAGAGAACAATTTGAGAGCTAACCTAACAATACTATGGGCATGTGGCAATACAAATATCACAGTGTTATCTCTCCTCTAACAAACACTCACAAAATACCTAACTTCTTTATTAAATGAAACCATTCAGAACATTACATCTTTTTCGAACAATGTCATAGACGCCATCTTATTATTCATTCGACTGAACTTAACTTCATAACATTTACAAAAACAGTGTTGTCACTTTTACATGAAATTAAACAAAGCGTTGTTGCCAACAAACATCTCTTACAACTCGGCCATTCCTGAAATATGATCGCCTCGATCATAACTAAAAATAATACAAGAAAAACTTAGGACTAAAACACTACTTATTTAAGATGTGGAAGGATTGTTTTCGGACCAAGGTTTCATTCGAGATGATTCTACGATGCCCTCAAATGGGATTTGAGTTAACTGGAATCCGTCGACATCTTTTACAACATACCTATCATTATCTAACAGCTTTGATACAATATAGGGTCCCTTAAATTTTGGCAGAAGTTTCTTATTATACCCAGGCGTGGTTACCGTGTTAGTAATCACTACGTAATCACCTACCGAATATTTCCATGGTGACTTATGAGTCCCATTAAAATAATTTTGACTATACTCCTGAAATTTAACAATTCTTTCTGCGGCCTTTAGCCGATCATCATCTAAATTCCGTTCACCTTCATTTTCTAAAAAATCTCTTACTAAATCAATTGCTGGCCCTCTCTGATTTATACCAAATAACAATTTGCTAGGCGTATTGCCAGTACTCTTATGCACAGTATTATTTAATGCATATTCCGCAACATTCACTACCTCATCCCAACGATCTGAATCGTTACAAAGTTTTGCCAACAGCGGTGCTAATACTCTATTAACCCGTTCTACCTGCCCATTAGCACGCGGCATACCTGCAGCTATCTTAATATGTTGAACATGAACACTTTCAATGTACTCATTAAAAGCTAACGACGTGAATGCGGCACCCCTATCAGAAATTAACCTCTTCGGAAAACTATAACTATGAAAATAATTTTCCAAATGCTTCAGAGTCTCATTTGCATCTACTGATTTGCACGGATACAGTTTAGTAAATTTAGTGAAACCATCAATTACAACTAAAATATGTTTTTTGCCTTTACTAGTTTTCTCAAGTGGGCCAATGTGGTCCACATGCACAGTATCAAATGGAACATTACCTTTAGGTATTGGGTGAAGTTCCCCCTCTTTCTTCCCACTAACAGGATTGTAAACTATACACTTTAAGCAATTACTTATATGCTCCCTAACCTTTTCCCTGAGTTTTGGGAACCAGTAAGTCATTAATATTAAATCAGCTGTTTTTTCTACCCCCTGGTGACCCATTTCATCATGGTACTTAAACAAGATTTGATATTGCATCACTCGTGGTACATAAAACAACAATTTATCACCCAACTTGCGGTACACTAACCCATTCTTTAATTCATAAAATTGACTTTCTTGCTTTTCCAACTTCGCTACAATTTCCCGAATTTCCAAATCGCCATTTTGCTTATAGGCTAAATTTTGCTCTAACGTATTATCCTCAATCACTAAAACAGAATAAACACGACTGAGAGCATCGACATGTTTCATACGAGTCCCTGCTCTATGTTCTAATTGATAATCGAAGTTCTCCAAAAGAAGTACCCATCGCATAATGCGTGGCACAACCTCCTTCTTCGCGAATGTAAGTTTAATACTATTACAATCTGTAACTATTTTAAATTTCGCACCCTTTAAATAAATTTCAAATCTTTTAACGGCATAAACAATCGCTAGGCACTCTAGCTCATAGCTATGATAACGTGACTCACAATTCGTTGTTCTTTTGCTAAAAAAGCTAACAGGATGAAAAAGATTGTCCGGTTGTCTCTGCATTAAAACAGCCCCAAAACCCTGCGTGCAAGCATCACAATGTAATTCTGTTTCCCTACCAGGCGAATATATAGCTAAAACAGGAGCACTAATCAACGATTGCTTTAGCACATCCATTACATCAATTTCCTCCTTCCCAAACTTAAAAACAGCTTCTTTTTTTGTTAAATCATACAATGGTTTAGCAATGATTGAGAAATTGGCAACAAACCGTCTAAAATAACTAGTCAGCCCTATAAAGCTTTGCACCTGCTTCACGTTCTGTGGTATGGGAAAGTTAATTACGGCTTTCACATTTTCGACATTGGGTTGGATGCCTTTTCCATTTATCACATACCCTAGATACTCTAACTCACTTTTCAAAAAACTACACTTTTGTATCCTCAATTCTAACAAATTATCTACTAATACAGTAAATACTTCTTCTAAAATTTCAATATTTTCTTTTACAGTTTCAGTAGCTACCATTAAATCATCCAGGTAAACCAAAACTTTACCTGAATCAATCAAACTACGAAAAACTTCAGCTATAAATCTTGCAAAAATCGAAGGGCTATTGCAAAACCCAAAAGGTAACCTCAGGAATTCATACTGTCCCTGTGATGTCACAAAAGAAGTAAATTTCGAAGCATCTGCATCTAACTTAATATTAAAAAATGCATCTTTAAGATCTAACTTGCTAAAACAACTTTTTCCACTTAAACTATCTAATTGATCCTCGATCAGTGGTAAAGGAAACCTATCTTTAACAGTAATTTTATTTAAATCTCTAAAATCAACACACAACCTCTTAGATCCATTTTTCTTGTTAACTAATACAATCGGTGATGAATATGGTGATGAACTTTGCCTAATTATGTTGCGACTCAACAAATCTGCAATCAGTTTTTGCACCTCTAATTTATCACTATAAGCCAACCTACGTGGCTTGTAATAAAACTTGGGAGTGATTATCTTCCAACCTAATGTCTGCCACAAAATCAACCTTAGGGGTATCTGGCCTAACTGCATTTACGTATTTTTCTTGAAATACTTTTTCTAACTCTATCTTACCTTGACAATCAACTTCACCAATATCCAATTTAAAGTCAGCATTGTTCCCTACATCGATTAGCATTAATTGACTTTCGGGCAAGTTGTTTTCTGTTATAATGACACCATTGGCCCTAAACGTGACAGTAATTTGTTCATGTGAAATAAAATCACGACCTAGCAAGCAATCACATTCCATTATGTCGTCATTCACTACATGAAATTTGATCGGTATATGGATATCATTTACCTTGACGTCATTGCAATAAATGCCTAAAATCTGCAACTTAGAGTTATTTATCCCTGTAAAGGTATTATTCGATACATAAGCTTCTCTAACGTTCATGGGTACATGCTTTGACTTAACTAACGAAATTCCACTACCTGAATCCAAGATAGCCTTCAACACTACACCCTCGTCTCCAAATGGAAAGTCAACTTCTACAGAATATACACTCGGGATTGAGCTTTGTTCCGCTACCAACAACGTTGACGTGCTGTCTGGCTGTTGCACTGTAGTCGAACCACTACCCTTCTGCGGACAATCTCTGCGTAGGTGCCCGGACTGCTTGCAAGAGTAACAGACCGACGCCTTTACCTCCGTGCATGCTGAGGCGTAGTGACCGTCCTTTGAACACCTGAAGCATGTAATTCTCTTCGTTTCTTCTTTTGCCTGTGTGGGTATGCTTCTACTCTCGGCCCTGAGTCCACTGCCGCCTGGTCTTGACACATACCCACTACGTTCGCTTGCAGTAAGTGTATTCAACGTATCCAACAATTCAACCAAAGTTTTGAAGCGACTCAACCTTGCCTGTGCCTGCAACACTGGGTTATCCAATCCGTCAATCATGTAGGCAATTAAATCCTGTTCCGCTAAATCCAACTTGTTACCCATCATTAACTTCTCATGATAATAATTGGAGAAAGTTTCGTTTTTCCTCCACTTCCGGTTATCGAATTTGCGCATGAGCATGATGCGACTTTCCCGCCTGCTAAACATGGCCACCATTTCCTTTTTGAGATCATTGTATTGCAACGCTGCATATTCAGGCTTGGAGTTGTACCATTTGGACGCGCTGCCTTTTAATTTTCCCGCCAAAAGAACTACAGCAACGCGGTCAGTCACCTCGTACGTGGTTTTAACGGTTTCCACTCTCTTAAACCATGTGTCGGCATCATCTTCATCGCCGCCATGGAACTCTGGAATCAACGCAGCTATCTCGGCATTGGATAGTTTTCGATTTACTTCCTCTCTCCTATTTAACGTGGAGACTACGATTGAAATTAAATCTTCTACCGTGATGTTATGTCCTGCGGAAGCCAACCCTAGTGCCTCGCTCGCACTTCCAGCAGCCATTCCGCTCCCGACATCTGCTTCACGATCGTCACCAATCATATCTTCAGTATCTTCTTTATCCCACTTCTGATAACTGTTATCTCTCCTCTAACAAACACTCACAAAATACCTAACTTCTTTATTAAATGAAACCATTCAGAACATTACATCTTTTTCGAACAATGTCATAGACGCCATCTTATTATTCATTCGACTGAACTTAACTTCATAACATTTACAAAAACAGTGTTGTCACTTTTACATGAAATTAAACAAAGCGTTGTTGCCAACAAACATCTCTTACACTAGAAAAACTTTTAACAAATATTGCTCATCTAGCAATTACCTTCACTATTAGCAAGTTGTTAAGGTTATTTTAAGTTACAGAATTGGACTGAATTTCACTTTAGCCGACTATCAGCAACCGAGGGGACGTAAAAGATCGCTTGTAGAAAGGCGAGGAGTGTACCGGGTACGTGTACCTACTAGGGCTGGGCGATTACGGATTTGAATAATCGATAATCGATTATGAAAAATAATCGATTACACTGATTAATCGATTAATCAAATAATCGATTAATCAAATAATCGATTAATCAAATAATCGTTTAATCAAATAATCGTTTACTCAAATAATCGATTAATCAAATCATCGATTAATCAAATAATCGATTAATCACCTAATCGTTTAATCAAAAGTCGATTGTCACATACAAGGAGTGATAAATATCTGTATGCATTAATACGTTAATTATTTAATAATAAAAATAAAAAATAATTCCATTACTCTTTTCATCAAATCGTTCATTATTAGGCAGATCGATTAATCAATAATCAACAAAGTGTCCCTGGTTCGAATCCGGGTTCGGGCATGGATATTTGCAAATGCATAGTGGGTTGGTTGGTTGGTAGAACAGCCTTGGCTGAAACCCTGCCCATTTGAAAATGAAGGTCAAAAATAAAAATAAATAAATAAAAATAAATGATTAGGCAGCTTACTCTCAGATGAGGTGTGCTTTAGTTTTGATGATACCTACAATCTTAATTCATTTTAGCTGCTTAAAGTGACGTTTTAACATCTGCTATAAAATAAAATAATACTTGTGAGCTGTGAGTGCTCCATTTTGCGTAAACTGATGATCCAGCTAATAATAATAAATTAAAATTTACTTAATAATTGATTAATCAAACAATCGATTAATCAAATAACCGATTAATCAAATAATCGATTAATCAAACAATCGATTAATCAAATAATCGATTAATCGATTAATTTAATAGAATAATCAAACCCGATTATCGATTATCGTTTGATTATAATCGATTAATCGATTTTGTTGCCCAACGCTAGACTACCTACCAAGCTGTGTAATTAACAACTTTACTGAGCGGGGTTACATGATGTGGGGTTGGCGACATTTTGGCGCCATCCCCGAGCGTGGTTTACGAACGTGATGATTTTTCAGTTTTTTTCTATCTTCTTCTACAGTTTGGGTCCGCTTGTTAGCCAACTGGTGTTGTCAAATTATGTATCTACGATATTTTATGGTCGTGACAAGTGATATAGCTCTCGCGGAAACATCACCTACAGTATTATTAATCTCACCAGGTAAGCAAAACAAAACAAAAGTTTTTGTTGGAAATGAATGCATAATCGGAAACCGATCAATTTAATTTGCCCTTTGTAAATGTTTACTGAAATAAGTAGTAAAAAATTTCGTTGCGTGGAATACTAAGTGCGCATTTTACACCTCGTTTTAAACTACGTAGTTTTTTCGCCGATATCCTTTTTGCAAAATATGTTCCTCCGCGCAGTGTTGACCAGTAAAAATTGCTAGATACGTACCGCAATAATACACAGAGCAGGGTGAGTTTTTCCATGTGGAAAGCACTTTTATACCTTGGTCTCGAGCTGCATTTACATTTCATATGGTTTATAAAAGCGGCGAAAGTTTGTATGAGAAATTAAAGAAATGTCATAGTGGTAGGGTGCGATAGGGTACTCAAACTGTTCGTCACCTCCAAATCCTGCAACAAAATCTGGAGATAATTCCATCGAATTTAATGGAATTTGGCGTACATTTTAGGGGGTTCAAATATGTCTGAAAAGACGTTCACGCTGTTGTAAAGTCGGATATCAAACCATATTCCATTTTTTTGGGAAAAAGTGCGGAAAATTCCGTTACATAATGAACCGCTATCGTCTGAAATAAAACGGTTAGATGTCGTACGCGTCGCCAATTTTAGATGGGTGGGCCGATCATAACAGCGCCGCGACGCAGCAGTGAGCATCTCGACGCGTCTAGACGTCTCGCGAATGCGCATACAAATATTGGCAGTAATGGTCAGCTGTGTATGTGAGAGGGTCTCGAGAAATGTGCCTTAGGCATGTAACTCTGACTCGCAGAGATACCCCACGGCCGCAAAATGTTCGCGTACGGTTTCGAGATCACATAGACATGTAATATGTGTGTGCCTAGTGTTATTTCACGGTGAAAATCTGGCGTGAACGGGTAGGTCGGAGTCATGGCGTCGGTGGCGGGTCCGACCGATCCGACCGCCGCTCACGGGCACAGCTTCGGTAAGAAGACCTTCCACAAGCCCACGTACTGCCACCACTGCGGTGACATGCTATGGGGCCTTATCCAGCAAGGCTTCATCTGCGAAGGTGAGATTTGCATTTCTAACACCTCCCACACCCCAATCTGCTGCTCTTTTGCCGATGAATGTGTTAGGTCGGCGCCAGGACGATTTTTTAATATATAGGTCACGATTCTTAAAATTGTTAGTATAACTCCTCCAAGAATCAATTGTTGCTTTATTGGGGTTTATGCATTAGCTATTCTGAATCCTAGATTCATATAACCACCGACTGCAATAACACAATCGAGCCACTTGGGGAATAAGAATAATGATCGCTCATAAGGACCCAAAAGCTTCTTTCACTTCAAATTAGAGGGAATAAATAGGCATCCCTAAAACAATTGAAGCGTGAAATACAGTTTTTCGGGGTATTGACTTGTGAACCCTTGACATTTTCCGGGCGTGTTTTTTGTATTCCTATATTTATGTTTATTTTTCAATCATTATTTTTTTTTCTTTCGAATTAAACTGCGTAACGCGTCCCAATTATATACATCGTTGCGCTCATCTCTGCGCATCGATCTTCTGGACCGCAAGAAGTCTCGGAACAAACCGAATGCATGAAAATGTTAAATTCATGTTACTGCTAAATCTCCTAGAATGTGAATACAGCTTATGAGTTTATATTTAGTTAATGAATTATAGACAATAATCGTTATTAGACCTGTTGATTATTAGAAAAATCTGAATTACCCCACAATTTGTACGTATACGAAGTTTATTTATGAATGCATTTAGATTAGATGAACTTCTTTTCTTTCCCATTTTCATGTCAATTTGTTGAATTTTGATTTTATACTCGCATAACTAATTGTACCACTCATGTAACGTGCGCCCTTTAGCTCAAAGAATTTATAAATCTATGACTTGGGTGCTCTAAAATAGGCAACAAACGCGTCATAAACTGTTGTTGGTGATCGACAAATTAAATTGGAGCGTTGCAGTGGAGCAGTGTCTACTGAATCAAAGACAACATTAAAAGCGTTTTCGATTGGCAAAACTCGTACCTACTGCACGAGTGTTGCACGAGAAACTGAAGAAATCCATGTGAAAATTGCTCTCAATGGAACATAAATATTCGTAAATATTTGTTTTCATTTGTCCATAACCTCATTTTAGATTTAGGTAATCGACAAATCTCTATTCTAAAAAATGACAAACGATTTCAGTATTATTTATGATAAACGAATATCAATATCAAATATAAATTTGAAATTCCTGTAAAGGGCCAATTTTTGGCGTTCAGTTTAATGAGTAAGTTCAACTTTTTGTAAAATAGAAGTTATGGCTAGTTCATCATCTTCGCTATCGCTAGATGACGACAAAAAACTCTCCCAACGCAAGAAACAAATTCAAATTGTCGCACGTTTGTTTTGAAAATTTGTTAACTAGCAGCTCCACGAGCTCTCGGACCTCGTGCGTCGTAATTTGCACTGAGTGCGTAATTGTTGCATCACATTATTTGCCAATGGAACACAAAAAATTGCCCTAAAATTACCAATAGAACGTAAAAATTGCACTCGTGCAGCACGAGTTTTGCCATTCGAAAACGCTAAGATTCATGTATCTATCCAACCTAAGAAAATACGAATTATGAATCTGTATATAACTAGAGCTGTCATCAAGCAATACTCAATAGTACTACCGTAGTACCTAGTCAATATTCAAAGGAATTCCTTATTTCTAAAAATTAATTAGATATATCTATAGATAGGTACTATTTACGTTACTTGTGCGGTTTTGAAAACTCAATATGTACAGTTTCTTGATGGCATTTTGTTGTAGATGTGTTCACATTGTTCATAAATAATATTATACTTACAAATTTACAAACACGTAAACATGACCATAGGTAGGTATATCTACTAATAATGCTAGATAGCCCCATACATTAGAAGCTTTTTTACAAATAGGTACCTTCAAAAACAAGCATCTTAGTCTCGATCTTAGTCTTATCTATCTATCAATTGCAATCAATTTGATACAAATTGTCGCAAAGAAAACGCTACCTCTAATCTTACTTTAACCAAAATGCACCCCTAGGGACTATATCATGCACTATTCGAATTGGGTAGGTATTATATAGGTACATTTCGACTGAAATACCTGTAACAGGTCAGGCTATTAATTAACAGGGCTCATTTTGTGAAGCATCACCTTATCGAAGGCAACTTCAAGAGAATAAGTGGCAACTACATTAGTAATTTACCGGTTTTTTTGCCGTCAACTAGTTGTGGAACTAAGTTTTTGCCGCGCCTTTATTTTTTTGAAAACCCATGTCTCGCTAAGACTCGGACACTACCAAGATGGTAATCAGTATCATATCTCAATAGAAAGATACGCTAAATTTGCAGATTTTTACCGTCAATTAGTCGAGCAATTAGTTGTTGTGGACAGTGGCACTATAGCCTTCGGGAACAGGCAGAAATAGGCGCCACTGCTTGCTTGCCTTTTTTAGGTACTTACAGTGCCGTTGCTGTAATGATGGAACTTTCAGTATGTATATTGTTATTGTCTATCATCAATATACAGTGAAATTTATTAAGAAGTAGACATAGGGTAGGGATTCACGTGTATTGTTTTTTCCTATCTCTACTATTAAATGACAAAATTTCTTCTGAAGGGCGCCTAATTTTATGCATACAAAATAACTTCTTCAAACAAATAAAGATCTGGCGGTTATATTATTTAATTTGAATATTGTTGCTGTTCATTAAAAAGTAGACATAGGGAGAAATAACACAAGTAAATCCCTATGTCTACTTCTTAATAAATATCACTGTATATACAGAGTGGCCCAACGAGAAGTATACAGAGGGCTTTTAGGATATTAAATTTAGAAATTTCGAAAAATCCTCGAACACGTCAATTTTGTATTCGAGGGTGGAATACAAATCACGAACCCAAGTCTTCGCCCCTCTACGTAGGGAGCTTAACCCCTAAAATTTTAAATGGAATTCTATGGCAAATGGCACATTATTTGAAAGCCAATTTAATCGTGATTACTAATCTGCTTTGCTTTTTAAATTCTATTGATTCGTTTCGGAGATAATTCGCATTTGAAATGGTTTTTTCTAAAAAAAACCAAAACAAATGAGTCACCTTTATTAAAATTTTATTTTGACACTTTAAAAATGAAGGAAAAGATGTCTGTTTTAGTTTCTTCTACCACGCAATTTTCTTTCGCACTTAATTGTACTGTGAGAACAGAGATATATCGCGATAAATTTGTAAACGCATATTTAGTTAAATCCTTCTGCATTTTATTTTCTTTACACTGATAGACAGACAGACGCTGCTGAACAAATTCATTGTCTTTTTCTTTAGTAAATAGTTATACATGTTCAAAAAAAGTCCTAATGGTTTTCTGTTTCTGTCATGTCATGCATGCCAGTTGCCACCTTTTTTTCAACATTGTATATAGATTATGACGATTGTTAATATCTAGCTGGATGAGCTCTAAACAGTAAATGTGAGATAGTGTTAATGTCCAAAATCACTGAAATCATTAGTAAATTTATTTTTAACCAATTTATTTAAAATGACAGTCATGTGCATACTATTGCTTCTACAGGGTGTACGACTGTACGTTTACGCACCATAGGGATTTCAATGGTAATTTCTTCATATTAAACTATTTTCTCCGTTAAATAGTTTAACAGCAAAGTTTTAAATAATTTTTTTGGAGATTTTGAAATTCTGCGTCTATTCATGTGCTCATTTGTAATTTTTTGTTGTGAGAAATTAATGAAATTATAAATTAGCATTTTAGTAAAAATCACTCGTGCCTTGAAATTATTGAAACAAAATTTCATCCATGCGTGATTTTTACGAATGCTAAATTGTAATTTATTTATTCGGTTTCCCGATTTGAAAAATAATAAATGCGGACATGAGCAGACGCAGAATTTTTCAAGCTACAAGAAACCTATTTATATAAGTTTACTCGAAATTAATTAGGGGAGAAAATATGTCGTTATAAAGAAATTAGTTCTATGGGGCATATACACCGAGGCATACACCGTATATGTATATTATCTTCTATTTTTACCTAAGACCATGGAATAATGTTAAGACGATATATTAGTTGTACCTATCTTAATTTTAAAAAATAGTTTTAATCTGCTACGGAAATTAGATAGCGTATTTAATCTTCCATTTCCTGTGGTTTATACACTATTAGATTAGAATTAAATAAGGCGCAAAATTTCCATTACGTGTCCAGTTTAAGTAGATATAATTATTTCCCATAAATTGGAGGTAGGTTACATTACGCACAATTTATAAATTTGCACTGTCTCATAAATCAGTTTCCGATGAATTAACAAAGATGCTATTCGAATACGCCAAATTTAATCCAAGAGGAACCAAATTTATCCTTAGGCACTTTCAACTGTTGCATTATTAACGAGCTCCTAGCGAGTTTATAATTTTGTGGTGTCCGTCCGTCCGTCCGTTAGTACGATAACTCATAAACGAACGGACCGATTACGATGAAATTTTGCAGGTGGATTCTTTATCAAATTTGTAGATCGGAGTTCGTGAATTGGCAATGTAGCCCAAAAAATAAAGTAGGCCCTTTTGACATCTCCGTTAGTTATGAACCGAATTGCATGAAATTCTATATGTGCATAGCTTTAGCCATATAAAACACAATTCCAAAAGTTGAGCCTAATCGATCAGCATTCACAGTGCCCTTTGCGCATCTCGACAATTTACAGACCGAATTGCAAACTTTCTTATTTATGAAGGTATTTAAATGAAATTTGATACATAGCCACTAGGAATAAAAGAAAATTTAACGCCATTTGGTTTTGCGCATGCGCAGTGGCAACTTTTTTATTTATGGAAGCATTCAAATGAAATTTTATACCATACACTTTAAATAAAAGCAAAACTAACATCAGATTTAAAATTTGGTTTTGCACATATTATAGCCATACCCAGGAGCTCGTTTGCTATATTTGTTTAATTTATTGAAAATGAATTTGGTATCCTTTCGATACACATTTGGGATGCTCGATA